GCGCTGGCTGGTCTGGAGGGTGTACATCGTGGGCTTCGTCTGCTGGAGAAGACATCAAGCAGCAAGTTGGAACCTCGCAGACAAGGATAGATGGCGAAGATTGTGGGGGGAGCGGTACAACTTGGTGTGATCATTTCACTCTTGATTGCCTCGGACATGATAAGCCATTCTGGGTCAATAACGAATTCCTATCTCATCTGACCCACGTTCGAGAGATAAGGATCGTTGATAGCCAGGCCGAGAGAGCCAAGATGTCGTCAGGGCCCTCGACGTTCTGATTGCACTCGGCTGAACGTCAGTACAGCCTGAGAATTCGAAGATAAGAAAGCGAGCCCCCAGAAACATCGAGCACTCACGCATATATTCATGAATTGAAGTTGACAACGCACCAGGAACATTCAAATAGCAGCATGCGCATGTGGTGTAGTTCCTTATCTCCATTCAATCGACAGCAATTCATGTCATGATAAGCTCGAGGCCCTGAAAAAAAAACATATCCGAGTCAGTCTACGCCTTTGGCACGGGTTGAAAATGATGAAAGGGAGAAGCCGTAAGGACAAACAATTTATCTTTAGTTACACCGCATAGCTGCATCCTTACATGCTGATCATGACGATACGGACAAGAATTTCACACCAAGTTCACACCCGCAAAAATACTGAACTTGCGACTTGCGATATCAAGAATTACCAAAAGCGGAACTCTGTAAAAACTAAAGATCTGGAAACTCGTAATCATGAATTTCCAGCATGCCGGACAACAAAGTGCTGAATAGTGATGGATATATTGTGGGATGAGTGGAGAGGGGAATATGCAAGTGCAACCAAGAACCGTGTTCACCCATCTAAATACTAGGATCAGAGCAGTAGAATATCGTCTATCAATAATATTAAGACGTGTCCAACATCCAAACATCTCAAGCCGTCTGTGAGATACGAAATTTAGTTCAAATGTCTGTCTGTCAAACATGACCACGTACCTCCTTCTTGAGCCATGTAATGAGGTCATTCCTGTCCTTTTCCTTCTTAAGACCAGCAAAGGCCATCTTCGTACCAGGAATATACTGTAATACCGACCCGTCAGGACAGATCCTCCACCAAACTGAGAGAAACCGACCTTTTTAGGGTTCTCGAGGTAGTCGAAAAGAGTGTCCTCGCTCCACGTCACACCTTTGTTGATGTTTGCAGCCGTATACGAGAAACCTTCGACCTGACCGGTCTTACGACCAAAGAGACTGGCAAGAGGTCAGCCACGTCAGCAATCGCTCCCAACGAACAACTTACCCATGCAAGTTGGGGCCAACCTTGTTAGGTTCGCCGGCACCGGTGGTGTGGCATTGGAGACATCTCGTCTTGAACAGAGAAGCACCTTTGTCAAGGTCACCTACACAAAGTACAAGATCTCATGGTCAGCCACGACGCGTTTACCATGCAGCCTCACACTAGAACTCACCTGCAGCGTAAGGCATTATGATAATCTATGAAAAAAAGGAAAGGACAAGAAGATTATACAAGTAACCGTGAACACGTAGAAAGAGGACGGAGATGAAGGTGAAGGGTGACGCTGCAGCTTAAAAATTGTTTTGGCCTTCCGATCGAGCCGATGCGAATTGCCGGTTTTCTCCGTTGACCAGCCAATCGGATTCTTCCGATTTCGGCGAATTGGCCTCGGAACGGGTTCATCGAACTAGCGCTCGGCGATGCAGAGCTCGGCTTCAGTCACCTGACTTTTGCTCACTGCGACATCCACCACAGCTATCGTAGCGCTCAGCAACATTGTTGTTCCTCTATTCCGGTGTTCGCGAGGAACGAGCAGAAGTGTCCTTCATACATACACGATGACCGCAGCTGGCCGCAAGCTATCAGAAACATCGAGGCGATGTCCGTCGTGGGGGTAGTGCGGCACGGGCGTCCATCTCACCACCTCACCATGCAACAGCGGCGTTTGATGATAGATACAGAAACACTAAATTTACATCTGAACAAATGGCAGTGGAAAGAACAAGACCTGGGAGAACACTATCAAATTCTAACCTCCCTACACGCGCCGCAAAACTACGCCTGAAGTCGCTCAGGCCATCGAGGCCTTCGTATGTCTCGAGTGGATCCCCAGGCAAGCCATATAATGGTCAACATTCCGAGAGTCAGTGTTAAGCTATGCACGGTTATCAGATGAATTCACTGTTGTGTGAGAAATAGGTATTTATATCACTCACATCTCCACGATCGCAAGAGCTAATATCAATAGGTATTTCAGTCAGTCTCACCATAAAACTAAGTAGTTTCACATACCTAATATCGCTTTCGTTTGACCGCGATATACGTATACTAAGTCTTCGTAGCTTCCTTCAATGACGGATTCGCTCAGGAGCGCTGCACCAGCAATCCAGAAGGTCCACGTTATCAGGACCCAGATTGCTTGAGCACCGATAGATGCAATTGGATGCTTAGACCAAAGTGGATCCAAGAAGAACAATGTATAAGTGCCTGCGGTCACAGTAGTCCAACAACTTGCAACACTATGAAAGAACTAAGTACGAGTGCTTCGTTTTTCTTTTGGTGTTCGACTCACAGTAGGAGCCGAATGCCGTTTCGAGTCATTGGACTAGGCTGATTATCGTTGAAGCGATATTGAAGTAATAACCAACTGACAATGGCAGCCTATCATTCGTGAGCATATAATCACATCGCTCATAAACCAATCTCACCTCTGCCAGACTACTAAAAACCAGAAACACATATACAGCTGCAAAAGGCGCAGATAAAACACAGAGCGCTAGAGCATTTATTGATTTTCATACCTGGACCATATTGCTGCAAACGTGCACCAGATACCTTATTGATCGGTCTGGGATGCCGTTTGGAATGTCTGTATAGCAAATACAGGGGGCAAAAGTAAATCAAGGCAAACATGGGTGCAACTACGGCTATGACGGTCGATGTTGCCGTTGCATAATTTTGGGACTTGGAAATGCCTGTATTGGGCTCAGGCCAACTTGGAGTTGGATCGCTTGGAATGGCTAATGATCCAGTTGTCATCGCCAGGATGACACAGATACAGGAAGCCAATGGTAACGTTCCGCCCAGCTTTCAAATGATGTCAGTATGTGCTACGGAATATATTCATTATCCCGATAGACGAACCGGAATATGCTTTGGGTATGACATCGAAATAGTGTGATGAGCACTCAAAAGTACAATGTCAGGGGGAGAACAAGATTGGGGACGTTCAAGCAAAATGAGAGTATAGCTTCCCCCAGCTAGTCGACCCGTCATTTAGTCTTAACTTTGCAATGGGGATTGCAGGGTCTACCATGCTGTTGCAGTCTGGTAGAGAACGTGTGGCGAATCACTGCGAGTATGTCCGTCTTACCTGACAAAAGGTTCGACGTATGGGGTAGATCGGCGTGCATCATTGTAGCGTTGATCTACCACACGTGCGCAGATTGACATACTGCCCCGGGTGGCGTTACTTTAGGGGTGCAATCTTAAATTTCTTGACAATAGGTAGAAATTGGAGGCCATCGAAAACGCAATGTATCATAACAAAGGTATCAACTTTCACTCATGGGAGCCCAGTGGCTCGACAGTATTACTACACGAAGCAGCTCGCAGTCCGAGGTCATAATTGTTAAAGCAGACAGCGCACAAGAAAGGTAGGTCATTACTCATCAGAAACTAAAAGGTAGCACCTCCGTAAACCTTAGACACGTAAGGGAATCACCAGCCAAAGTGAGGGAAGGGGTTCTTCATGAAATTCACTTTCAAGTCCAAGCATACCATATCTTCATCATCAGCAGTGTAGCCCCTAACACTGACTTTGAACGCAGCTATAAAATCACATTAACATTAGCGAGAGGAATGATCAGAAAAATGCAGACCTCTGGGTATCTCTTTGGGTAAAGCGACAGTGTGCGAGACGGTATAGTCACCCTTGTCAACAGGGCATTGAATGCTGGCATTCGCACCACGACTGATACATATCGTAAGCATCTATCAAGAAAAGTGCGTGGCAATCAACTTACGCCTCCTCACAGATATCGAACGTCTTTGAGAGCAACTTGACAAGGCCAAGTTTGACTACTACATCGGCATAAGCGCCCTCCTAATAGAAGCGAGTCAGCGAAAACATAAAAAACAACTATGAATTGGCGCGCCTCAATGACATCCTGTGCAGTCCCTACTACAGTAACAGTCAGGTCTTGACCGGGCTGAGGCGGGTCGGGTGATACGGCAATTGACTTGATTTGTATGAGGTCCGACGGAAGACCTGAAGACAAACTGTAAGTAAAATCCAATGAACCAATAAAAGCCGCTGCTGACCGCAGTTAGTATACTCCCACCCGTCCGTGGTATGCACTGGTTGATCTGTAAGAGCCTGCTGCTCCACCAAAGGATTCGCACCGCTGAAACCAGCAAGAGCGACACATAGGAGAGATATAAGGGCAAGACGAGCCATGGCAAAGAAGAAAATGGCGCTGAAGGAAAATAGCTTGCGAGTTGAAGGATCTGAGTAGCAGACTCGAACCAGACTTAGAGGGAAGCGGGGCTTCAAATGGTCGGGCGGGCGGATCCTTATGACATTGTAGGAACCGAATACTCGGAGCTTGCCGGTTCAGGCCATTCAGCTGCATTCAGCCTTGTTCCAGAATGTTGGAAGAACTCGCGTACAGATCACAAAGAATCCTTTAGCACGAATGCACCATTGATTTTTTTAGAGCATGAGGGCATATAACATGCGAACAACAGACGTAAATCATAACTACTCCAAATGATGCATAACATGGACGTGTAAGTCATTCCACCGCTCAACAAATTTAGGGAGCGAAAAGACTGCTTAAGAAGGCCTCCCCAGCAGCACGGGTGGGCTTGGGCTTCTTGCCAGTTCCGTTCTCCTTTTTGGCCTTGATACGCTCCTGCTTGACTGTGGGAGAAGTTTAGACATATGTGTGATGATTGCATGGAAGAAAACTTACGGAGCTCTTGCCTGCGCAGAGTCTTCGCGTAAGGGTTCAAGCGGAAGAGAACAGCCTTGTTGACGAGAGGGTTCTTCTTCTGCGTCCATGGACGCTTTTGAATCTTGGCGTTAGCGGGACGAACAACAGACTGGATTTCAGTGCTGTTGATCAGGCGCGTAACATCAGGGTTGGTAATCTTAGCAGTAGGCAAACTACAACGACGAAATTAGTGATATTCAAACATTATGAGAGGGTGTTCGCACAGGTAGTCTTTCTTGTACAACGAGGCCTTTTCGAAAGTGCCAAACACTTCATCAAGAAGTCCGAAAGCACCCTCGGTCCAGATGACGAAGCGACCCAAGTGACCACCAGGGGCCAATTGGAGGAGGTTAAGACGACGGACGTTGACGAGCTCAACACCAGGCAAGTTACGGAACGCCTTGACGATACCCTTGTCTTCGTTGAAAACGACGAGAGGACCACGACGTTGGCGGTATCTGCGGTTGCGCATCTTACCCTTGCCAGCACGGAGTTTGCGAGAGTTGGACACCTTGCTGACATCACTGTAAGCCTTAAGGCTCTTCAACACGGCAACAGCCTCTTTGGTTTTTACGAGGGACTCGACGGCGGAAGAAACGACAAGGGGAACTTCTTCGATCTCCTCGATGCGGTGACCACGAGCAAGGACAAGGGAAGGGAGAGCAGATGCAGCGAGAGCAGAGACGACAGCAAAGCGGCGCTGGTTCTGGTTGACCTTGACGTGCCATTTACGCCAAGTCTTAGTAGGTGCGAACATACGACCACCACGGCACATGTTACCAAAGGCAGCCTTGGGACGAGGTTAGTACAGAAACTTTGACCTCCAAGGGAGGTGATTACCTGGCCAGAGCGGTGAGTTCCTCCACCACCAACACGGGGAATACGAGCGACGGCACGACCGGTACCCCAAGATTCAGCACTAGTTTGGTGACCAGCCTTTTCGCTGACGGCATAGGCCTGTCTCCTGTTCTTAGCGATGCTCTCTAAAGATGCATAGGTCAGATGGCTCAGATTCCAGACGATCTCTTGCAATCACGTACTGTGTACTTGTGCAACTACATCGAGCCTGATGGGAGCGGTCAAAACCGCAGGGAGAGGAAGAGAGGTCGAAGCCTCTGCAAACATAAGACTTCAGTATCTGATTCATACTTGTAGACAACGATAAGCTCACCTCCCGAGGTGGAACGGACGTTAACGGTGGGTCTGGAGGCCATTGCTGATATTCTTGAGGTCTTGAAGCTGAGGCTAACTGTGGCTGCTACCTTGAATGTTGATGGAGGACAAAATAAGGTTTGGTAGGACCAAGCCTCATGCAAGCATGCGTAAACAAACTCGGGAGGTGGCCACGGGCCGAGAAGCGGCGTTTCTCGGCGCTCTCAGTCCACCACGTTGTTTCAAGTTGTTCATCCGAGCGTGCGCGCTATCATTCACAGATTCATGAATTTGGTTATCTGCAGCCGACTTGTCGAGCTCTAAGCTTCCAAGGCTAGTGTGTTCAATCATCAGCCTGAAACTCACGAACTTATGACTACAACTGATAATGAAAATTCAAACCGAAAGTACAATTTCCTTTGTTATGGGGACTAACATGTCAAGTTCTTACAGTTAGCTGATGAAAGTTGATGCTCAAAACTTTGTTCGTCCGTCGTAAGCCATCTCACTTTGAATTAAATCAAACTAAGCATCCACTTATCTCGGTTTCGCAGTAACCTTATCATGAGGCTATTCCTGTCGCCTGATGCGGTGGATACAAGCCCTTGATCTAGATTCCATCCTTATCTATGACTTGGTTGTGCCGAGACACAACTTCTTATCTCTTACACGAAAACGATAACAATGTTGGCACCAATGCGCTTCGCTCAAGCCTATTCTTTCAGGAGAAGTCCATACTTGGCAGGGTTTTTCTGTATCTACTGAATTACGGATGAAATTTTATAAAAGCACGGAATCGTAGCTGAGACTTCGTTCCGGTACCATTGGCCTTGAAGTTAGGACTTGAACATATCTCTCCGAGAATTATATTCCTAGCACCTCATGGACGATTCAGCAACACGAAAGGATGTCAAATCCAATCGGTCTATCCTCCAAACTGTCGTGATCAACCCCGTCAATCTCAAGTGTTCCAGTCTGCCCATTTTGACACTGAATAATCAATATTCTCGTAATTTCCATCTGTAAGTCTGGTTGGCACTGTGCGCTTCTAACAAATGTCACCGAGTCTTTCGTAGGTCATGGCTAGGGTTCTTTGTAGCATTGTAAGCTCAAATATTAAACTTGATCATCCTCGCTTTTCATCGCTTTTGTAGTCTTTCCTGGTTCGCATTTTCTCCGCTTATCCCTGACGCTATATCCGGCGATCTTCATTTGACGTCCCAGCAAATTGGTACGTTGTCGTCGTCGTTCTAGTTCACTGGATGCTAGACGTCTTCTAGGCAATTCCAATGTCATATCGCTATGTGCCACTCTAGTGGTACGGCTCATTGTAGGGCCGCTTGTGGATAGTAAGTTCTCTAACGGCGAAGCCCGTCAATAGTTGATCCTGATGATACTTGCACAGAATATGGTCCTCGGAAGGCAATGGCAACGTTACTTATAATTGGAGCGATACCATCCGGCCTTGCTGGCACAATAACCGACGCCCAAGGGCTGTATATTGTGCGCTTCTTCATTGGCATTCTTGGGGCCACTTTCGTGACCTGTCAAGCATGGACTACAGCATTCTTCGACAAAAATGTTGTGGGCACAGGTAACTGCCTCTTATTGAACATTTTGGCTCAAGCTCATCTTCCGTATCAGCTAATGCGTTAGCTGGAGGGTGGGGAAATTCCGGTGGTATGAAATATTCTCCCCATGTACTTGCGAAGTTCTCTGATAGTCCTCAACAGGTGGCTTCACGTTCATCATAATGATCGCTCTCTTCAACCGTTTACTTGCGGATGGTCTCAGCATTCACGTAGCTTGGCGAGCTGCATTTGCTATAGTGCCTGTCCCCGTACTGCTTTTCGTAGCTGTTTTGACTTTACTAGTCGGCACAGATCATCCAGCAGGTCGATGGAGCGATCGCCACAAGATTTCTCGTGCAAATATTGACCCAAATAGCGACGATGAATTCCAAAATGTAAAAGAACAGATGAAAGCCGAAGTTGACGTCGAAAAAAAACCGGATGAAGAAGAGTCCGCAGTCGGTGTCACCGTTGCTCCAGTCGACAGCGAGCAGGATCCCAGTTCGTTCTTCCCTCCTTCTTCGCATGTTTCTGACAAACTAACGCTTTATGGAGAGTAGAGATAAATTCAGAGCTGGATATAGCTGTGAACAAGCCCCTTACTGTTGATATCGTGTCCTCAGTCGTTACCAACCCCCTCACTTGGCTCCCAGCACTCGCATACATGACGACTTTTGGCTTTGAACTTTGCATGGACGCCAACTTGGCCAATGTATTATATTCACTGTACAAATCGCCAACATTTGGACAAACAAAAGCTGGCTATGTCCGTCGCTATTTTTGCTGCTAGTATTTTCTTGCTGAAAGTGTTTTTAGATTGCTGGCATCTACGGCCTTCTGAATGTTGTCATGCGACCATTAGGTCGGTCCGTTTCCTCTTCCTTGTGTTGTATATGTCTCTGAAAAGGATAATTTCCACAAAGGTGGTTTTCTGGGGGACCGAATGTATCTTAGGTTTGGTGTAAGCTGCAGACCCTGATTATCATATCATCATCTTCTGAAGGGTTTCTGAAGGTCACGGGGAAGAAATACCTCATGCTCGCCTGTGGCCTATTCCAGGGACTCATTTCTCTCGGCCTTGGCCTGTACATGGACAGCCAGGAACACCCTTCTTGTAAGTGATTCTCTTCCTCTTGGATTACCAAATGTCACCGTTATCTTCTAGTGATCGTAATAGTTGTCATGTTTGTGATTATTGCTGCCTTTGGCGAGGCAGGTAATGGAGCAAATTTCTCGCTGGTGCCGCATTGTAACCCGCGTGAGTGGTCAAATTTTCGCTGCCTTTTGTAAGCGCTACAGCGTAGCTAAAACCGTATAATTTATAGACTCGAATGGCTTCATGGTGGGTAGATAACTCTTCTGCTGCGCACCTGGTCTGAAAATTTCACAGAGCGGAATTGTCGGCGCGACAGGAAACCTTGGAGGTGTTCTCTTCGCAATGATCTTTCGACTTCAGCCTTCTCCTTCTGGAAAGGCGTTCTGGATCTCAGGAATCTTGACAATTGTGAGTGCACTGCCATGTTTCTAGAGAGAATGATGTACATTTATAGCACATCAAGGTCATCAATTTACTCCTCGTTCCTATCCGTGTTCCATTCATGTAAAACTGGCACTTTCTCGTTTTTCTCGACCCTTGTTAGGTACTTGTTGCATAGCACGACTTGTAGATGTAGTACTTGAAGTTGTATGTTTCGTACTTTATTCCTCAGTATAAGTGCTGACGTACCTCGCAAAGATAACCCAAAATGTATCACTACTGAATTTTGCACCTTAACACTGCACGACCGGCGTAAGGTTTCCAATCATCTGGAATATATTACAAGGCCGGGTGACGTCAGGACGGTTCGTTGATATGGGCCTTATCGTCCAACGCTGTTCCTTCTCCTTATCTCCCGCTACTCTCGAAAAGAATCCATGCCGTACCTTGTCTTATCTACACCTTCGGGTGATCTCAAGAAGTTTTTCTTTCTCAGCACGCGTAGCAAGGTCCATGAAAGCGAAAGGACCCCAAGAGAGTCAAGCGTTGGATTTTCCGTGATATGAGTGACAGAGACAATATAGTCAATGATAAATAAGTGGGTGGTGGACCTCCTTTGTTGTGGAAGGACAAGCTATGGCCATAGAATTCCTCGAAACTGCTTTCACAGAGACCTCATCCGATGGTTCGGATGACCTGAGTTCGCCGAGCGATGCAACTACATCTACAGCTGTTACCTCCATCCAATCTTCTCCTAGTTTCGAAAAGGCAATCTTACCAGAGTCTTTCCTCCTACAAAGTCTCATCAAATCGGAGAGGGATACTTGTACCCTCCCGCACTCTTTGCCAGCAGTACCTAACAATGAAGAATTTGCAACAGCAGCTGAACCTGTGAGTTTAAAATTTGATCTCACTATGCTGTTGTTCAACATTTTTTTAGGATCGAGAGACGCCTGACAACTGGCTTAAACGTGTAATTATTCTCCTTCTCATGATGATCTTATCTCATATCTTTATCTTAGAACCCTAAATTGATCCGACTGACTGGTAAACATCCATTCAACTCTGAGGCAAAGTTAGAATCTCTCTTTGACGCGGTAGGGCCCATCAAATCTTTAATCCAATCGGGTGTCGGATTAACATGATAATGTTTGTTTATAAAGGGCTTCATTACACCAGCTCACTTACATTTTGTCCGTAATCATGGAGCAGTCCCACAAGTTGGAACGGAGATGCTAGCCGATTGGACGATCCGTGTTCACGGCCTTATCGCGCATGAGATGACTTTTACATTAAAAGATCTTCGTGAACAGTTCACAGTAGTCACGTTACCCGTCACTCTCGTTTGTGCTGGCAATAGACGGAAGGAACAGAACACTGTCCGGAAGACCCTTGGCTTCAGCTGGGGAGCCGCCGGAGGTATGTACTGGTCACTGTACAACAACAAGCTGTACAAGTCATTCATGATATTTTGACAGTCTCTACTGCTTTGTGGACGGGTGTTTACTTATCGGATATCTTGGAATACGTGAAACCTCGTCGCGGTAAGGCCAAGTATGTTGTCTTTGATGGAGGCGACAGTCTCCCAAATGGACCATACGGGACTTCACAAAAGCTTTCGTGGGCAGCTAACAAAGATAAAGGCATGCTTATAGGTGAGGTCGTATATTGTACATATAGCCAAGTATTAAACAATATGTTTCAGCGTGGGCTATGAATGGTTTGCCGTTGGAACCTGACCATGGCTTCCCTGTGAGACTCGTCGTGCCAGGCCAGATTGGAGGGCGCTCGGTAAAGGTTCGTATGACACTCCATCCGTTTAACGTATTTATTTTTTCTCATGTTGAAATCATCCCAGTGGTTGAAAGGAATCGAAATCAGCGATCGAGAAAGTCAACATCATGTTAGTATCCTGATATTTTCCGTAATTCTCTTCGGAGTCGCTCATATGGTGCTTATAGCTACATTTCTGGGTATAATCTCAACATTTTTGGGACTGGTCTTCGGTATTGAGATGTTTTCAAGGATAACAAAGTTCTACCGACACAGATAATGCCCGAGCAAGTACGAGCTGAGAAACACTGGTGGTATGATCCTAGGTAAACCATACTATCAGTTGCATTTAAATCGTATCTAAACCCATTTACAGATATATTATCACGTTCGTCGAGCCAAGTGTTCTAGGGGATTTTTCAAGTCGACTAACTAGAGTTTAGTGAGCTGAACGTCAACAGTGTGATTGCGAAACCCGACCACAATGAGACGTTGCAGATATCGCATGACCCTCAGCAAAATGTCTCATCATATGTTCTTCGCGGTTACGCATATGCAGGTGGCGGTCGTCGAGTAACTCGGGTAGAAGTCTCCCTTGATGAGGGCAAAAGTTGGACGTTGGCAAACATGTATACTCACATAATTGTTCTGGGATCCAGTTGGTTAACGACATCTTTTATTTCAGTGACTACCCTGAGGATCTTTACCGTGATGTATGTCATTCTGATCCCGTATACGGAACGCTTGACTTGACTAATAGGGACACATGCTTGTGAGTGGTTCTTGCAAGGCAGACAAATGCTATTCTCTGACAATACTTACAGCTGCTGGTGCTTCTGGTCTTACGATGTTTCATACGATGTATTGAGGGATTGCGATGCCTTAATGGTGAGGGCCATGGATGAAAGCATGGCGCTCCAGCCGAGAGATATGTTGGTCCTCGAACATTTGCCTCGGTTTTCGTTGCTTTAACTGTTTCTGTTTCTTTATGACAGGTACTGGCATGCTCTGGGAATGATGAATAACTGGTACGAAATTATAATGACAATGGTTACTATCACTCACCGACACATGTCAGGTGGTTCCGAGTTGCTATTCATAAAGTAGTTAAGGAGAGTGAGACAATTCTGCAGTTTGAACACCCCACCGTAATAGGGGGATCAGGTGGATGGATGGAGGTATCAGCGATGACATTTGCCGGTGTCAATGGTCGACTAATACAGTTCTGATTTGCAGCGAATGAAGAATGCGGGGGAAGACATTACAAAACCATCCTTTGGCGACACCGATAATCTTCCTAGGTCTTCGGTAGCTTCACAGCCTCCGGCCGAGGAGGTATCTATGAAAAAATCTGGCGTTTCTCGCCGAATCACTCCAGAGGAGTTAAAAGCGCAAGATCGCAAACAGCCGTGGTTTGTGGTTAACGGTGAAGTTTACGACGGGACACCTTTTCTCAATGAGCATCCTGGTGGTGGTGATTCTATCGTGCTTGTTGCGGGGGAAGATGCCTCTGAGGATTTCATGGCCATACATTCAGCGGAAGGCAAGGCATTATTAGCTGAGGTATTAATTTTTCCAATGGCCAATCTTATCGACTGACATGTTTCCAGCATCACATTGGGACCCTGACAGCTGCCGTGACGAACCAAGAAAATTCTGAAGTTCGAACCGCGGATACTGCCTTCTTGGAGAGGTCAAGATGGAACGCCGTCAAGCTTTGTGCCATACAGCAAGTCAACCATGACTCGTATCTTTATCGGTTTGCATTACCATACGAAACCCAAGAACTCGGACTTCCTGTTGGTCAACACGTATTCGTAAGGCTGCGTCGGAGGGACACTGGAGAGATGGTGCAAAGAGCATACACACCTGTCTCCAGAAAAGGAGCTGTGGGCTTCATCGACTTCTTGATCAAGTCAGTTAATGTTTGACTTGGTTATCCGGTATTTCTAACTTTCTTGAGCTCAGGTTATATCTCCCCACAGCGACGTGTGCGGCAGGTGGTAAAATGACCACAGGTTTCCATCAATTGTCTATAGGGGACAGCGTGGAACTAAAGGGGCCTCTTGGTTCTTTCACGTGGAAAGGGTCGGGCGTTGCGCTTTGGAGAGATGCTGAACGGCAAGTGAAGGATATTGGAATGATATGCGGTGGCAGTGGTAAGTGCACACGCGTCAAAATTTTACAGCTATGATGAACCACCGTTTCCGTAACAGGCATAACTCCCATTCTACAAGTCCTTCGCGACGTTCTTGGGGACCCATCATGTCCCGATATTCGAGTTTGGTTGATCGATGCGAACAAGACAGAGGAAGACATATTATGCCGCGAAGAGCTTGATCTTTTGTTCGCCTCGCACGGAAAAGATCGCTTCAAATTGCACTATGTTCTCGGGAAAGCACCAGCGACATGGAATCATAGTACTGGAAGGATCAATGACACCTTGCTGTCGGAGCACCTGCCTAGTCCTTCCAAAGATGGGTTAGTTCTCATTTGTGGACCAGACGCCATGATATCCCACACAGTCAAACCGGGTCTGACGAGGTTGGGATGGGACATCGAAGATTCTCTCGTCGTGTTTTGATGTGCTATCATGTCGCGACCTGGTTGCGCGCGCTGAGGCTGTTGAGTGGCAGCCTTCAGTTTCTTGCAACTCTACTTCTACAGCGATGGCTCGCACGAACACTGTTGATGGAGTTTGGATTTATTATAACCATCCTTTACTATAGTCGACCTATTTGTGAAGTGCTGTATTTCTATTTTATGAACATCAATGTATACCTCAGCATACTTTTGTGCGACTGGACGCTTGGCATGTCAATAAATTTGGAGGTGACTGAACTTGAAAGTCACTGGACGCGTTTGACGCGTATGTCACGCGTATGTCACACAATGAATTTCGGTATGTGACAACTTGAACTCTCATCGCTGTCCTACCATGCAAGAATTCGAATCAACACCCAGTACACCTATTCGTCGATCCAAGCGTTTTCAGGAGCCTTTGGTCACTCCATCTCGCGGTTTAAACCCAGATGTGGACCCTTCTACTTTATGGTCGAGCGAGCCCATATATATTCGACCCAGTCGTAAGGAAGATCTGTATGAAGAGGAGGAATGGGATGAGGTAGGAGAATTGAAGACGTCCTTTTATCAGTCATTCTCTCGTATGATACGTACGGGAAAGCCACGGTCGCGCAGGGATAGCAAAGGGAAAGCCCGCCAGGAGGATCAGAATGAGACATTCCGAGTTGGAGATGCGATTCTTGTACGAACACTGGCAAAGGTCCCTAGCGTTGGAGTGATCGTGTCAATGTGGGAAACAGGTCCAAAGAGGCGAACTAGACGAGAAAGCGAATCGAGTGCCAAGGTCAAGGTCCACTGGTTCATGAGACCGGAGGAGTTACCTCGCATTGGTGCTTCACGAAGTTACTATGAAGTGCGCGTTTTGTTTTTTTAATCACCACTCCAATTATTGAACTGGGGTTTGATTTCGGATTTCGGATTAGAACGAGATCTATTATCTAGTGTCTAACGTGGCTGTCTTAACGCCCGATGATATAATGTGCCAATGTACCGTCTCAAACGAAGCTCCAGCAGGCGCAGAACTCCGAACACGGTCGCAATGGTGGGTATCAGTGTTAAAACATGCGCCTAGAACAGCTGTAGGATCGAATCATAAAGGCAGCCATTTCCACTGTCATTTTGCTGTTGACTCTGCGCGTGGACTGTACTATCAATTCGATTGGGAGGCACACAGGCAACAGGCTTTGACATTATCAGTCGACTTGGAAGAGCAGACCAACGGACAATCATGGGACGTCGGTATCCAAACCGCCTCCAACAAGCTCAGGTTAGAGAAGAAACAGAAACGCGACGATGATTCAGACCAAAGTGAAGATGTTGGTTCGGGAGAAGAATATCAAACGTCTGAAACGTCGGCAGACGAGCTTGATATGCTCCCTATGCGTTCGAAGGGGCTCTCTGAACCAGAGTCGGTCATCGAAGAAGAAGAATTAATTGACAACATTCCTAGAACGCCGTCTAGAAAGCGTAAACGAACTATAAGCTCGCCCTCTAAGGCAACACCTCGGCGTAAGCGTACCCAGAATCTGGCAGCACCTACACCGCATTCCAAAGCTGCTATCCGAGCTCGCGAAAAGCGAGGTCGTAAAGCCACCTCTGTCCGACTACCACCCCCAGACTTCACACAAGAACACTATCGACAACTACAGAAACTTCCTCCCGACCCGTGGCTGAGGGCAATGCATGTGCTACATGTCGCCGCAAGACCAGACATTTTGCCTTGCAGAGAAGAAGAATATGGACGGGTGCTACGGACTGTAGAAGAGCTTCTAGAAGAAGGTAGTGGTGGATGTGTTTGTGAGTGCTCATCATCTTTCAGTTAGCTTGGTTATCAATCTTGCATTGTTCAAGATATATCCGGGGTCCCTGGCACAGGCAAAACAGCCACCGTGCACGCCATCGTAAGAGAGTTGAAGCGCATGGCTGAGAATAACGTTAGTGTGCTCCCTTTACTTCGTATCTAATCTCTGATCACGAGCCCATCAGGAAACGAATCCATTTACATATGTCGAAATCAATGGCCTCAGGCTGCCAGAGCCGTCTGCTGCTTATAATGTTCTATGGGAGGCGGTATCAGGCCATGATATAGCTTCAGATGGACATCTCAAGATCAGCTCGAAAGAGTCTCTCAAACAACTCAGTAGACATTTCAGTGCTGGTGTTAGAGCAGGTCCCAGTAACCACGCTTGGTGAGTCTAGCATATTTTTCCCTAGCACGGTTATTAAAATCCTTTCCGCCCAGTGTGGTGCTCATGGATGAATTAGACCAGCTAGTCACAGCTAAACAAGATGTCGTGTATAACTTTTTCAACTGGCCAACACTTGCTGGTTCAAAGCTTGTGGTTCTTGCAGTTGCAAACACCATGGATCTTCCAGAGAGAGTGATGTCAAACAGAGTACGTAGCAGACTGGGTATGTGCTATTTTCCTTTTCTTCGACTGGTCCCGCTGAAACTTGTGCGCAATAGGAATGACTCGTATCAATTTCCAGCCCTATACGACGCTTCAGCTAGAAAAGATCGTCCATGCCCGCTTGCAGAGCGCAAAGGAAGGCCTAAACGAACCTCAAGATGTTATCTCTGCAGATGGTGTCAAATTTGCTGCGATGAAAGTCTCATCAATCAGCGGAGATGCTCGTCGTGTTTTAGATATTTGTAGGTTCGTCGTTGTATTCTCATAAGCTCGTCAGCCACAGCATCACACAATCTCTTTGTAGGCGTGCAGTGGAGCAAGTCCAACAGCGAGGAAGCGCTGCAAAAACAGAAGATGTAAAGGAAGTTATCAGAGTTATGCAAAACAGTCCTACTGCAGCGTACCTTCGCGAGTGCAGCTTTCATGAGCGTATAATGCTTGCGTCGCTTATAAAATGTATAAAGAGGGAAGGCATAGATGAAATCAAATGGGGAGAAGTGAGCTATCTCGATAAATGTATCATCGTGTACTGACCGCTCTCTTGGTATTAGATCCAACGCCAACATCTCCTGTACATCGACGCGCTCGCAGGAGAGGACGATCCAAAGCGCAAGCCCACATTTGGAGAATTGGTCTTGATCCTCGATTCGCTGCTTGCATCGCGTGCTATGTTAAAGGAGGATGGGCTCGCTGCTGCCAGAAAACCAGAGGGAGAACGCAGGGTTATCTTGAATCTAGAGCAGATAGAAGTAGAAAGGGTACTAGGTGAAGTTGGAGGTCACCACTGGAAGACAGCTCTGGGTAGTTGATTCGGATTTGTAGTTTGAACTTGGGCAAGTCTAAAGCTTTTACGCCGCATATCGGTATGAATTTATCGATCACTAAGAGACATAAGGCAAGATGGCCGAGCGGTCTATGGCGTGTGACTCAAGCGTTAAGCTTACCTGCAATAGCGGGTTTCTCATCCTCGTATGAGGGCAGGGGTTCGAATCCCCTTCTTGTCATCATTTTTTGTCCTCCTTGCAATGGGGCTTTGCTGACATGGAAGACTTTATTTTTCGAACTAATCCTTGGAATTTGAAGTAACCTATGTGCATTTCCGACACTCGTGATACCAAAAGAAATATGTAAATAACCGATAAAGTAAATCCTGTAGTGATAGAGGGGGTGGTGTGCATAAATTTCTAAATCCAGTCTAAAAATCTTCGCTATGCTAGTCTAGGTAGTATCATAGCTTCTGCCGTCTTGTCCCGCACGCCCTTTAGAAATTGAGATAGATTCGTTCCACCTGTTCCTTTCAAAGGCCGCCCATTTTCGTCTACTATACTTTCTGATCCTGAACTCTCCGCTTCTCTTGCCTTTGCTTTCCTAGAAGGCCCTATAATATATATGGCAACAATCCGAATGTGTGCGTCTCTAAACTCCTTGACAGCGTTTACGGTAGCATTGTATGCCTCAAGTAGCTTAGGGTCCCCTTCAGCAACAAGAGAACGAAGTGGACGAGGGTTAGACGATAAGTGGCGCAGGAAGTTCCGGTGGTGCCTTGGCATATAGTTCTGCATACGCCGAAGAAGTGACCACCGGTCATCCGGGTCATTTTGGGTGCTGCAATTATCTAATCCCAGGAATATGTCCAGGGAATGAATCAGCGTACTTTGTCCTGCGCTCGGGCCGGATAGTTCGGTCGGCTCTTGGAGCTCAGGATATTCTTCTAGCCCTTCAAACACCCATTTCCTCTTAGCGGGGTCCGAGTCAGCACCACAGAACCAGGGTCTGACGCTGTGGTAGAAAAACTCTGGATCGCAACCATCGCGTACGGCGAGTAGGATGTCCTTGAGTTCGTCGACTACTTTGGTCATTTTGTGAAGGAATGACGTGATGCGACGAACGGCAATGTCATCACCGACGAACATTTCGTCCATAGTGGCACGCATGAGTTCGAGGGCTTCTACGCCACGGATTTCTATGCGAGAAGAAGCAAGGTAGAACTCTTGCTCGTCATTAGTTCCAGTAAAGAGATCTTGGCTCCGGAGATTATGTATTGCTGGAATAGGATCCGATGAAGGAGACTTGAGATCCCAGTTATAGAGCACCGTGTCAGAGTAGGTGCCTACAGCAGGGAGCTGTAGCTGGGAGGATACTTGGAGTAGGGGTATGGAGATAGATGGGGGAATGCGTATTTCGGTATCCAGAGATTGCGTGTGAATGTACATGTGCATGATAAAAACAAGCACATGATGTGCTCTACGGAGTAATAGCTCAGAGTTGGTGAGATCCAAAGTTGATAAAATTGGGGTCTAACGGCGGCCAGCGTCAACCAAAAAGGCACCATGGCACTGGAGCAAAATATTACTTACCTCGCGGACCCGAGCTCGCCACGAGGAGGATAGAGCAGCCTCCTCAGGTGTAATACCTGGTTTACCACCCAGCTGTAGTTTGGTCTTCAAAGCGTCCTCTAGAACAGCTTCCCATGGTTCCCATTCAAGTGGGAGGCGACTTGGAGGGGGATCTGGAGGCATGAAACCAGTGCGAGTGTCGACATCGAAATCGTGTGCAGCTAGAGTAGATGTGTCTGGTACACCGTCTGCAGTCCCAATTATAATGTCGGGACGGGGAAGGGATAGGAAGTGCTGGGGTGACAGAGTCTCCAGTTGTACGAACTCGTCCATGGTGGTTGGTGTGAGAGGATTAGGAGTAGCAGAAGGGCTTATAAAGAGAAGCTAGCAAGGCAGCACATCGTTTGGGATAACGATGATTAAGAAACTGATTTTTTGAGCCACTGCAGGAAATCGGTCCGATCGCACTCGTAATCAGATCGACTCAGCGAATTACTATATCGGGTATGTCGTTGCGTCGGAAATGAATCTTGCCGTAAGCCGAGTCTGTACGACTCAGCCAACCAAGCTCAACCACTCAACGTATCCCAGTCAAAAGCTCTAACTACCACTAGCCATGCAAGCTACTTGATAGTAGTTTCCTCTAGCACACCTCTCGAAAATGAGTCTGACAACCTGGACTCTATAATGATAACTGTCTTCAATACTAAAAACGCGACGCAAAGGATGGAGGACGGACAACATACACTCGAGCAACTGATGTGTGGTAGGAGTTGTTACTTGCTCACTTTTAATTTAGAAACATTGATAGGTGCCACAGGACCGACGAGGATCAAATAGAACCATCCATGTTGCATAATGGACTTCGTCTGGGAAAGGGGCAACGTATTGGATTGACATGAACTCAAGGTTCCGTACTTGTCAAGATCGACAAGCATAAACCTACTAAGTAGGTAGTCAGAAGATCCTGCGAAAACTCGTAATTGTTATCACAGAGCCTCGATCAAGAAGAAGAAATGTACTGAAAAAAGCAATCACTTACCGACAAGACAAGGCTCAAGACTGATCGGACTTTGTTGTCGTCGACTTGGTATCCTTTAGACAACGAACTCAATCTTGAAACAGGGAGTTATTAAACCTAGTCGATCATCATCTCGGTGGATTTCCTGTAGATTGATCGAGTGAGCATGTTATACTCTCTGTCGGGGATGGGGATGTGGAAGTAGATAGTGGATTGACTATCGCAAACCTTATTGAAGTCCACTAGAAGATACGATAATAAAAGACTCGCGCTGGCAGAACGTAAGACCCTGGCGATAAGCAGCTACATAGTATTGTTGCTGGGCCAGGGCAGATACAACTTATGTGTAGGGGATGGATTAAGAGATATAAAGTTCGTCGCACCATGGTAAAGTTGATGATAGAGAGTTCTATCGCCATCTCATCGAGCGTGTGACAGCCAGCGGTTGTTGTTGAGGCTTATTGAAAAGCCAGTGAAAAGGACGCGTACATCTAACACCCGTGTCGTACGTCCCGAGACTGAGAAGAAAGGGTCTTTCAAGCTGCTTTATCGGGCACATAGAAAGTCTAGATTGAGTCCCAGGAAGTAGTTGGAATGATAATCGCACTGCCTATCGCTGTTCCGCTGTTAATGGTGAGAAGAGACGCGCATGCTTTGAGATGTTGGCACATTGCACAAAAGAGACATGCCGTTACAGCAGAACAATTAGTTAACAATTAGAGTCGGGCGGGTTCTTCCGAAATGAGCCCGGCCAAAGAAAGCCAAATATTCTCTTCCATATTCGTCTTTTTGTTTCGTGCAGACTCGTGCGCTGACATCTTGGTTTCACTTTGCTTTATTGTTTTTGCCTTTCTGGAAGCGCAACTTACGCCTTTCCGCATCCATTCCATCACTACAGAGACAAAAAACTATTCCGCATCTCGCCCCCAGTAATTTCAGAAACAAAAAGCGCGCCAAGGCACTTTTTGTTCTCCACCTCGATCCCATCTCGAACGCTCGCCAAAGATGGACATTCCTATCTGCTCTCTCAACTATAAAATATCTGGAACAATGGCCCAACATTGCCAGCAATCGCCTCCGGTTATTCAAAGCACAATACACTCTACAAAGCAATGGCCCACTACTCTCAGCCTGCTGCTGCAAACTATTATACTCCTTCTGCTCATTCACATCAGAAACAACGCGGTTACCGCATTTGTGATCAATGTGGTGCCATCGAGAATCCTGCAGTTCAAAAATTCCGACTATGTGGCGGCTGCGTATGTCTATCCATTTCAGTCTTGTTACCATAATCTGACATGAGCCGTTCTATGCTTAGATGACAGCACAATACTGCGTGAGTTTACTTTTATTGAGTCATCGTCTCTGAGCTTGAAGCTGACAGCAATATCAGTCCCCAGAATGCCAAAAATCTAACTGGTCTTCGCATAAGGCTATATGCCAACATACCGCTGCTCAACTATCAGCTGTCAAACAACAGTATATGAGCAGCGCTTACGCTGACGAAAATTTGGCGAAATACCTTCGCAAATTCACATCCACACACTCGTCATTACTCGGGTGGGCCGGCTTCCAGGCGCTCCAACTGAAGCGTCTACCTGCCAACATCCGTTCAAACGCTCTCCTAATTGAGCTGAGCTATAACAGTCACGCTGACTCATTACATCGGTAATGACTACTCCCTGCTCAAATTGAGGATCGTCACTAATGATGTATTTGAATATTAGTTTCTCGATAGCAAATACACATGTTGTGCCTCGATCATATGTCACTGGCCACGATTCTCTTGTCGCAGCTGATATCGAGCGGCGCGAAGAACGTTGTCGTCGGAGTGGCGGTATTGGCACTGCTGTCATACTCATTCAGTGTGGCAGTATCAGTCAGGTCATGCCCGTAGAGGTTGACCCACCAAGCAAAATTACTTGGGACTCGCGAGAGGACTGGGCAGACGTCCTCCGCCACTTTGTCGAGTCCGGCAGGACAGATTTCAAGCCCATATCAACGACCTCGAGAGGGTGAGCTATATTTTTTTCTTTCCTTTTGATCGATCCCTTATGTTTATTTTTCTAGCAGAGTCGTCTATGGTTGAGCTCGCATTTAGACCAGCACATGGACACTTTCTTTCTCAACGTGGATCGTTGAAACACTTTGCATATTTCGTTTTCGTTTTTTTGTTTTCGCATTCGTTTTCTGGGATCACTCACATTGTTATCACTCATCTTTTCATCGACGCATTTCATGGTTTTTTTTTCTCTTTAGCTCTGCCAAGCTCCTTCGTGTATAGCGCTGTACAAACATATGTTGTCTTAATACTCAGTTAATGAACATGCTACGAATATTCTGAATCCTCACTGCTTGTGATCTCCCAGGATGTCGACATTTCAAAAGAGACTCGAAGTTTACGTAATAAGGGGAATGTAAGATGCCTCTGAAGCGGCGAGGAGATTTCTTATCCACAAGCCGGCGTCTTGCGAGAAATTATAATATCCGTTTTGTTGTTACGACCCTGTGCTCTACACCTCTTATCTCTATCCCATCATGACCACAGCTATACGGAATAGACCATACACGTCTACGCCTTCAGATGCTTCTCGGACCATAACCATAAGGGATTCGCAGCCTAGAGAAGAGGACCATGGGCCTTCGGGAGAATCACCTTCAGGCCATGTAGGGGTTTTACGTCTGCGGGGTGTTCCACGTCGATCCAGTCAACGAGTAAACTGGGGTGAAGATGTGGTAGATAACGAAGGATGTGGAAAGAAGAAATCCAAGAGTACGTGCAGCTGATTCCTCTGTGCCTCGTCGTATTCATCTAGCCCTGTAGTATGCTGTATATACCATAAACCAAAACGTTTCGATGAGTCGTCATCGGACGAGTCATCTGATTCGGACGATGACTCGGATTCATCATGCAACCACGGACCTCATCCACACAATCATGCACGTCCAACTGATCGTCAAGGCGGAGGATCGGCGAGCAGGAACCCTCCGCACGGTGGAGTAGTGCACGGGCTTATGGAGTCGAATGACGATTGTAATGCATACGAGAAAGCGCCCCAAAATCGAAATGGAAGGAAGTAAAAAGCTTTGGTGAGTGTCATTTCTAGTCTGCAGATATATTATTAATGAAATCTGAAATATGTGTCAGTTACAGCATTGTTGTGTTATTTCATTTTACGCAGGATATGATTATGAACCTTTACAACCTGACGACCTAACTCGAGCATTCTCTTCTCACCTCTAGATAGGTGATTCTTATGTGTACCTTGCATATTTATGTCATGTTTCACAGCAAATTTCATTCATGAAAAGATACCGTATGTGCCAAAAGTCAAAGAAGTTTTTCTAGGGACCGGAGTCTTCGTCATGACCTTATCACACTTCTTCTGTGATGAAAACCATCCCCACAATCCTTGTCTGTGCAATATTTTGTCCCTTTTCTAGGTCATTGTTATTCAGCTGTTACCACAGTGTGTGTAATACCCGGTTCAACCCCGACTCGGACGGAAATAGAGAATGTAATCCAAGTGAAGTGCAAAGTATAAAAACCCTCCTAATGCGACGTTCATATACAACACGTTAATCAGTTAGCAGCAAAGATCAGCAATGTCTCAACAAGTCACTCAGAAAGCTCTTGTCATCCCTTGCGCTGAAGCTCCTTATACTTTCCTCACTCGTCCTGTTCCTACGCCGGGAGTGGGGGATGTACTTGTCAAGATCGAAGGTATTGGACTCAACCCGGCTGAGTGGAAGATAACAAAAGGGGTCATGTTGATAAAGGAATATCCATTCATGTCGGGCACAGACGGTGCTGGAACGGTGATAGCCATCGGGAAAGATGTAAAGGGCGTTTCCAAAGGGGATAGAGTGTAGGTTGTTCACCAAGTTTACACGACCCAAAGCTGACTTGAAGTCTTCTGGCGGCTCACGAAGTCTCTTCCAAGGTAAGCCATCGTTTGTCTATGTATCTCATTATTCTTCTGAATATGTGTAGGTTATTTTGAGGCGGATAGAAGCACACACCAGGAATATGTTCTGGTATACGCGGATCTACTTGCGAAGGTAAGGAACATCCTCCCTCTCTTGCAGCCATCATCGACAAAAATTTCATGTTTAGCTACCACCTACGATATCTTCACTAGAAGCTGCATCTATACCTCTTGCACTAGCAAGTGCAGCGCTGGGATTAGCCATACCTTATAAACCCACTGAACGTAGTGGTGCTGGACTCAAGCCTTTCTGGGACGACGACGCCGAAGGATACTACCATGGTCAGGCCATTGTAATCTTGGGAGGGTCATCCTCTATAGGGCAATTTGGTAGAATTTTCCATTTTATCGCTTTACCTTATCATCTCAACATTGATCCACAAATTTCAGTCATTCAGATTGCTAAGTACATGGGGTATTCGCCAATAATCACTACTTCCTCACTTCGCCATAAAGAGTTTCTGGAGAGTCTAGGAGCAACCCACGTTCTTGACCGCTTTGACGATGTGGCACTTGGTGTTAAGGAGTCGTTGGGCGGGAAAGAACTGAAGTTAGCTTATGATGCCGTTCATACGCCGATTACTCAGGCCGAAGTGGACCTGTTGAGTCCAGGGGGACAGATCGTCAGCGCATGGGAAGTTCCCAAAGATTCGCTCGATCTGTCCGGTAACAGGCGTGCCATCGACTACTACGGTACCGTGCATTGGTACAAAGACCTTGGGAAAGCTATGTATGCGAAACTAGGCGCGTTTTTGGAAAGCGGTGTTATTCAGGCAAGCTATCCCCCTCCTATCTACGCTGAATTGACACACCCAACTAAAAATTCTAGCCTAACCGCGTTGAGAAGTTACCTGATGGATTATCGGGAATAGTAGGAGGATTGAAGAGGTTGGAGGAGAATCAAGTCAGCGGTGTGAAGCTGGTGGTCGATCCTGGGGAGACTCCTCTGGCAGCTGGTAGTTCTTGATCCTTCCCATTTTAGATGGAGCTGTGGTTCGATCTTCCATAAATATTGCTACTTTTACTCGCACTCGTTGGCTTATATCCCGTACATTGTTATTGTCAGAACTGTTGGCTCTCACACTGGCAATGCCCCTTACCAGCAGTCATTTTTACTTCTTTCGCCCAGAAAGAAAATGATGATTACTCCATCAAATGAACTAAAACACGGCTGATCTAAGTCTTTTAGACAGACTAATTTGTACCAGCTAGCTATAGGACAGGGGTGCAGCAGTTGGTGACCAATCACCCATTCCTCGTCCACATCTTATCACTACAACATCAACGTTGCATCAACTCCAGAGCTCGAATCCATGCCTTGGGCCTAGCCTTCCAAAGTAATCCAGTTCGTCATACCAAGGCTCAAATTCTATGTTCCATTGTTTCACGCATAACATAGACCATGATGATGCAAAAGTACAGCGATTACCAAATGGAGGTGAATCTGTATACCGGTCGAGTAAGCCAAATCCCACAGAGAAGTGAACGAGTCCTCGAGTGATCATTATAATGCGGATAGTCGTGTCATAAAGTGAGCGCGAAAAGAAAGCATAGCATAAGTCAGGGGCATGGACATGCTCATACTACAAGATTTTATGACCAGGGGAACATCAATCCACAACCACAAATCGGGCATAAAAGATCACCCCCATGCCTTATCTATGGGTCTTGCCTCCAGCTTACTCCCTTGGAGCACCTCTGCCAACACCAGCATACTGTGGCCTGAAGTCTGCGGGAGCACCCTCCTTCTTGCGGTAGTCGTCCCGGTCACCACGAGGAGCACGGTAAGTACCCTCTCCACCTCGTCCAGGAGCAGCAGCAGGGCGTGGGGGGCGTACAGCTTTCTTGTGTGTGGTAGGGACGATCTCAGCGGGGAGGTGTAACCTGTACGATACAGACAAGTATTTGGCTATCAGAAACCTTCTTTACAGAATACTGTATACTCGGGCGTGTACGTACCATTCACGGAGGTACTCGACACCTTCCGGGGTCAAGACGTAGTAATACCATTGCCACGAGAATTGAGTTTTAACGAGACCCTTCGAGGTCAGGCTCTGCATGGCCTTGATAACCTGGAGGTTAGGGACATCGAGTTCTTCATGCTTCGGCGCGTTGAAGTCTTTTTTGGCAACTAGGACACCCTCTATTTCCAAGACCAATATTTATTAACCATATGAACACCCGGACTAAAAGGAGAACGCACCCTTGAAAAGGTTCTCGTAGATGACGCGCCTGTTCTGCTTGGAGATGATCATGCTGGGCGATTAGATGTTTTTGGTGCGGAAGCTGCATGATCGTCACAACGGTCAGTCCTTCCACGACAATAGAATCAATTTTCAGGACATACTGCGATGCTGCTGTTCGCACTTGTTCCGGCTGTGAGGCAGAGGACATGTCAGTCAAAACATCCATGAGTTGCAGTGAAAATCCAGCCTCGTCCGGTGCTCCAAAAACTCCCAGATTGAAATGAAGGCCTGGTTTCAAGACATCAGACGTGTTTAGACACTCACGTTTGCTTGAAGAGGCGAAGAGGGCCTTGTTATAAGTCTTGACGTCGGTCGGATAGCCTGTGGTCGACGGCGAGAATAGGGTTGACAGAGTAAGGCGGAGTTGGAAATACCTCCGGAAATGGAAACTCATCCATGATTGCTCTACCTTCTCAGTGTAATGATTTCAGATTTATTTCCTTATAACTGGCCATGACAGTTGCGGCATAGTTGTGCGCTCTATCACCTAGACTGCGTTGAACATGAAGACAAACACCATTGGATCCTACAATAGGACAACAAGGCTTGTTGACCGATCTTACACTGGCACAATTCCACGCAGCATTTGTCGTCGCTCGTAAGTTTAAGGATACAGTAAGTAGAAATACAGAACAAAAGTATATGTCCGCTCACAGTCATTACTTAGGTTACAATCAAATTAAGAAAAATGCAAACACTGTAGTAAATGAGTAAATGGCTTATCCCGATCAAATCCTTGGACATTTCACCATCTTACTTGGATCCTGTTCGGACGCAGCTTTCTTGTTTTCGCGAGGCTCTTTCATGAACAATATCACCTCATCGCCCCAGCTTCTCTTTCTCTTTCCTTGGCCCTCAGGATCCCAGTACCCATTGGAACTAAACTTGCTGCTTGGTGGCACAGTTACTGATGACGGAATCGTCTTGGGTATTATCTCCGCTACTGAACCTGGACCAGCTGCCTCTTTCTGGTTCCTCATATGTGGGCTCGCACTCCGACAAATCACCCTACCATCCATAGACTCGCACGTCAACGCTGACGCGATCAAGATATTTGACAATAACATTGAACAAGAAGATTCGACATATGGCAACTTATTCAGCGCCGTACTCCTAGAATTTCTTTTGTTAAATATTCACCGCACTGAAAAGTTCGACACCTCTTGATCAACGCTGACTCTTCGTTTCGCTGGGTTCCTTGTGGATGGGTCTAGAGTCTTTCCTCCTGTTGTTGCTGATTGATGTCAAGCTCAGTGCCTATCATTTTTTCTTCAATATTTAAACACTGTTCAACTTTATCGACGACTTGTGAATACACATAACAACCTTCAGGCTCACCACCCAATGGTACGTGTACGGGTGCTTCCATCTCATCATCGCAGTCTTTCGGCCGCGAGATCGTAATGATAGGAATCTGTGGTGCCTGAGAGACAGAATGAGTTTTCAGAGTGGGGTGTTTTTGGAGCCCAAAATGCAGATTGGGAAGACCGAAAGGAATAGGAATCCTGGCTCTCCCGAGTTTAACATGCCCAACGCAGACAAAAGGGCGAGCATCAAAGCGGCGAACTTCGTACTTGTCTTCCGCGCCAATACATTTAAAGTGATGGACAATGAATGCTGGAATCTGTCAATCAAAAGGCAATGTCAAAACCATCACAAGCACCACCGATGTCAGAAAACAAAGTTGAGGTGTCAGTGCCAGTGCAATGATTTATATGAGTGTAAGGGAATAATACGGACATGGCAATGCACGCCCAAAGTAGGAGGGCAAAGTATCTGGCTGTGAATAAGATGGGACAGAATGTCATTCCCCACCAGTTGTACCCTGTGGGTATAGATGTAAAGGCGGTGTTTTCGGTTTGAGCCGTGGACAACGGAGAGTAGCTGAGGGGCTTAATCGAAGGAGTGAGTTAGCGCTGGTATTGTTGACGCCCGCTTCTGATGAACTGGGAAAAATAGCGGTCTCGCTGTTGATAGTCTGATCACCTGGGCCATCATGAATGGAGCACACAAATGCAGCGGTGAGCGCATCTGCGATAGGGACGGGTGTGACAGGCTCTGAAGGTATGAATATGGGGACAGCAAGTGTGGGTGGTTCTGGGACAGAAATAAAGCTAGAAATGAATGGGTCTGCGGTGATCAATAAAAGTACAGGGATTGTAAGGGGCTGGTAGAGATGGTAAGCTCAGTCGAAGGTCGTGATAGGATTGTAGCCCCATAAGTTGAAGAAAAGAGATAAAAGAGACCAAGGCTGCTCCTGCGTTACTGAGAAATGGAATCATTGATAAGTTATAGATGTAGAAAGATATAGTGCACCCTGGACTATCTGGCGAGATGGAAGAATAAAAACAGGTTATTGTGGCTGGAGTTGGTTATAAGATGCGTTCCAATCACGTGATCAAAAGCAACGTCAATAAATATTCCCAGGAGCCGTAAAGAACGAAAAAAACATAGGAAATGCGATAATATGTTATTGCATACATGTTGCATAGCAACAAGAGCATAGCACTTAGGCTATGCCAGGGCGGTAAGTTTCTTCCCTTTACTTTGCACTTTGCGCTCATGGAATGCCTCAACCGAGAGATATCAAGGAATGGGGGTCTTGTGCTCATGGCTGTACATATGGATTAGCGAGCTCAAATGATCGCCCTAGCGTCTCAACTTAATCAACCTCCAAAGAAACAACATATCGTCCTGGAGATCAAACGCTCGACTCATCAGACTGTAACACATGGAGCCATCACTGGCATATTTGTGGCATCTTGCGGTATCAATCCCCTCAAACATATCTAATCGTCATGGAGGCTGACAGCAACCACGACTGCCAACAATCGCGGCTTTCGAGAGCGCAGATACAAAGGCGAATATCCTTGCCATGCCGCGCGACGTGCACAAGCCGTACAGGTTTGTCAATTTTGCTTGGCAAACACGGTTGTTGTCAGAGGTGCTCTCTCTTTTTTGCCATCTTACGACATACTAAACGTATGGCATTGACATGGCATGGCATGGCAGGGTCCTGTGCACATTGTGACCGAGGCTAGCCATTCGTTCTTCCGCGTCTCCTCGTTCTCGACTCGGCGCCTGTTCATGTATACTACGGTGATCTGCACTGTTTTACAGCAATCATTTTTCCACCGTGAGAACACTGGATCCTGCATGATGGAACACGATAATAGCCTGCAGTACTATGACCGCAATACAGATATCGACTGTCATATCACTAATTGTTCTGATAGGGGAGACTAAAATGGTCAAGAACCTCTACATCATTATTTGCTGATCCTCTTTAAACCGATAGCGAGCATAGCATCGCCAAGGTCAACGCTCCTCACATCCCCCACCCATCTCCCGCGTCCATGTCTTCTTCCTCCCCCGTCCCAGCTCTAACCCCCGAACTCCTCGGCGAACTCAAGGATAGATCAGAACGTGTCCTCCTCTACCTCATCAATACCAACAGCACCTCCCGTTACGTTCGCGAATCCCCATCCCTTCAACCCTTCCACGACGCACTTTCCCAGCTCTCCGATCCAGAGCCCTCCTCTCTCCTACACGTTTTCCGTTCCACTGTTCCTCTCACCAACTACAGTTCCTATCAGCCTTTCATCTCCCGATTCCTCGAGAAACCATGCAAAGAATCTGAGCTGAAAGACCTCTTCTCACCCGGCCTACCATATTTCATTGCCATCTCCAGCGCAACCTCAGGTGCGGCACCAAAACATTTCGCCAAGTACCGTCACCCTCCAGGCATCGCATACGAGTCAGTGGACAAAAGTGCGAACCCAGTGTCATCGACAGGAGGCACAAATTGTATTGTATACTCGCTTGGATGTAGCAATGTACTCCAGATCGAGGGCAGCGAAGCACAAATCGTTAAGCAGATTCCCATCACGCTCATGTCCTCTGGCTCTATTCGGATGCAGAACGGTCTTGATATAGACAAAGACCCGTGGATGGTCACTCTGACTGGTGAGCAGGCCGTTGATCTTTCCAACGCTGCGAGCGTGCTGATGATAGTGTTTTACAATACGCAGCTCCTCGTGCAACCTCGCCCGTCGCAGTCAGCTTCATCTCCAAATACCGCCCATTCCTCCTCATGCACGCCCTATTCGCCCTCCATGACCGCAATCTCGAAACCATGAACACCCTTTTCGGCACCGTCTTCCTTGACATGATCAGGTATATTGAAGAAGACTGGGAGACCCTCATTGACTGCATTGAGCACGGGAAACTTCCCGATCTTGAGGGAATCGATCACGTGAGGCAATATCTAGAGGTGAGACCAGTCGATTGATTCGTGTAGAATGCTATCTTGACAGACGGATGATATTGTATGACACTCAAGCCCAAGTTCATTGCCAACCCTACACGAGCGGCAGAGCTTCGAGCCATCGGCGTAGTTTCCGACCGCCCAGGTTGGCTGCGAGAAATCTGGCCAGGCTTCAAGTGTGTTATCGGAATCGCGAGTGGGATTTTCGCTGCTGTCATCCCCAAGGTGAGCCTTCGAACCCTCGGAATCTAATCGTATATTCAACACCACGTTGACACACTTTTTCAAACAGATGCGTTATTACCTAGGCCCTCATGTCCACATGCGCAGTCTTGGCTTCACAGCAAGCGAGACTTACGTTGGAACGGTGTACGGGGATGGCGATTTGAATCAGTTCAAGGTCGTGAGCGACGATTTGATCGAGTACCTTGAACTCACGCAAGAGGAAACAACTGAAAATGTACTTCCTGCCGTAAGTGCTCGCACATTTCTCTCTTCTATTTACGATTTCATTGACGCATCAAAACTCGACTGGCATCAGTGGGAAGTCGAGACAGGCCAACAATACGAGCTTATTCTCACCACCCGCGATGGGATGTGGCGCTATAGACTCGGGGACATCATCGAGATCGCAGGGTTCGACCCCGAGGACGGCTCTCCTATCATAAAATACGTCGAGAGGAGAAAGTGAGTATAGTATCTCACATCCCCACTCATCTGGACTAAACTTAAACCTCCCCCCACTCTCCACGCAGCGTCGCGATGCGTCTCGGCCACGCCCAGACGAGCGAAAGACAGCTCGTCGATGCTATTTTTGCGACGACGGCTGATGCTATCGGACCGGTTACTGAATTCACAGTCGTCCGGGACGAGCGGCAGCTACCCGCCACTTTTGGGTTCATCGTCGAGACCTCGGGGCCTCTCGGGCCCAACGCCCACCTCGCCCGCCAGCAGGTTCTCGACAGCCTGATCGCATCCAACGAGAACATCCAGCGCAGTCTCAGTAAAGACAGTCTCCGCCCACCAACGATCAGGATCGTTAAGCCTGGGTCGTTTAGGGATTTCAGAAGGTGGCGGATTGAAGAGTTGAATGTGGGTGCTGGGCAGATGAAGATCCCTGTTGTGCTTAGGGAGAAGAGGTCGGAGGACTGGCTGGTTGAAAAAGTCATACACGAGGTCTGAAATCATAGGGCAGCGTGGACATAGATGGCGCTGGAGGCTGAGGGTTTAATAGGTGAGGGTTTACGAGAACAGGCAGTCATTCATTATTGTCGATTTTTAGCGTGTAATACTTACCCATCATAGAATTTCTTGTTGCATCGCTAGCCAGATAATCTTAGGGAATGATCCCACCACACAAGATGTCTTCATACAGAATCGAGCGATAGCCAATAATATTACATTGTCTTTATTATCTTCTTTCTCCTTTCCTTTCCTCAACACTCGAGCTCTCAAACTCCGGTACCAGTATGGTCGACCCGTCTGAGTATAACGTCCGCGCGCACAAAGTTGTTGTAAATCTCGTCTGACGTCAATAGCGTATCCGTACTGGTCGTGGTAGGGTACAAGAACGCAGACAACGGCTGGGAGAGCGCGAGCGACATGCATTAGCAACATGAAATAAGATGAGGGGTCTAGACTGGCTTTACCTCGTGAAATTCAATGAAAGCGGCGGCTATCGAGGTGTTAGTGGTCAGCCGTGATGGAGGTGAGGTGAAGAGGAACATACATTGAGGGATATATCCATCACCTTTCACCCCAGATCCACCATGGATCTTCTTCCGATATCCCTTGGCGTCCGCCCAGTTGTTAGTGTAGAACATGAGTCCGGCCTCTATCCAAGTCCCAACCAAAATAGTATGTAACCAAAGACGGTATGTTCGAACCAACGCGGGGCAGAGACAGGAGGTGAGCGGGAACGAAAGGACAACGAACGAAAGGTATACGCACGGTTCGTATCAAACTCGACTGCCAATCCTGATCTGTCAGAAGACAGTTCGAGCACGGGATCTCTCCGTCCGCCCACCAGCAGACCTTTCACCAGGTCGAGGGAGGGAGCGAAGGACGAAAGAGGTATGCGATGCGGTGAAGCGGAAGCGGGGCGTGGAGAGAGGAGGTAGTAGTCATCTGCGTTTGTGCAGTGCGAGAATGAGGAAGTGAAGTTGAGTGGGGAAGTAGCTGATACACTCACCATACCCGCCCTTGGGGAATCCGTCCCCGATGCGCTTGTTACCATGTACATGCGCTCCGCTTCCGCCATCTGCCTCTGCGATAGGGATGTAGTTCCCAGAAGGAAGGTGATTGGGCAGCAGCTCCGCGACGTGGGTTGACTGCCCAGGTCAGTCAGAACGTTGTGCTTTGGGGTATTGTGTGAAGATTTCAGTGCGCACCTTCATGTTCATATTGTGGTTCATAACCGAGAGCGAATCTGGACCATCCTTCAAGCTCGCATCGAGATTAAAGCCCCAATGCTAAGAACCCCTTCCACTGAGCATAACGTCAAAAAGAGAATGGGAAGGACAACAGACCTGAGTGATATTGATCGGCGTCACCACCTTCTCCCCTGCCTTCTCATCCACTTTGGCCCTATACACAATAACGACGCTCCCAAGCTCATGCTCTGCCCCGCCGGTTGTACGCCCGGGACCAGGCTGAACGACGGCGATGAGCACCTCGAGGAGGAGTCTGCCTGTGTAGCCTTGGTCGCCGTCCTCGGACGTGAGCGTGAAGATGGCAGCGCTCGATTCGCCCGGTGCAGCTTCTGCGATGGCGGAGATCTCAGCGGGGGTGAAGAGGGTGGCGGAGGAGAGAGACGGGAGCTGCGTCCATGCGCGCTGGTCGAAGCCCGTGGGACCTCCGTGCAGCGATACCTGCGGGCTTTCTGTTTCCCCCCGCACATACTCTAAGCAACGAGTGAGAGCGGGGACGAGAAGGACTGACCGTTTGTGATGGCTGTGAACTGGGACGACACACCGTCCTTGTCGACGGTGTGTGTCCCGACGGGGACTCTGTTGGCGTATCTGCCGACGATGGTGTTGGTGTATTTGACGACGGTGTGGTCTTCGGGTGCCTCTGGGCCGATGACGATGTCGTGCGTCTTTGGGGGGATGAGTGGGACAAAGGAGGAAACGGGCGATACGCACCCTTCCGTCGACTTGGACAAAGATACGGTGAATGGTTAGTCCAAAGGGAATGACCTGGGATCATACAACCACGATGTGAGCACAACACCGAAACTGGAGCAAGGACCATACCTCGACCGCCAGCGAAGGAGCGAGGGACGGGAGGGAGAGCAACACGGGTTTGAACTCTGCCATGTCTGATGGTAGAATGTCAAGAGTGAACTGTGCACTTTTTTGCTGGGTGGGAGCCCTTTGTTGCTTATAGCCACGCTTTCAAAATGCTCAGCTGCTCAACTTTTTGGGAAAAAAATGAAAAACATATAATTGTGGAGCATTCATCATCAGCCATCGGCGGACCGTCCCGTCTTATCTTATCTATCCCATCCCGAATGCAATCCCCTTCCGACATACATAGCGTCCATCTACAGTAATACATTTATCGAATAATTCACTCATTTACAGTCCCTATTCTTCATTCTGTAAACTTGAACACTGTCACATTCCAGTCAGAATCGAGATGCAAAAGTCAAGTTGAAGAAGACTCACCACACGCTCCACTGCTTGGCTTGGTAGCAAAAATAACTTCATGCAGTGCGTCTCCTTCTAGGTCTCGGTACGGCGGGTAGGCAGCCTTGACTTTCCCAATGAACGAATCCACCTGCGTCTCATCAACCAGCGAGACCGTGCAGCCGCCCCAGCCAGCTCCTGCACAACCAAAAGAAATCAATACATGTTCTTGCAACACAAAAATAAACAAGGAATGAACGACTAACCAGTCAACCGGCTCCCATACGCCCCCGCCTCCATCGCCAGCCGCGTCAGCTCGTCAAGCTCAGGACATGAGCAATCGAACACCCGCGAACAACTCTCCTGCGATTCGTTCATCAGCTTACCCAGTTCCCCAAGCACAGCGGTCTCCGCTTCTTCAGATGGGGAGAGGTAAGACGATGCGGTGAGGCAGACCTCGCGGAACTGTAGAACACGGAGGGCTTCGGTGTACACGTGTTTTGCGCGATTATACAACTGGAAGTGGGTCGCTTCGACTATTGCAAAGAACGAAATGAGGGAGTGAATGAATGGTAAAGAACAGAGCTTACCGTCAACCCAAGACAGGTACACGTCCTTGAAGGCCTCCTCGCCCATCCCAGACCACTCAATCATCGTCTCCATCGTAACGCCAAGCTCATCGCCCTCCCCAGCGCCCTCTGGCTTAAGCACCTCCACCTCCCTCGCCATCCTCTCAAGCCCGCTTTTCAGCTCATCAACGCTAATCTCCCCCTTATCAGCGTCAAGCTCAGGCTCACCGATGAGTCGCGCCAGGACATGCCTGAGCGTGATCTTCTCGCGCGGGCCGACGGAGAGGCCGAGGCGGACGGCGAGAATGCGTGCGGCGGCGAGTGTCTCGACGACGCGCAGGTTGTAGCGCGTGCGTGCGTGAACGACTTTGTCAGAGACGACGAGGGAGTTGGCGCAGACGAACACTGCGCTTTTGGTCGAGCTTGATTTTGGGTACTGTGTACCGATTGGGGACGACCCGGGGAGAGGGATACGCTCTGCGGAGAGTCGGGGGAAGAAGGAGACGTAGAGTGCGGAGTTGGCAGTTGAGATCACGGATGCGGCTTGGTCCATTCTGAAGTTTAGAGTGTTAGTGTTGATCAGGGGATTTGGATGGGTGGGCTCACCCTCCGCTGTTTACACCTGGTAACATACTTAGTAGAAACAAGTAAAAGGAAATAGGGAAGACGCACCGACACGCCTCTCGTTCTCCATCGACATCTCAACGAGCGATCCCTTCGTGATTGCCTTCAAGTTACCGTTCTTAATGGCTTCTTCTTCGAGGAGACCGTTTGTAGCGAGGAAAGCGAGGGTTGAAGCGACAACCATGGCCGCGCTGGAAGACAGGCCAGAGCCAGCAGGGACGGAACCAGTAACGAGCAGATCGACGGGGATGGGGTGCAGGCTAGTCTCGTTCGGCGCAAAGTAATGGTTCAGCACGCCCTAAAACACAAACCATTATCAGCCTCACCATCCTCATTCACAACAAAAAGGAAAAACAGACATAATAGCCCGCCTTGACATAGCTCTCCCACTTGAGCTCGTCTTTGTTATCGATATCGAGGTGCCACTCTTCGACGTGTACGGCGTCCTTGGGAACGTCCTCTTTCCCGACGGGGCCGAGTGTGGGGCGGCGGGTGGGGGTGAAAGCCTGGCGCTTGTATTTGCCATGCAGGTTTTCAGCGATGACGCTACCTGGTGCGTGAGTGGAGGGGTCGGATGGGACGGGCCGGGGAGCGCATGCGATGAGGATATCGCGTTCGATCGCAGCTGGGAAGACACCAAAGAGTGCGTAGTCGATGTGCTCGCCTGAGGAACGTTAGTTCAGGTGTTGTGTAAAGTAGATAGAGACATACCTATGAGGCTAGATGTGCAAAGTTTAAGGATATGTTTGTTAGTGAGGGAAGAGGAGGAAAGAAAGGTATGGTTACTTGACACGGCCTGGTGCTCGTGCGATGTAGGCTGGAGGTCTCCCGAACCTTGCTTTGAACTCCTGGGCGAGATTGTCCCATCGTTTGCTAGACGGGTGCATAAATAAGAAATATCCGGGATAGGGATTTGGAAGGTACACCCACGCATGATTCAAGGTTGTACCGAGGTTTTGATAGAGATCGTTGAGATTGGTGAATACGGGGATGGGAAGAGAGGCTGCCATGGTGAATCTACGTGGATTGTGGTGAGCGTAGGAGGCAAGGACTAGGAAGTGCAGGAATGAAATATTACCTGAGGGATATGTGCGGAACGGGCTGACATGTGACCACTCCCGGGCCATACTCAGCATGATCTGATTACAACCATGTTATCAGATCCAGACAACCGTATGCTGCAATAGCAAGCACCATCGTCGTCGATATTGCACCAGGTTGCAATTGTGTGAGGCTGTATCCATTTCCTGCGTAAAGCTCCTGGGTCTTATCTGAACGACAGACTCATTGTCAACTCCAACTCCACCGCACCCCTCGACTCATTCATCAGTACAGGCGACAGTGACGATAGCTTTTCAGAAAAGCGGTAGCACAGTAGCGATGTCTTCGTGGAACTTCGTCGATGTCCATACGTGAGCCTACGACCTCTGGACAACGTCCGTTATCCTGAATGCCATCGCGCCTTGTATGTGGTGAGACGCAAGAAGGGTCTTTGGTGGACTCAACGCTATATACAGGTGTATGTCATAAATCTGTAAGGTCGACCTCGTTGGTGGGCGCGTCTATGGAGGCCCGGAAAAATGCGTTCTATTACGGGATTGCATTCACGACGGGCACGAGGCAATCACGATTATTTATCTATAACCAACTCAACTCTTACCCTCAACCCCCACTCTCACACCCAAACTCTCATCTCGTCTGATCCCATTCGAAAAAATCAAGAAAAAATCATGCCCCTCACTCAGAGTGGAGCCAATCCAGAGGCTAATATCCGTACTTACAACGATGTCACTGGCAATCAAGTCATCAACGCTACAAACATCACAAACGTTCACACTGGTTCTGGGGACGATGCCATCCTAGCGATGTTGAAACCAGTCGATCACAATCGCCACTACGTCCAACCATGCATGGAAGGCACCCGAAAGGACATCTTCAAGGAAATTCAACGCTGGCTCGACCAACCAGGGGACGCACAGGAAGGAAAGAATATCCTTTGGATCACAGGAAGCCCAGGAGCTGGGAAATCAGCCATCGCATCTAGCTTGATCTCGAAGCTTAGAGCCGATCGTCGTCTCGGTGGATCGTTCACTTTTCGTAGAGGCGATACGGTATTGAGCGACCCTGCGGCGCTTTGGCGGACCGTCGCCTTCGATCTTGCTCGTTTCGATCCGGATGTTGCATCCGCCGTCATCACCGCTCTCAAGGAGGGAAGCGTGGATCCCCAAAGACCCGATATTGCAGCTCATTTTGACATCCTTATCAAGGAGTCATTGGAGCGGATGAATGAAAAATTGGTAGCCCAGCAAAATCCGAGGTACGTGTCTATTTTGGAGTTTATCAGCAACGTGTTGATTTTTGTACATGTCACTGTAGGTATCCTGTAGTGATCGTAGATGCTTTGGACGAGTGTGACGATCCGTCTCAAAACCCACAACGTAAAACTCTTCTCGATACCCTTACGCGATGGTCTAAGCTCCCGAAGAAAGTCAAGTTGATAATCACAGCCAGAGACGACCGTCTACCAGAGTCTTTTCGTCAAGCCTGCCAAAAGATTGTCCTCCCAACAGGAGATAAAGTGACGCCTGCAGCATCAGAAGACATTCAGACGTTCTTTGAAAGCCGTTTCAAGGAGCTGAAGACTGATCTTCCATCGTTGGCCCAAGCCGGTTGGCCAGCCCCACGTGACATTGAACAGCTTACAACTCGTGCTGCAGGCCTTTTCATATGGGCCAAAACCGCGATGAGCTTCATCGAGGAAGGACATCCCCAGGAGCTACTAAAATTCATACTTTCCGGAGGCTCTGTTGCTGGAGAGGAGGATGTTTACCACTTATATCGTCAAGTTGTTACACATGCCCTTACCAACCTTCAGAAGAATAAGGCTAGCCAAGCGGCGTTGCAGCCCTTGCTGCAAACCATCGTATTTGCCAAAGTCCCGCTGTCGCGCGAACACTTGCAACATTTCTTGGTCACCCCTATTGAGGAGATAGCCATCGACTTTGTTTTTCGTGAATTCAAATCTGTCATATTGATCGGTGAAGATGGGCTCGTTCGCATCAGTCATTTATCATTTGTAGAGTTTCTTATTGACTCTGATCTATGTCCCGAGTTCCTCCGTATCCCCCGCGCCGCAGCGAGCACACGCAATCTCGAATTCTTACGCTCGTGCTTACAAATTATGGGCGACTCCACCTACGGTCTGAGATTCAACATCTGCGGGCTGGAGTCTTCTTACCTTTTTAATGACGACGTCAAGGATCTTCATGAACGTATGAAGAAGTACATTAGTGGCCATCTTCACTATGCATGTCGATACTGGAGTCCTCATCTTGTAGATGCTTCAGGATGCTTGTCTAGTTGTGACTGGCTCTCAAGTATGTTGTGGGCATTCTTCAGAAAGAATCTACTGCATTGGTTGGAGGTAATGAGTGTGCATGGCGATACCAAGGTTGCACAGCTCATGCTTGATGCCATCCTTTCCCTATTGCACGTAAGTCAACACTCTTACGTTTACACTTGTTCGGTGACATTCAGTGATGTTTTCTACGTCTCATACAGAGCATTGAAACTGAATTAGGAATGTTCGCAGAGGACGCGCGAAAATTTATTGTTCATTTTGACGTTCCCATTTCCGACAGCGTGCCTCATATTTACATTTCTGCTCTGCCACTCGCACCAGAGAGCTCCCTTGTGTCAAAGGCATATATGCCACATTTCAAGCGCACGTTGGAATTTATGGGTAAGGACACGAATTGGAGCCCCCTTCTGCATACGCTTAGGGGACATTCCGGTGGTGTGTATTGTGTTGCGTTCTCGCCAGATGGAACGAAGCTTGCTTCAGGTGATTGGGTTTGGGATAATACTGTCAGGATTTGGGATGCTGTGACTGGTCAGATAAAAGCTGGCCCATTTGAAGGCCACAGTGACTACGTCAATTGTGTTGCATTCTCACCAGATGGATCGAAGGTTGCTTCGGCTTCACGGGATAATACCATCAGGATCTGGGACATGTCGGGCCAGCTGGAGGCTAGTCTGTTCGAAGGATACAAGGGCGATGTTAACTCTGTTGCATTTTCACCTGATGGATCTAGGCTTGCTTCAGCAAACGGAAACTGTGCTGTTAGGATCTGGGATATCAATTCTGGTCAACTGGTGCAGCTTGGTCTGACCGGCAACATAGAAATGCATCATTCTTCCAGTATTGCATTCTCACTTGATGGGTCCATGGTGGCTGTGGCTGAGATAACATTCCTGAGATGTTTGACAATGATGGTTTGGAATATATCCACTGCGCAGCCTGCGCAAAGCATGACAAAATCCCACAAGTATCATACTTCGTCCTTCACTGCATTCTCTCCAGATCTATCCAAGTTTGGTTCAAGCTTGGATGGTAAAACCATTAGCATTTGGGATGTTGCTTCTGGACAACTAGTAACTACTACATCCCAACTTGAAGGCCACAATGGTCTTATTCAATGTGGTGTTTTCTCACCAGATGGGTCCAAAATTGCTTCAGGGTCTTATGACATGACTATCAGGATCTGGGATACTGTTTCTGGTCAGCTAGTAGCTGGCCCATTTCTAGGCCACAGTGCTTCTGTGAAATGTGTTGCATTTTCACCTGATGGATCCAAGGTTGCATCAGGTTCATTGGATTTGACCATCAGGATATGGGATTGTGCCTCTGACCAACTGACTATTAATTTGTTTAAAGGGCATAGTTCCACAATCCTTTGTATTGCATTCTCACCAGACGGATCCAGGATAGCTTCCGGCTTTAATGATAGCTTTATCAGAGTATGGGATGTCTCCTCTGGTGAAATGGTGGTTGGCCCATTCCAAGGTCATACTGAGGCTGTCAAATCTGTTATGTTCTCATCAGATGGATCCAGGATTGTTTCAGGTTCCCATGACAAAACTGTCAGGATATGGGATGCTGTCACAGGTCAGCCAGTAGCTGGCCCATTTACAGGCCACATGGAAGCTGTTCATTCTGTTGCATTCTTACTGGATGGATCAAAGGTTGCTTCATATTCAGAGGGTGCTATCATTAGGGTCTGGAATATTTCTGGACAACTAGTTGCTGGCCCATTTCAGTGTCATACTCCTGGGTCATACATTACATCTGTTGCATTCTCCCCAGATGGATCCAAGGTTGTTTCTGGGTCTTTTGATCAGGGTGCTACAATGTGGGATATTGCATCTGCTCAGGTAGTTGGTGGCCCATATCATCGTGCTGATGAGATTAGCACGGTTGCATTCTCAGCGGATGGATGCAAACTTGCTGTTGCTTCTGCAACCATCCACATCTGGGACATTGAATCCTGCCAGGTAGATGGTGGTCTATTTCAGGGCCACACTAAAAGCATTACATCTGTTGCATTCTCACCAGATGGATCCAAACTTGTTTCAGGCTCTGAAGATCAGACAGTCAGGATTTGGGATGTTCTCTCCGGTCAGGTAGTAGCTGGTCCATTCTATGGCCATAGTGCTGTTGTCACAATTGTTGCATTCTCACCTGATGGGCTCAAGGTTGCGTCCTATGATGGTACTGTCAGGATCTGGGATATTGCCTTTGATCAGCTTGGTCATCATGACACTACAAATTTGACTACACCTCCTGCATTATCATTAACATCAGATAAAGTCGATATGTCTGCATTAAACATGAAGGCAATTTATGCAAGTTCTTATTCCAAGGATTCCGGGTGGATTGGCTATGGTGATGCACCAAGAGAAAAACTCTTATACTGGATACCACCAGCCCACCGTAATAGATGGTGCGACTTCCGTACTTCTCGAGTCATTGGAGTATCTGAATTGCGTGTATCATACGATGACTTTATGCATGGTACAGATTGGACATTATGCGTCACTGGCACGGGCAATGATGGTTAGTTCTTTTATGCCTTATCACCGAGATCTGATAACCAAGCGCTCACATTCCTTGTAGCTGAGGATCACACAACGTCACAGGATGTTAGCCCTACATTACTTATGCGTGGCACTCAGCCTCGACTACTTCAACAACACTGTATGCCATCATTGACGGAGAACAGCGAGGCTGAAAGGGTCCAATCACAGGACCCTGTGTCAGCCTCCGTTCTGTCAACAAACAGGCCCAGGTCTAGCACACCTCAACCAGGAGCGGGGACTGGTACATCCGTATCATCTTTGTGGAGTTGCTTCAGACTTTGCGGGAGCCGAGGGCACAGGGATGAAGAGTTGCTTGAAGGCTAGAATAGGGCTTAAGGTTGCTTCACAGTTGAAGCTTGTACCGTATGAACTTGTTTTATATGTCGAGATAGCTGTTGCATGTAACTTGATCAGAATACATACACTTTTATGATTTCCACTAAATGAAAGTAGCCCAAATGATCAACGAGACATAAACATGATATTCTGCGGTAAGAACTTATCATCTGACTAGGTTAAGCATTGTATTATCAACTGGCTATAGCTGACACCTCAGGTATGAGATATCGTTGTCAGGAAAGAGCCAAGGGGCTATAATGTGCACACTACGAGTGCACAATAGACAGCTGATTGAGTAGAACAAAGGTAGCGTCAGCAAGATGAATGTTGGCGGTAATATAAGGAAACGCCTGTCGTTTACAACATAAGGGGCGAGGCGATACGAACATGAACGTTACACACTGGCAAGTAAGTATCTGTTATAAACAACCACGAGACCAGGCGGTGGTTCAGTGAATACAGTCACCAAACAAATCTTCGGACCAAATACAACATGATCTCATGACATGGAAGTTGCAGGCTCGTAACTGAGGAATATGGAATATTACCAAGAAAGGTTTAGCCAGATGTCTGCCAGAGAACATATGAGTGGAAGAACTGACAGCATTTAGTAGAAGCAGCAACGTCCTCTATGAATAAGTGGTAACATCCCTAGGAAGACAAGACGGCCAAGGAACGTAATAGAAGAGAACCTGTGCAAAGGAACTACCCCTTACCGGTGAACAACTTTTGACAAGCTGGTGAAGCTATTAAAGCCAGAACACGACATGGTCTCCTACACGCATCACTATCCTTCTTCAATTCAATTCAAGAAAACAGACATAACAGCCTACCCTAACATAGCTCTCCCACTTGAGCTCGTCTTTGTTATCGATATCGAGGTGCCACCCCTCGACGTGGGCAACATCCTTGGGTACGTCCTCTTTCCCGACGGTTGAAGGCCTGGCGTTTGTATTTTCCATGCAAATTTTCAGCGATGATACTGCCTGGTGCATGAGTGAAGAGGTCGACCGGGCCGGGAAGCGCATGCGATGAGGATATCGCGTTCGATCGCAGCTGGGAACACACGAGAGAGTGCGTTATCGATGTGCTCGCCTAAGGAACGTTAGCTCAGGTGTTTACATGAAGTAGATAGAGACATACCTATGAGGCTAGATGTGCAAAGTTCAAGGATATATCTGCTAGTGAGGGAAGAGGAGGAAAAGAGGGTACGGTTACTTGACACGGCCTGGTGCTCGTGCGATGTAGACTGGAGGTCTCCCGAACCTTGTTTTGAACTCCTGAGCGAGATTGTCCCAACGTTTGCCGGTATAGGGATTTGGAAGGTACACTCACGCATGATTCAAGGTTGTAGCGAGGTTTTGATAGAGATCATTGAGGTTTGTGAACACGGGGATGGGAAGAGAGGCTGCCATGGTGAATCTACGTGGATTGTAGTGAACGTAGGAGGCAGGGACTAGGAAGTGGAGATGAGATTTTACCTTTGAGGGATACGTGCGGAACGGGCTGACATGTGACCACTCCTGGACGGATATGGAGATTTCGTGGGTCTATCACAATCTGCCAGAGTACAGTGGCAAGTTGGGGGGCAATACTCACGACGACGGTGCTTGCTACAGCTTGCACCATACGGTTGTCTGGATCTGATAACAGATTATGCGTATATATTGCCTAGGTCTTATCTGAATAGCAGACTCGTTGACAATACCAGCACCATCATAACATCCTCTCATTCCCAGCGCAAACTGTCGTGACGATAGCTTTGCAGGCAAAGCTTAGAGCACAGTCACGGTAACGACGTCCAAGGCGAAATTTTCGTCGAAATCCGATGCTAGGCGATGTCCACAGGTGAACCTAGGATATCTAGACATACCTTTGGAAGTTTGGATAACGTCCAGTACTCTAAATTGCGACATGTAGCGTGTGATAAGAGGCAAGAAGCGTTTTCAGAGTACGTATACAGAGGCACTTGTCTGTGCCAGTGAGAACAGCCTGAGTTGCTGAGGAAAAATTGGCGCCAGTACTAGGAATGACCAAACCCTATAATACTCTTATTCAAGCTTCCATAGTCTGCGGACGTGGCTACCAGTACGTCTCTTTCTCCCCATACTTACAGTCCACAAATACTAACCTTGTGTATATGCTTTCATCAAATTCACTGAGTACAAGTGATCTCAGGCATCGTACGCCTCATTGCACTTCAGTCGTTGAAAGTATTGTCTTCCTTGCGTTGCTGAGAGTACCACGCCCACGATGGATTCGACACTATATACAGGTATGTCGTTCAAGTTAAATCCGTATAGTCAAAGTCGATCTCATAGGTGTGTGCGTCTATCATAGTGCACGAGGCCCGGAGAAATGCGCTCTATTACGATACTGACTGGAAGCACGATGGGCACGAGGCAAACACGATTTCATCCATCGATACATCGATACCCAACTCAACTCTTACCCACAACCCCCACTCTCACACAACCCAAGCTCTCATCTCGTCTAATACCATTCGAAATAATCAAGAAAAAACATGCCCCTCACTCAGAGTGGAGCTAATCCAGAGGCCAATATCCGTACTTACAACGATGTCACTGGCAATCAAGTCAATACCACTACAAACATCACAAACGTCCACACTGGTTCTGGAGACGACGCTATCCTAGCGATGTTGAAACCAGTCGATCACAACCGCAACTACGTCCAACCGTGCATGGATGGCACCCGAGAGGACATCTTCACGGAAATTCAACACTGGCTCGACCAACCGGCGGACGCACAGGAAGGAAAGAATATCCTTTGGATCACAGGAAGCCCAGGAGCTGGGAAATCAGCCATCGCATCTAGCTTGATCTCGAAGCTTAGAGCCGATCGTCGTCTCGGTGGATCGTTCACTTTTCGTAGAGGCGATACGGTATTGAGTGACCCTGCGGCGCTTTGGCGAACTGTCGCTTTCGATCTTGCTCGTTTCAACACGGATATCGCATCCGCCGTCATCACCGCTCTCAAGGAGGGAAGCGTGGATCCTCAAAGACCCGATATCGCAGCTCATTTCGACATCCTTATCAAGGAGTCATTGGAGCAGATGAACGAAAAATTGGTAGCCCAAAAAAATCCGAGGTACGTGTCTACTTTGGAGTTTATCAGCAACGTGTTGATTTTTGTACATGTCACTGTAGGTATCCTGTAGTGGTCGTAGATGCTTTGGACGAGTGTGGCGATTCGTCTCAAAACCCACAACGTAAAACTCTTCTCGATACCCTTACGCGATGGTCTAAGCTCCCGAAGACAATTAAGTTGATAATCACAGGCAGAGACGACCGTTTACCCGAGCCCTTTCGTCAAGCCTGCCAAAAAATTGTCCTCCCAACAGGAGATAAGGTGACGCCTGCAGCATCAGACGACATTCAGACGTTCTTTGAAAGCCGTTTCAAGGAACTGACGACCGACATTCCATCGTTGGCCCAAGCCGGTTGGCCAGCACCATATGACATTCAACGACTCAAAGCTCGTGCTGCAGGCCTTTTCATATGGGCCAAAACCGCGATGAGTTTCATCGAAGAAGGAGAACCTGAGGAACTACTGACGTTCATACTTTCCGGTGGCTCTGTCACAGGACAGGGAGATGTTTACCACTTGTATAGTCAAGTTGCCACACACGCCCTCAGCAACATTCAGAAGCACCAGGCTATCGAAGTGGCGTTGCAACCTTTGTTGCAAACTATCGTTTTTGCCAAGGTCCCGCTGTCGCGCGAACACCTGAAATACTTCTTGGTCGTCCCTGTCAAGGAAACGACCATCGACATCGTTTTTCGTGAATTTAAGTCTGTCATATCAATTGGTGAAGATGGACTCGTTCGCATAGGTCATTTATCATTTGTAGAGTTTCTTCTTGACTCTGATCTATGTCCTGAGCCCCTCCGTACTCCTCGTGCCGCAGCGAGCACCTGCAATCTCCATTTCTTACGTTCATGCTTACAAATTATGGATGATTCCACTTACGGTCTCAGATTCAATATCTGCAAGTTGGAGTCTTCGTACCTTCTTAACGAAGACGTCGAGGATCTTCATGAACGTATGAAGAAGTACATTAGCGGCCATCTTCACTACGCATGTCGATACTGGGGCCCTCACCTCGTAGATGCTTCGGGATGCCTGTCTAGTTGCCACTGGCTCTCAAGTATGCTTTGGTTATTGTTCAAAAAGAATCTACTGCATTGGTTGGAAGTGATGAGTCTGTATCGCGACACCAATGCTGCATCGGCCATGGTTCTTACCATCCTTTCCCTATTGCGCGTAAGTCAGCACCCTACATCCGCATTTGCGTGACGTTCAATGTCATCTTTTTTTCCGTCTCACACAGAGCATTGAAACTAAATTAGGAGAGTTCGCCGACGACGCGCACAAATTTATCGCTCATTTTGATGTTCCCATTTCAAATAGCGTGCCTCATATTTACATCTCTGCTCTGCCACTGGCGCCAGAGAGCTCGCTTGTGTCAAAGACATATATGCCACATTTCAAGCGTACGTTGAAATTTATGGGTAGGGACACAAATTGGAGCCCCCTTCTGTATACGCTTAGGGGACACTCCCATGTTGTCAGTTGTGTTGCGTTCTCGCCAGATGGAACAAAGCTTGCTTCGGGTTCTCAGGATTGTACAGTGAGGATTTGGGACGCTGCCACCGGTCAACTAAAAGCTGGCCCATTTGAAGGTCATAGTGACTGCGTTGACTGTGTTGCATTCTCACCAGACGGATTCACGGTTGCTTCGAGTTCACAGGATAGTACCATCAAGATCTGGGATATGTCGGGCGAGCTGGAGGCTGTTCTTTTCGAAGGACATGAAGGCGCTGTTACATCTCTTGCATTTTCACCTGTAGGATCTAGGCTTGCTTCAGCGTCCGGAACCCTTATTAGGATCTGGGATATCATTTCTGGTCAAGTGGTAGTTGGTCCATTTAGTGATATAGAGGAGCATCATTCTATCAGTATTGTATTCTCACTTGATGGGTCCATGGTCGCTGTGGCTGGCCTATCATTCGAGAGCGGTCTGACGATGACGGTTTGGAATATTTCCACTGCACAGCCTGCGAAAAGCATAGCAAAAAGCTACAATCATCATACCTATACCTTCACTGCATTCTCTCTGGATCTATCAAAGTTTTGTTCGAGCTTGGATGGTAAAACCATCAGCATTTGGGATGTTGCTTCTGGGCAACTAGTAACTACTACGTCCCAACTTGCAGGCCGCGGTGATAGTATGGATTGTGGTGCTGTCTCATCAAACGGATCCAAAATTGCGTCAGGGTTTGAAGACATGACTATCAGGATATGGGATACTGTTTCTGGCCAGCTAGTAGCTGGTCCATTTGAAGGCCACAGCAATTCTGTCTTATCTGTTGTATTTTCACCAGATGGATCCAAGATTGCTTCAGGTTCAGCGGATATGACTGCCAGGATATGGAATAGTGTCTCTGACCAACCGAATATCAACTTGTCTAAAGAGCGTCATTCTGGGGGACCTTTTATTGCATTCTCACCAGATGGAAACAGGATAGCTTCAGGCGGGTCTGATAACTTCATCAGGGTATGGGATATTATTTGTGGTGAAATGGTAGTTGGCCCAATCCAGGGTCATACTGAGGCTGTTACATCTGTTATGTTCTCACCAGATGGAACCAAGATTGCTTCAGGTTCTTATGATGGCACTGTCAGAATATGGGATGCTGCCACTGGTCAGCTCGTCGCTGGCCCATTCAAAGGCCACACTGTTGAGTCTGTTGCATTCTTACCAGATGGATCAAAGGTCGTTTCATGTTCAAAGGACTCAAAAGGCACCCTCATAGTCTGTATTTCTGGACAACTAGTAGCTGGCCCATTTCGAGTTGAATCTCCTGGGTCATACTTCACATCTACTTCATTCTCTCCAGATGGATCCAAGGTTGCTTTTGCGTCTCATGGTCAGGGCTTTACAATCTGGGATATTGCATCTGCTCAAGTTGGCCTATATCACCATGTTGATGAGATTAGCACTGTTTCATTTTCATCAGATGGATCTGAGATAGCTTCTGGGTCGGAAAATCAGGGTGCTACAACCTGCGATACTTCATCTGCTCAGTCAGTTGGTGGTCTATCTGACTATGGTGATTGGATTGAGTGTATTGCATTCTCACCGGATGGATCCAAACTTGCTGGTGCATATGCAACCATCAGGATCTGGGATGTTGAATCCTGTCAGGTAGTAGCTGGCCCATTTAAGAGTCACAACAGTCATATTGCATCTATTGCATTCTCACCAGATGGATCCAAACTTGTTTTAGGCTCTAACGATGGGACAGTCAGGATTTGGGATATTCTCTCTGGTCAGGTAGTAGCTGGTCCATTCTACGGCCATGCTAAACCTACTGCATCTGTTTCATTCTCACCAGATGGATCCAAGGTTGCATCAGGGTCCGGTGATGATACTGTCAGGATCTGGGATATTGCATCTGTTCAGCTGATGGCAGGCCTTGTTGGAGGTCATCATGACACTACAAATTTAAATTTGACCGCACCTGCTGCACCATTGTTAGTAACAGATAAATCTGATGTGTCTGCGCCAGACATGAAGGCAATTTATGCAAGTTCTTATTCCAACCATTCTGGATGGATTTGCTTCGATAATGTAGCAAAAGAAAAACTCTTATACTGGATACCACCAGCCCGCTTTACTGGATGGTGTGACTTCCGTACTTCTCGAGTTATTGGGGTACCTGAATTTCGTGTATCATACGAGGACTTTGTGCATGGTACAGATTGGGCATTATGCCTCACTGGCGCAGGTAATGATGGTAAGCCTGTTTCTACTTTATCGAAAAATGTGATTATCAGACGCTTACACTTCTTTCAGCTGTAGATCCCACAATATCACAGGACGTTGGCTCTACATTGCCTGCTACACATGAAGCTCAGCCCCGACTACTTCAACAACACAGTATGCCATCATTGACGGAGAATAGCAAGGCTGAAAGAGCCCGGTCACAGGACCCTGTGTCAGCCTTCGTTCGGTCAACAAACAGGCCAAGGTCTAGCACACCTCAACCAGGAGCAAGGACCACTAGGTCCGTACCATTCGTGTGGAGTTTCCTCAGACTTTGCGGGAACCGCGGGCATACTGACGGGGATGATGAGTTGCTTGAAGGATAGAATCACAGGGCTCAAGGTCGCTTCACAATTGAAGCTTGTACCGTATAAACGTGTTTTGTATGTCGAGATAGCTGTTGTATGTAACTATGATCAGAATACACTTGTATGTTTTCCACTAGATGAAAATAGCGGATGATCAACGGCACATAAACGTGATATTCTGTGGTAGGGACTTACCATCTGGTTAGTTTAAGCATCGTACTATCAACTGGCTATAGCTGACACATAAGGTATGAGATATCGTTGTCAGGAGAGAGCCAAGGCGTGTTGATGTGTGCACAACGATTGTACAATAAACGACTGATTGAGCAGAACAAAGGCAGCGTCAACAAAATGAATGTTGGCGGTGATATAATGAAACACTTGTCTTCTACAACATAATGGGTGAAGTGATACAAACATGAACATTACTGACAGGTCATTATGCGTTGTAAACAATCACGACACCAGACAGTTTTTCAGTTCAGTGGATGCGGCCACTAAGAAAATCTTCGGATCGAATACCACATGATCTCATTCCATGCAACACTCGTAACTGAAGAGTACCAAGGAGAAAAGTTTAGCCACATGTCTAGAAGAACTGGCAGTATAAGTATAAGGACTCACCTATCAGAAGCAGTAACGTCCTTTGAGTGAGTGATAACGTTCCCCGACGCACAAGATGGGCAAGAGACGTATTGAATTATAAGAATACCTGTGCACAGGAGCTATCAATTATCGGTGAACGACTGTGACGAGATGAAGCTATTGTAGACAGGACACAACATGGTTTCCTGCACACGCATGATGATGGGATGAGTTGATCCCCACGACCGCCCGATGATTGTGAATTTGTACGAGCAATAATCTTGCGTGAGGATGCTGTTGAAGAGAAACCACATCACTGCGTACGAGCAGAAGCACATAACGTTTGACCGAATAATTAGGGCTTCATGGCGCAAATATCCGCATCACGATGCAAATTATGTAGCCCCACCTTAAGCCACGACTGCAGAACATATTTATTGCAGACAGCGAAATAATGTCGCCGCCTTGTGCTACACAAGATCTGCAGAGAACCGAAAGCGAATGATGAAAAGCATACGAGAGCTGTGAGTGTATGACTGACCACACAAAACAAAACAAATATTGGATAATCGATCCATTTTACAGGGGTGGCGATCTGATTGCTGGCGGCGACGATGGCCCCTTGATGGAATTTGAGACCAAGGCGGTAATGAAGTTGTAGTGATCAGGAGCTACGGCTGATGGAAAGGCCTTGACTTGCCTCGAGTCTTGCGTTAATCTCATCTACAGAAAGCGGACTAACCCTAAGTACGAGCGAGGGACAAATCATTTCGCTTTAAGGTCAAACGCTGAATGCCACTGGCCTAGACGTCAAGGAAACGATGGCGAATCTACGTATGAACAGGTAGATCGTCCACCACATGAGGACTGAAGGAAGTAGAAACAAAGCGTCGAAAAATAGTCTGCACAAGAGATTGTTGAATTGGCCTCCTCAACGAGATTGTGACACGGACGGTGACAGATGGGTTGGTTGTCAATCCTGTGGGGAAGTAAAGTATGGATGAGTGAGTCATCTCAGCGGCTGTAGTACGATAACGCTGATATGACACTTCAGTTGGACCTAATCTCCACATTTGCTGAGATTTCAGGATATATCAACGGGGCCGATGATAATAACCATCACGCAAGACTCCCCTCTCTGCTTCTGGATTTACTGGAAGGTCTTCAATTTCCTTGATAGTCCCACAACTAAAAGATTTGGAGACGTTGATGAGGAGGGGCTGCCAATGATGTTATCACACCAAGCCCACCAGTGAATTCCACAAATTTCCAGAAGTATCAGGGAACTGCAAGAGTAACGCATATTGCAACCAGCCCGTACAGATGGGTATCGATGTCCGAGCTGATTACACGTCCAGCGTCACCAGACTTGCCTTTCGCTTTGAATTTTTCTCTATGGAAGAATAGTCCGCACGGAAAGGTAGGTGATCAGATTATTGATTGATCGCCTGTATTGGACCGAAAGTGACTGGCGTATGCGACAGACAACGTCTTGAGTCGAGAGCACGTGGCATTTATGCAGACAGTGCCATGAGAATGAGATCCATCGTCAATTGTGTTTGAAGTGTGGTGATACCCGCACCGGTTAAGAAAACTCGTCCAACGCGAGATGACGGATCCACATCCGATACGAGGAACGAAAATGGGAACGTAAGGTTGGAAATGAACCATAGAATACATGGATCGACCGTCGACTTTTTTTTCTCAGCCCATCGCGTTGCCCGTCCTCGGATACTGGACGATAGCAACAGGTAACTCGGAATCGGCGCGATCGTCGTCTAGTGTTGTTGCCAGTGTAGCCAGTAAGGGCTGTTCCATATCATCACAGGTTGAATGGCAGATGTGGCCGGATTCGTTTCCTGCGGTGGGTCTTCAATGCCTTGATCATATCGATGAACTTGATTCGCCTTGATGTGACCTTGATGCAACGCTTGAGCCATAGTGAACGGTGCCATGTATGTCTAGTGATGTGACAGTACTATAATATCCATTATCCACGTTGGGGACGGTGAGCCTGAGGCCTCATAAGAGTCTCGTGAGGAATTGGTGCAAATGACAGTGCAGTTTACGAGACGCTAATAATATTCTTGCCTACCGTGACTCGGCTCAACAACGGGTGGCGCTAACTTGAAGCTTACCGTACTCCGAGGTAGCGAGCCGCTACCTTGTCAATGCTAAAATGCTGCCCTGTGCCACCTCCATACGTGCATGTCTTTCCATGTCAATCGACCCTAACTTCGTTCATCTCGAGTGTATTTGCTACAGTTAGTTCGACGTGACAAAGTTATATACAGAGCATCGAGAGCAAGGAATATGTAGCTTAGTACCTCTATGATTACACCCTAACGTACACCACGAAGATTCTAGATATATAACAGGACATGTGAGGGAATTAGAACAGAAAAACAAAATCAGAAGAAACAAGGAGATTGAGAGGAGATGAAGATTGTGACCAGACTCGAGTTCAATGTTGGTGCTCGCTTACATCCTGCCTACCAGCCCCATCGTGATGCACCAAACCAGACACGCTCGTTATATACGTTCCCCAGTCATCCAACCTAAGACACAGAACCAACATCAGCTCAAATTGCACACGTCACAATGCCACTCACTCAAAGCCAGTAGGCGCATTCGACCACATCGCCATCGTATCATCATCCATAACCGAGTTAGTAGCATGCACACCTGCATGCCCTAACATCCCCACATGTTGCTGTGCCGCAGGGTTGGTACCACCCATCAATGCCTGCATAGATGGCCCAGGTCCTCCAAACTGGTCCGTTGCCGCAGACGAAAATGGGGAAGCAAACTGGTTCGCCATCTGATCATAGAACAGCTCATCCATCGTGTACGTCGGCGCTGATACATCACGATATGGTCCCAACCCAGCATTCGTCAATACATCCGGCGACACACTAGGATGAGTAGGCGCAGAAGCCGCACCCATGGGGAACCACATACCCGCCGACGCATCGAGAGACGCCGCCCCGCTCGGACTGGCAAAGTCCACTTGACCATGGAGAGGCAGCCGGCCGAGGTCATCACTATACACGGGCAAGTTAAATAAAGCTGCTGGGTTCGGCGTCGGTGGCTGCTGCAGCTGCTGTTGATGTTGTTGTTGTTGCTGCTGCTGGGGCTGTGGCGGCTGAATATCATGGGATACGCGGCGCGAGCCTGCGATATTTCGAGGAACCTCTGGGACGACAGCCGCGGAACTCGAGCTAGAGGGAGCAGCGGATATAGGACTATCAGAATCACGTTCGCGTTTATTGCCGCCGGTGGGGCTTGGTTGTGGGAGAGGAAGGTCTCCGACGGAAGCAAGTTCATAGAGTACGTCCCTGTGAATGTTCTTAGCCTCATAAAACCCAAGTAGTCATATTGCACGGTACGAACCACAGACGACCAGCCGAATGCCATCTGTTGTCACATAGAGCATAAGTAAAATGTTGGTCACAGGCATTCGGAGATCCCATACCGTCGTTCGCAAACTCGCAACACTTGCATACACTTGTGCACGTCGGACATCTCCTTTTTCGGATACGTAGCAAGACCAGACCGTTTACCGCCCCAAATATTGAGAAGAAGCACGATACCTGCAGTAAAAGCGGATATCTTGCACCCCGAAAAAACGCATCAATGTCACAAAGATAAAGTAAACACAAGCCCTCTTTCGCACGGTACGCACCTGTACATAAGGAATCGCAACCCCAGATCGTTTGCGTAGTATATCAATCACATGACTACACGACCGTGCAGCGTTCGTGCAGATAGCCAGGGAAGGGAAGGATAGTGGGGAGGGTTTGCGAGGGGAGGGAATGAAGGGCCGGTGAATGAGGATCTGAAGGTGGTAGTACATGGAGTAGAGGCACGCAGACTGCATGAAGAAACGATCGTCTTCACGGTTTGGATCCCATCTGACTGCAACAGAGAAGGAGCGAAATTGAGGCATTGTTCAAATTTGAGTAAATGAACTTACGATGATCTGGGACTGCATCGATCCATTTATTCAAGGCAGAGTCAAGCTCAGCAACAATATGCTGCTCCCATTGCTGCCCTACAAAACCAAGGAGGACCTTAGACTTATTGATAGAATACTGGATTGCGGAACGCGTCAATGAGCATCACTGACAACTATAACATAAACGGGAGATCTCGTACAATCGTTCGCAAAGCGAAGGCGAGAATTTGATGGAGCTTCAACAGGTTGACGAAACACGAGACTACCGATGGCTTGTCTGGTGGTTGTTTAAATGCCTTTTCAGGATCGGATGTCTCCCAATACTCGTCGTCGCACTCTATAGGCAGCTCGAGATCGATGCTGCAGTTGAAAAACCAGTAAGCATTGAAACACTGAAAGATAGCTGTCAGACAACACGTACTCCTCATCTTGAATAGCACACGGTCGACCCAACGTAGAACTGATTGTTCTGTCCAGACTAACGAGAACCCTGGACGACAAACAAGGTAAAGTGTAAGCACGCCCACGACCTGATTTCTGGAAAAAAGCAAGAAAACAACCGTACCAGAATGCGCGCTTCCACAGTTCATCCTCCATCGTCGGTTTTGGGTTATATACCGAACGCCTATGAGCGCCTACATCCTGAGCCAGACGCACTCCTATCCCAACTATAGTCCAGCAAGCCTGCGGGGCAGAAGAACCTTGCAAGAAAATGACAGATAGCTAACATCAAAGCATTAACGCCATCCTCACACCATCCACCTTATCCCAACCAAGACTCACGCAGTACACCTGTAGATCAAACAAGCAAGGCGGGCCAAGGAGCGTTTTCCTGACCATCTGAACTTGCTCAAAATATTTCCAACCGCATGAATGTTCAGAAGTAGTACCTTCCAGGAAAACTCGCGGGTCATCTGACCAGCGTGAGCCTACCGCACAGACCACCAGATAGACGGCACCGAAGGAGGAGTCACGCAGGTGGAGACCTTCCGCGACGCTACGCTCGAAACTCGGTCGGTGCAAGAAAGGATACAGCAAGTTGATATGGGTGAAATAGAGGTCCACCAACGCCAGCCCCAAATCATCGTCCGGAAACACATAATTCGGATCCACTATATCCTTACCAGCCAGCTCCCACTGAACGGCGGAAGGCAAAACCAAAGTAAAAAATTAATCATCCACGCATCACAGAAACAAAATGAAACAGGAAATCGCGCATATACTCACCGGAAAAGAACTATTAAACTCGGGGCGTTTCCGCACCCAGAACTTCTCCTTGGAATCTTCATCGCCGGTGTACTCTTTCTTGAGATCGATCGCCTTCTTGATGAGCATGAACCCACTCGACTTGCCAAAGAACCGGTAGTGCAATGGGTTAATGGCCATTTTTCGAATACTCTCCGTCAAGCGGAGCTGAATCAATTCCTCGTCGTCGCTGGGGTCCAGATCTTCCGCGGGAGTGGCGGCGTTTGTGACCGTCGAGGTGGAAGGAGCGCCCATAATATGGCTAGCTGTCATCGTAGACGCACCCTGGCCAGCCTTGGCCCATTTCTCCCTATCGATGTGACCGCCCCCGAGCTCCTGAGTGAAATCTGCGTCTGGGCAGACCTACAATGTAGCAGTCAGTCATGATCCCAAAGAAAGCTAGAGGGGGATGGCAAACGGCGGTCGTTGTCTGTACCTTCTGCAGCAATTTCTCCATCTTCTCGAGGCGGTTTTCGAGGCTTTCGACATACCTGATAACACGAACCGTGACACGCTCGATCAGGCACTACATACACGCGCACAGACACACACGACACTGACCCTTTAGGAGGACCTCGCTTCTGCCACAGAGAAGGACATCGAGCCAGAAGAAAAAGATCCCATGAAAATCCTTCGATAATCCAGTCCAGAGGGCATAGGGCGTTCACATACCTTTGCAGCCTGGATGTAAGTACACTCAAAGTTATACGCTATGCAATTCGAGCATCGATCGCCTGGCATTTGGCTGCCATCGCCTTCACATTTCCGCCAATCATTAGGTTCCCAATTTGGTAAGCACAAAGAACAGACCCACAGCGAACTGGAGCAAAAAAGCAATGGAGTGACCAATCAGCTTTCAACGACAGCGAAAAGCGGGCGCAAAGCCTCCATTTGAAAGTAGAAAGGACAGACTCTTTTTGCGACGGCATATGTCACATGCGCGCTGGATCCTCCTCTTCTTTGAGCCAGGCATGGAAATGGAGCCTTGCTCATTGTCGTTATAGTCGTCCTCAGCCGACGACATCGCTCCTGGCGTAGACCTTGTTAAGATATAGTTACGGCTGCTAGAGACAAGCCAGACTTGTATGTGAGATATGAGATGAAGATGGGAGAGATGCTTTAAGGGAATCAGACATGAGCTCTCAGCCCTTCCGTCGGGGGGGACAGATACAGCCTGCCGATCAGACGCAAGTTTCGGCACCGCCTCTTCAGCTGGGATTCGTTCTCCACTCACGCTGGCCGCAGACTTACGTAGCACCTCCCTCTTTGTCTTCCTCAACGTCTATCGCGCACTGCCCTCCTCCCGTGTCTTATTATACTCTCCAGCTACTATACGGACTCCACCATCCCAAAAGTAACGCGCTCAGACTGCTATAAACCGTTATGTCTACTATTTTGGCTCGGATAATCTCGGATTACAATACCAGATATCGGACTATAGGACTGCTTAGGAATCGGATAACTCACGTCGAGTCAGTCAGAACCGTACGTTCGAGTCAAACCCACCTCGGTTTCGTACAACTCAATGGAAAGAACACACGTCAAACACTGCTGCGATCATTCAGATGACTTGGAAGCCGATGGCTGTATGCAAGTAAACTAAAATAGCAGTATACTACCACCTAACTGCGTCGCACGATATGATCCTCCGTTAATATGCCCAGAGCACGCCGTACAACCGCGCCTGCGGAGAGGTAGTGACGCGGCTTAGGTATCACCAAGAACCTCAAAACACTAACTTGCACACTCTGAACCCTGACCCATCCATAGCAGAGAACTATCATGGTAATTATATACTATGGTAACTAGTAGTACAACCTAAATGGACAGCGCGATATGTATGACTTGGACAATTCAGAGATTGGAGAGAAACATGCGAAAGGAAAATAATGATGCGATGACCGGGTGTTGAGGACGGCGGCGATCTCGTGTCACAAAACGCAGCTTCCGCTCAAGGGAAGAACAACGAGAAATGGCACGGCCAGCAACACCCAACGGACCACGAAGAACGGACCCCATGATGCGGCATGCTAAAATAAAGGGGTGGCAAACGAATGGAAGGGGAGAAAAGGACACAAATCACAGAATATTGTACCACCATAGACAGTGAGAAAAGATGAAGACAAAAACAAAAGGACGAGACGAAAAAAGTGAAAAGTGAAAAGGCGAAGGAAGAAAGAAAATAACAAACCCGATAACAAATGCGATTTTGACACAGTGAACAAATGGATAATGGAGCGCGAGATCCGCCAGTCGATAAAGTCCCCAACCACTACCACCCAGCATAATGATAATCATCCGCCCAACTTCGATTCCGCGCCATCGCCCTTCGTCTCCGCTCCTCCTCCTCTCCATTCACAACACGGTGTTGAGACGACGTCCTGTCTCCCGTCCTCGACGACGGCTCGCCAGCAGATGCCGTCGCAGTGAGCGGTCTCAACCCACCCAACAACCCCCCTCCACTCGTCCGCCGCGCACCGACGACCACATTCACCTTGCTCACTTGCCGCTCCCACAACAAATTCCTCCTCAGACTCTCCGACAACTCCGTCGACAACATCTGTCTCCGCGTCGTGCGAGGCGTCATGGGTGGGGCGGGAGCAGGTAGGTTGTATGGGTGACCGAGGGGAATGGGCGCAGTGGCCACTGTAGGAAGGACAGGCCGGGTGGCCGCCATCCGACTCGGGAGAGCTTGCTGAGAACTCGTGCTACGATCCGATCCACGGCGGCCTGCAAGGGCAGCCAACTTTTGGTGTGCGATACTTTTCGAAACCTGGATCTTGTCGTTCTCCTCATCACTATCGCTCTCATCTTCCATGTCCTCTTCTTGCGGACGACCCTTGGGCCGGTACGCTCCGGCACCGCTGTTCCCATTCCCATTCTCTTTCTCATTACCACGACCCTTCCCATTCGGCACTGCAGCCCGAGCCGTCACAGGAGCAGCCTGCGGCAACGCCGCCACACTCTTACTCGTCGTCAACATACTCGGGAACACCCCACTCGCCACACGCGGCAGCATCGTCATATCCTGCGTCGAATGGCTCGTCCTATACGGATGACTGGGCGGGAATATCTCAGGATTAGGGTTCATCAGCTGGGACAGCAGCCCTGATTGTGTGCGACCCAGATTCGAGTACGACCTCTTCGGGACCTTTGCAAACATGTCTCGTTGTCTTTGCGCTTCCAGGGCAGCCTCACGTAACCGGATTTCTTCCTTCTGCTTAGCCGATTCCTCCACGTCCATCTCCTCGGAAGCCCACTCATCTTCATCAGTCTCGTCCGTCGTCTCGTACTCAGATGACGTACTCGCGATAACAATCTTCTTCCTCTGGGGACCAGGGTGAGCTGCCTTGATAGGACTAGGAACCCGTGCCTTGTTCGCCACAGCCGCCGGTGCCTTCACAGGAGGGGGAGCGGGAGGAGGCATCCTCGACGTCGTCGTGGTAGCACTAGTCACGCCCTTCGAGCCATTCGACGAAGCCGACCCAATATTAAACGTCGCCCGATGCTTACCCTCCGCAGCCGCCGACGCCTTTCGCTGCATCGCCGGTGGAACATGTCTTGACGAATGCATGCGCCGCGTCGTAGGACGAACAGGAGGACCATGCTTACTCCCCTCCTTCCCCTTCCTCGGCCTCGACGTCGACCGTCCCTCAACCCCTCCCTTCATCTGACTCGACGCTCCACTACTCGCCTCGAAAAACTCTGACGACTTGCCCCCCTCAATCGAATCATCTCGTTCAGGGGACTCACCTTCCGGCGACTGCTGCAAGAAAAATCGCCGATCAGACGGTTTCAGCGTCTCGTCCGTTGGCCTAGGTCGGACGGGTGGCGGCGATGGTTCCTTGGGCGGAGCCGCCAGGTGTGGACCTGCAGGCTGTACGACCGTCCTTAGCGCAGGCGGTGGTAACGGCGGTAACAGATGTGTCGATGGCTGTTGATTTACCGACAACTGCGGAGGATTGTGGTTTATCACCGGTGTCGTGGGCGGTGTTGGATGTGGGGTAGGGTTGACGACGACGACGCGGGGAAATGACGTATCGGCTGATGATGGCGTGGAAGGGAGCTGTACAGACGGGAGTACTACCTGCGGGTATGGATGTGAGCTTTGTGGATGATGCTGTGAATGCAGATGGAGTGGTTGTACATGGGAGCGTTGATGTGGGTGAACGGATTCTCCTGATGCATTCGATCCTCGTGCACCAGGCAGTGTGAGTTTCTCCGGTATGATGGCGCTATTGGGTAACATATCAACAATGATTCTGCCTACGGATGAACACGACTTGGGGCGTCCGAACTGTGATTTGGCAGGTGATGATGCCTGAAGATGAGGCGATTCAGGCGAACGGCCATCCCCGAGTTGACTGGCCGTCGAGGTCGGAGAAGGCGCTTGATAAGGCACAGGCGACGAGCGTATCCGCAACGACACTAAATGAAAGAACCAACGGAGGCACGATAAAAAAGCAAAAGCGTCAATGAAACCATATTGACAAAAAAAAGACAAGTAGCCAACGACAGACGTGTGTCAGCTCGATTCTGACCTTGGCGTTGGTGCTCAGCCGCACTAGACTCGCTCTGGGGCGGGAAGAAGGGTGAGCGGCTTTTAGCCTCTTCGGACGGACTGGAGGACATGGAGTCGGGTGTTAGTGGGTGGTAGGTGTGCTGGGCGAGAGCGATCTCTCGGTACCATAGCCGCCAGGAGATGTTCTCGAGTCTGCGACCGTCCTGTAGCGATTCTTTACACTTTGTGAATACTAGATGTGGGGGAAGAGATGAGTATGATGAGGCAAGAGATAAAAGGCAGGGAGAGTTACATGTCCAGAGGCCTGAGAGAGCGTCACGGCCTTCGAGATCCTTCACTGCATCAGCGGTGACGGAGAGTACAGGAGCCGGAAAGGTTGCAAGCATGGAATGGTGCGTGGTGATACAAAGCAAAGCGAGGACTAGAAAGACAACAAGTTCTGTGTTGTTTTTTTACAAGAACAAGGACGACAAGGGTCAGAGAAGATATGGGAAATGGGGAAAGAGGATGGCAAGACAAGAGATCCGCGGGGACTCCAGCTTGAAACACAGACTTGGTTGGCACTAGTTTAAAGCTCCGGGGATGACAGTCACGGTTGGCGCAGATCAGGCGCTTGTTTGTGGGAGCGACGAGGGTGGGTGCTGGGGACGAGGATGGGGGGGACGAGGAGGAGGAGGTCTGCAGCGATGGGGAGCGTTTGTTACGAACGCAGTGCTGGAGGTGAGAGAAAAGGAAATAGCTGGACAAGAAAGACGTGAAATGGGATTTTGACCCGATTTACAAAATATCCCTGCAGGCCCGGCCCGATTCTGATATTAAGTAACACACATAGTTTCCCCTCTTTTATTATTTTTCCCTATTTATTTCCTATTTTCCTATTTGCCAGCCGGTATTTTATGTTTATTTTACACACATTTTCCGTCCGGAGTGGGCCCTCGCGTGCCTTGTTTGGATGCAGACCGTGGTCGCTGTCTCTGCCGTTCTCCCCCGCGCCTTGCCATCTCAGCGTTTGGCCCTGATCATGTGTCAGGTCACTTGCCCCAGAATCATTAAACGTAATAAAACTATCGCCCGTTCAGTGCACGGGACAGCACAGGATGAGAGCCAATGACAGCATGCGACACTATTCGCTGACAACCGTCTCCGTGGCGAGGTAGATCGGAACAACTCGACTCGATGCATATTCATATTTTCATGCAATTTTTCTACCATTTTTCGAATTCATGTGCAAAAACGCCACCAGCAACACTAACGCTAAAACAGTCCAACCCCACATTACCGGCACCGGAGAAACGTTGCAACTTGAATTCAGTAGTACCGATATAGCTAGCCTAGAACTTTGCAACGAGGGGAAAGTATGATCCTCCAAGTTTCATGCGACTGAATAGCAGCACAAGCGGTGGAATATACAGCTATAAGAATACATCAATGTTACAGGCCAACAAGATCGCACCCGCACCGCACCGCGACTGAATAGCCATAGCCATACGCAACTAGAACCAGTACAGAATAAAGAGTAGGGATACAGCCTTTTTTTAAACATTGTCGCCACCTTGCCAAAAACGTACAAAGAGCTCTCACGGGAGAGACGTTGGATAAAGGGTTGGATGGTGTAGAGTCCGAGCACACCGAGATCACCGCGGTGCATGTTATTTGAAACGTCGTCCAGCGAGCATAACGGAAGGAATGGGAAGAGTGATTGAGGGTGACCAAGGTGTGTGTGGATACGTCGGTGATGTTGCCAAGTGGGTCTCGCAGATGAATTTGAATAGGATCCTCACACCAATCGTACGACATTGATTTTAGAAGGACCGGGAGAATCCAGAGACGAGCGGCACCGGGAGAAACGATCTACCCCAAAGCAACGTTAAAAAGTGTATTGAAAGCCTATTCGAGAGCGAATTTGAAAGGAAGCAGGGAAGACGGCTCACATTTTGATTGCGCTAGAATGTAGACGTTGAAAGATGACCAGATGTTTCCGAGGGGTAGTGATCATTGGACAGAAAGGACGTCGCGGGTAAAGTTCGGCTCTATCTTGCAAGTGCCCTTTTCCAGGTGGTATTTGAGGCCATTGGGGTTCAAATAAGTCTGGGGGAGCAAGAGATGGAGGTGAGGAGGGGGGGTAATCAGATAAGGAGGTGGGTGCTCACTTTCGTACAGTCCTGTCGCTAAAGAAAGAGATGGGTACGGATGGAGGCGAGGGTGAATCGAATGGAGATTGTAACACGTTGATGGATGGAACGAAAAGGTGAGATGAGATAAGATAAGATGGCAAGGACTTACAGGGCACTTGTAGACTCTGTCCCTCTTTCTGGAGGCGTGTGGGTGTGTGTGAGTGTGTGCATGTGACCGCTTCTTTTGGGTGGAGGTGATGCTCGCTGTGGAGTTGGGCCGAGGGTTGGAAGGGGAAGGGGTGGAGAATGAAGAAGGGGGGAGACAGAGATGCTCGGGGGAGACGGAGCTTGGACTCGAGGAGACGTTGGTGCTGAGCGAGCGACGCAGGTCTGGGGCGTGGGAAGGCACGATGGGAGGCGTCAAGGAAGAGGGAGCATCGGAAGAGGGAGAGTCGGAAGACGGGTGGGGGTAGCCGAGGACGAGGCTCGAGTACGGCGCGAATCCACCACTCTGCCCGTCCACGTGATCTCCCACGAGCGTCTCCGGCGACACGGGCAAGGGAGGGGACCGTCGTGCCGGGTAGAGCGGGTTGCCGTCAGCGTCGACGACGAGCACATGCGACTCCTCAAAGTGGTCAATCAGCTCGTGCAGATCATTCAACGCAAGTCCACAGCACGTAAAGTCAGAACACTGGCCAATCACGTAAGCACACATCACATCCTTAGGGAAGCCGAGCACGTACAAAGTCGCGCTCGAACGTAGGGATCTGGTCCGTGCTCCAGCTGTACTGGCTCGGTGACGCCGACGGCGAAGACAACGAAGGCAGGGGTGCCTGCAGGTCCGAGCCTGTCCTTGCAGACTGGGGGAACGACATGTGCACCGATGGGTGCGGAGAAGAGAACCTGTTTGACGAGTCTCATCACTTGTTCGTATCAACCCAGCGTCGAAATATACGTACTCGGCCTGCTCATACATATTCATGTTCGTCACGTTTCTAGTGGCGCTGCCGTTGTGGCTACCCGTCCTACTGATCGCAACCTGGAAGTGACTCGACACCGAGCTCGGAGAGAGATGTGAATGTTGGGAAGAGAACTCGAATGAATTCCTCTCGTGTGAAGGGTAGAACGAGAACACGGGAGGCGCCATCCTTCGTGATAAGTAACACTCCAGTGGTGTTCCTCGTTCCAACCTGAGTTCCCGTCTGTCAGTGGCAACCTCGCCTTTCGGTGCACACGCAGTTAAGCAACAAAGAACCTCGAAGACCGCCGCTGTCACAATCAGAATCTGACTTGGATCAAACTGATGGACACTTGAACGAGTTGGAGAGAGGGGGATGTGGATGTGGATGTGGTAATAAGGTTTAGAGTTCTGGATACGATGAGTTTCCTAGACACCCTCCGCGAGCTAGACAAAGAGGTATGTCGACATCCCGTTTGGCTTTAGCTCCTGTGCACTTGATGCAAACAACGGAATATCGAATTCGAAACAGTTCACCCGAAAAAAACGAGTGCTCGTTCGGAAGCTGATGGCGACATTGCGCAGATAACCAGAAAATAACCTTTTTCTTTTTTTTCTTTTTTTTTTCTCAAGGCGATCAGACCAATTCCAATCACTCGGAACTTGTGATCACCGCCAGGCCAGGATCATCGCTGTCCCAAATTACAAAATCAGCTTTTGACTCGTTGAGGATGATTCAATAGCAAATAAATCGTAGAAAATCGTAGAAAATCAGAAGAAAAAACATTCAAATCGTCATTGTGACCAGATGGTTGGAGACGGAGGTCATGCCGGTGGAGTGAAGACATTACTGTTAGGCTCATGAGTTGTATAAATGATTATACTACTCCACACCGACGTACTAGTCTCCTACTACACAGCGGCTCAAGCTCGTCCCGCTAATTCGCAATACCTCGTGAGAGCCACACCCAAACCCAACCTTGGAAAAGCGTCGATCCCTGTTTGTGCCCGCCATCAACTCTCGACGGGAGTACTACTGCCAAGTTGCCAAAGGGGGTGATCAGCTGGATATGATTCGACACGTTTTTCCCTTTCGACCGGCGGCGAGGAGCGTAACTGCGTATCCAAAGCAGGTGGAAGCTCCGATATCTTGCCGCTTTTTCGCAGGTCAGATGAGGATGAAGTGACGAAAGCTCCTACAAACCTGAGGCCTGAGGAGCGAGGTTTATCACCGAGCCGGAGCGCGCCATGTCCATCCGCTCGTTTAGCTTTATCGTTTGGGCAGGGTCAGGTCCAGAAGTCAAGTCGCGGTGCCACCAGGTGTGAAACAAGCTCCTGTTTACCGAGTCTTTCCCCGGCCTGGACGGAACTGTGTAACACACGCTGGAAAGGTCCCTTGTAGGTCCAACCTTGAGGGGATCTGAATCACAGCGTCATCGGATCACTGGGAGCAAAATGCCACTGTGCCACTGCCAGGCTTGTGGTCCAGGATGGGTGCGTGTGTGGGGATGGGCAGACATGCGCGGATGGAGCTAGCACAGCGGCAAGAGTGCGAGTACGGTATGTCAAGGTGGATCAAGCTGCCAATGGAAGAGCTTGGTCAGATGGCCGCGTTCGTCTCGGTTAGCGCCACCAGTTGGTGAGCCGAGTAAGGACAGACAAGCAGGTAAACTGCACCGCCACTGGCCCATCTGCACCAATTCCTCGTGACTTTTACCAAGGTCCTCAGAGGCACCATCGCGTTGACGTGCCTAATAGATATACATCCCCTACCGTGGCGTCCACAAACCAACCGTTTACCATGGTCCAACCGTTACATGCGGCTTACATCAACTTGAAGGCTCATCAAGCTCATCGATACGAACAACTATGGAGACTCTTCGCAGGAAACGTTCCCGATTGACATCTACCATCCAGCCTATGTTGCTATAGAGAGGCCCTCACTGGTCAGACCGGCGGTAGCGTTACAGTGGCATGGAGACGGCATTGCCAGGGATCAACGCGTTCCTGTCGTCCTGAATCCATTGGCCATGTTCGAGGACTGGGTGCGAAATAACGTGGATGGTGTACTGTAACTCTATGGTTTAGTCACCCCCCTCATGTCGTCCTTCGTACCGCACGCGGATCCGTCGTCTGGACACGTTTTTCAAGGTCTCAAGCGGTGCGAATAGCTCAAAATCCAAACACGATTGACGATGGGTCTCACGATAATTTAATATTCGCATGAACGGGCTCATTGTGGACGTCGTTTTGTGCGATCGACTTGGGGGGGCGATGCGATGGAGCGAGAGGCGTACACAAACGCCGCTCGACTGTAACTCCAACACGACAAGACGAAGCTGCAGGACACTTTCGCGCTAATGCAGGCACGCAATCCACGATTCTGATCATACCGTCAACTCCTCGTGTGGACTGTGCATCCGATGGTGTCACGGAAGAGACCAAACCGATAGGCTCAAGCCTCATACCGCTCGTCCATAATACCGATCTGTACACTGGTCTGCTTGGTGCGCTGACACCATCGGGTGTGGATTCCTCCTTATTACAGTAACGTATCCAGAGCTTCTACTTGCGGTTGTCGTTGGACGATCAAGGATATTGAAGATCTTATAAGTGGATTCTCTCGTCCATCCTTTACTCCCCCAAAAGGATTCAAAGCCAATCTGATCGCGGCCTCACAGCCCAATCACCATCCACGTCACTGTCTCCTTACTTCCTTCAGTCTCGATGGGACTTGTGCGGTGGGTTATCTAGCTACCCACCACGTAGATTGCCAGAATCTATTTAGCGTCTGAATCTGTGGTGTTCAGTGTTTGGCCTTTACCTTTACGCGAGGTGGTTTGTCATATCTCCATGGAATCGCATCCACCGTCACTGCCTATGTCTACCCCTCCCGAACTGTCCATTTCCCGCAGACGAACTCAGCACAGGGAACTCAACTGAAGTGAAGCTTTGGCATCAATTATAGCTCCTGATCAACACAGCCGTGATACCGTCTCATATCCCGTGAGGGGGGTCATTGCCGCCGCCAGCCATCTCAGGCTGTAATCCGCGTCAAATGGAACGACCGTTCAAAGTTATATTCATTTTGCGTGGTCAGTCCTACATCCACAGCTCCCCGTAGCTCTCGAACATTATTCATTGCAGCCTTCAGTTCTCTGCAGAGCTTGCGTGGCCGAGCAGAGGCAAGAGGCGGCAACGTTATTTCCGTGTCTGCAATCACTATATCTCCTGCAGTCATGGCTCAGGGTGGGGCTATATGGTTTTGTACTCCATGTGTCGAGAGCTGCTAGCATCGCGATGAGTGGTATTTGCGCCGTTAAGCTCTGGTTAATCATCGGATCACACACGCTGAGTGCTTCTGCCCGCATGAATTCACCACCATCAGCACCAGGCGGTCGTATGGGTCCACTCGTTCCATCGTCACGCGTGCGTAGGAGACCATGTCGTGTCCTGTCTACAATAGCTTCACCGACTCGCCACAGTCGTTCACCGATAATCGATAGCTCCTCTGCACAGATTGTCTTCTATCACATTCCTTGTCTGTCTTGTGTGTCGGGGGGACGCTGCCACTTATTAGAGAGGATGGTACTACTTCTGATGGGGGAGACCTTATACTTGATACCGTCGGTTCTTCTGCTCACACCTTCTCTGCCGGAAATCTGGCTAATCCTTCCTCGGTAATATTCTTCGATTACAAGCCTGAAATTTTCCATGGCGTGACATTTGGCAATAGTTACAAAGATTTTCCTAGTGACTGTATCCACTGAACTGAAGTATCACCAAACCCCTTATGTCGTACAAGACAAGTGTTTCGTTACATTACCGCCAACGTTCATGTTGTTGACGCTGCCTTTGTTCCGCTCAATCAGCCGCCTATTTTGCGCTCGTTGTGCGCACGATAACGCGTCTTGGCTCTTTCCTGACAACGATTACTCATACCAGCTGATAGGACAATGCTTAAACTAGCCGGATCATAAGTTCTCACCGCAGAATATCATGTTTACGTGCCGTTGATCATTGAGGCTATTCTCATATAGTGGAAAACATACGAGTGTATTCTGATCACGTTACATACAACAGCCATCCCGACATACAAAACATGTTTATACGGTACAAGCTTCAATTGTGAAGCTACCCTGAGCCCTCTCATTCTATCCTTCAAGCAATTCCTCATCCCTGTGCCCCCGGTTCCCGCAAAGTCTGAAGCAACTCCGCACAGATGGTACGGACGTAGGCTCCCAGCTCCTGATCGCGGTGTGCCAGACCTTGGCCTGCTTGTTGGTGAAACGTAGGCTGGCGCAGGGTCCTGTGACCGGGCTCTTTCAGCCTTGCTGTTCTCCGTCAATGATGGCATACTGTGTTGTTGAAGTAGTCGGGGCTGAGCTTTTCATGCGTAGTAGGCGATGTAGAGCCAACCTCCTGTGATATTGTGGGATCTACAGCTGAAAGAAGTGTAAGTGCCCGATAATCAAAAAAATTGATAAAGGTCAAACAGACTTGCCATCATTTCCTGTGCCAGTGAGGCATAATGTCCAGTTCGTACCATGCTCAAAGTCCTCGTCTAATACACGCAATTCAGGTACCCCGATAACTCGAGAAGTACGGAAGTCACACCATCCGTTAAGGCGGGCCTGGTGGTATCCAGTATAAGAGTTTTTCTTTTGTTGCATCACCAAAGCAAATCCATCCAGAATCATCGGAATAAGGACTTGCATAAATTGTCTTTGTGTCTAAAGTAGACACATTCAATATATCTGGTGCCGGTGATAATGCAGGATATGTAGTCAAATTTGTAGTGTCATGATGACCCCCAAGAAGGCCTGCCACAAGCTGGCCAGAGGCAACATCCCAGATCCTGGTAGTATGATTGTTGGACGCCGAAGCAACCTTGGACCCATCTGGTGAGAATACAACAGTTGAGATGCCCTTACTATGGCCATGGAATGAACTAGCCACTGGCTGACCAGACAGAACACCCCAAATCCTGACTGTCTGATCATCAGAGCCTGAAACGACTTTGGATCCATCTGGTGAGAATGCAACAGATGTAATAATATCAGTGTGGCCCTGAAATAGACCACCAACCGGTTGGCAGGGATCAACATCCCAGATCCTGATAGTCGCAGAAGCAACAGTGAGTTTGCATCCATCCGGTGAGAATGCAACAGAGTTGATCTTATTACCATGGTCGTACGGGCCACCGATGACCTGAGCAGCTGCAATATCCCAGATTGTAGCACCTTGACCAGTAGACCCAGAAACAACCTTGGATCCATCTCGGGAGAAGGCAACAGATGTGATGGATAAAGCTGTGTAGCATTTGAAGGGGCCCAGCCACTAGTTTTCCAGAAATGTCCCAGACCCTGATGGCAGTATTATCTGAAACCGAAGTAACCTTTGATCCATCCGGTAAGAATGAAACAAAATGAACACCTTGAGTGTTGCCTTTAAATGGGCCGGCTACCAGCTAACCAATGGCAGCATCCCATATCCTGACCGTGTTGTCGTAGGATCCATCTGGCGAGACCATAACAGATGTAACAGCCTCTGAATCGGTATGCTCCTGGAAATGGGCCAACTACCATTTCACCAGAGGTGACATCCCATACCTCAATGGAACTATCAATAGAGCCTGAAGCCATCCTGCGCCCATCTGGTGAGAATGCAATTGAAAGGATTGAGGAACTACACCCCCTTTAAATGAATTATTAGCCAGTCGGTCAGATGCACAATCTCATATCCTGACAGTCTCATCCCATGAACCTGAAGCAACCCTAGATCCATCTCGTGAAAATGCAACACATTTTAGAGAAGCATAGTGGCCTTCAAATGGGCTAGCTAGTAGCTGACCAGAAACAGTATCCCAAATCCTGATAGTCATGTTCTTCAGACGCTGAAGCAATTTTGGATCCATCCGATGAGAAGACACTAGATCTGATATCATCACTATGGCCTTCAAGTTGGGATGTAGTAGTTACTAGTTGCCCAGAAGCAACGTCCCAGATATCGATGGTTTTGCCATCCAAGTTCGAACCAAACTTTGATAGATCTAGAGAGAACGCAGTGAAGGTAGTTAATGTATCAAGATCGAAGCTTTTGTCTATGCTTTTCGCAGGCTGCGCAGTGGAAATATTCCAAACCGTCATCGTCAGACCGCCCAGGAATGTCCTGCCAGCCACAGCGACCACAGACCCATCAAGTGACAATGCAATACTGGAAGAATCATGCACATCTATATCGCCAAACGGACCAGCTACCAGCTGACCAGAAAAGATGTCCCAGATCCTGATAAGATTTCCAGACCTTGAAACAAGCCTAGATCCATATGAAAAGGCCTGCAGCACGAGCTTTGAGTCATTGAATGTCATATGGTGCTGGCCAACCGGCTTGGGCCAACGATGGAATGTTGGTCGTCGGTTCCTTGAAACGGCTTTCAAAGAACGTCTGAATGTCTTTTGATGCTGCAGGCGTCACCTTATCTGCTGTTGGGAGGACAATTTTTTGGCAGGCTTGACGAAAGGGCTCGGGTAAACGGTCGTCTCTGCCTGTGATTATCAACTTGATTGTCTTCGGGAGCTTAGACCATCGCGTAAGGGTATCGAGAAGAGTTTTACGTTGTGGGTTTTGATACGAATCGCCACACTCGTCCAAAGCATCTACGACCACTACAGGATACCTACAGTGACATGTACACAAATCAACACGTTGCTGATAAACTCCAAAGTAGACACGTACCTCGGATTTTCCTGGGCTACCAATTTTTCGTTCATCTGCTCCAATGACTCCTTGATAAGGATGTCGAAATGAGCTGCAATATCAGGTCTTTGGGGATCCACGCTTCCCTCCTTGAGAGCGGTGACAACGGTGGATGCAGCATCCGGATCGAAACGAGCAAGATCGAAGGCGACAGTTCGCCAAAGCGCCGCAGGGTCGCTCAATACCGTATCGCCTCTACGAAAAGTGAATGATCCACCGAGACGATGATCGGCTCTAAGCTTCGAGATCAAGCTAGATGCGATAGCTGATTTCCCAGCTCCTGGGCTTCCTGTGATCCAAAGGATATTCTTTGCTTCCTGTGCGTCCGCCGGTTGGTCGAGCCAGTGTTGAATTTCCGTGAAGATGTCCTTTCGGGTGCCATCCATGCATGGTTGGACGTAGTGGCGGTTGTGATCGACTGGTTTCAACATCGCTAGGATGGTGTCGTCCCCAGAACCAGTGTGAACGTTTGTGATGTTTGTAGCGTTGATGACTTGATTGCCAGTGACATCGTTGTAAGTACGGATATTGGCCTCTGGATTAGCTCCGCTTTGGGTGAGGGGCATGTTGTTTTCTTGGTTATTTCGAATGGGATTGGACGAGATGAGACTTTGGGTTGTGTGAGTGGGGGTTGTGGGTAAGAATTGAGTTTGGTATCGATGGATGAAATCGTGTTTGCTTCGTGCCCATCGTGAATGCAATCCCGTAATAACACGTATTTCCCCGGGCCTCTACAGACGCGCCCACCAACGAGGTCGGCCTTACAGATTTATGACATACACCTGTATATAGCGTTGAGTCCACCAAAGACACCTCTTGCGTCTCACCTCATACAAGGCGCGACGGCATTTAGGGTATCGGACGTTGTCCAGAGGTCCTAGGCTCACCTGTGGATATCGACTAGCAATGAATATCCACGAAAACATTGTTATTATAGGCTCCGCTATTCTGAAAAGCTATCGTCGCGCACTGTGAATGAGTGGAGGCTACGATGGAGATGGTGCCGTTGATTAGTCTGCTTTGATATCGAGGTACAAGCTCCACCCATCATAGCATCATTATTCCTGGTATGTTATGTCATCCCTAAATTGTCCAAGTTATAATGCACAATGTCTGGTTGCGGTGACTGTTTACCATATGATTACCATGATAATTCTACCGACATGGTCATAGTTCAAACCTTCAAGGTTCTTGGTGATATTTCTGTCGTGTTATTTTGCATCCGCAAGTATACTGGCGCAGTCATACGGCGAGCAAATTAACGGTGAAGCCTAGATGCCAGAGAGGATGATGGCCGTCGTGCGACACAAGCGCAGTATTGAGGTGCCAGTGTACTATTTTAGTTTTTCATTCCACCAACACCTGCTTCCAATCATTGACATCTGAGTGATCGCAGCACTGCTTGACATGTGTTCTTTCCATTGAGTTGTACGAAAGCGAGGAGAATTTTGACTCGAACGTATGGTTCTGACTGACTCGACGTGATTATCTGATTCCAGAGCCGCCCTATGGTCCGATATCTGGCATTGTAATCAGAGATCATCCGAGCGAGAATAGTAGACAAGATGGTTTATAGCAGCCTGAGCGCGTTACTTTTGGCATGGTGGAGGCCATATAGTAGTTGGAGAATTTAAAAAGTTACGGGAGGATAGCAATGTGCCGTGGACATTGAGATGAAGGTATGAAACAAGGGCGAACTGCTGCGTAAGCCTGCGGCCTGCGCGCGTGGAACAAATCCCAGCTGGAAGAGGCGGTGCCGAAACTTGCGTCTGATCGGCAAGTTGTATCTACCTTAGTACCGACGGAAGGGCTGAGAGCTCATTTCTGACTCCCTTCAAGCACCCCTCTCCCATCTACGTCTCATATCTCACCTACAAACCTGCCTTGTTTCTAGCTGCCTTACTATATCTTAACAAGGTCCACGCCAAGAGCCATGTCGTCGGCTGAGGATGACTATAACGACAACGAGCAAGGCTCCATTTCCATGCCTGGCTCAAAGAAGAGGAGGATCCAGCGCGCATGTGACATATGCCGTCGCAAAAAGAGTCTGTCCTTTTTACTTTCAAATTGAGGCTTTGCGTTCGCCTTAGCTGATTGCCACTCGTTTCTTTCTCCAGTTCGCTGTGAGTCTACTCTTTGTGCTTGCCAAGTTGGGACCTAATGATTTCCTCGGCGGAATGTAAAGGCGATGGTAGCCAAATGCCTGGCAATCGATGCTCGAATTGCATAGCATATAGCTTTGAGTGCACTTATGTCGAGGCTGCAAAGGTATGTGAATACCCTCTACCCTCTGACTGGATTATCGAAGGATTTTCATTGGATCTTTTTCTTGCTCGATGTCCTTCTCTGTGGCAGAAGCGAGGTCCTCCTAAAGGGTCAGTGTCGTGTATATCTATGCGCGTATATGTAGTGCCTGATCAAGTGTGTCACGGTTCGTGTTATCAGGTATGTCGAAAGCCTCGAAAACCGCCTCGAGAAGATGGAGAAATTGCTGCAGAAGGTACAGACAACGACCGCCGTTTGCCATCCCCCTCTAACTTTCTTTGGGATCATGACTGACTGCTACATTGTAGGTCTGCCCAGACGCAGATTTCACTCAGGAGCTCGGGGGCGGTCACATCGATAGGGAGAAATGGGCCAAGGCTGGCCAGGGTGCGTCTACGATGACAGCTAGCCATATTATGGGCGCTCCTTCCACCTCGACGGTCACAGGCGCTGCCACTCCCGCGGAAGATCTGGTCCCCAGTGACGACGAGGAGTTGATTCAGCTCCGCTTAACAGAGAGTATCCGAAGCATGGCCATTAACCCAATGCATTACAGGTTTTTTGGGAAATCGAGCGGGATCATGTTCATTCAGAAAGCCATTGATCTTAAGAAAGAGTACACTGGCGATGAAGATTCCGAGAATTTTTGGGTGCGCAAGCGCCCCGAGTTTGATAGTTGTTTTCCAGTGAGTATATGCGCGACTCTCTCTATCATCCTGTCTCTGCGATGCGTGGATGATTAATTTTTGCTTTGATTTTGTCTCCCGCCATTCAGTGGGAGCTGGCTGGTAAGACTATAGTGGATCCGAATTATGTGTTTCCAGACGATGATTTGGGATTGGCGTTGGTGGATCTTTATTTTAACTATATCAACTCGCTGTATCCTTTCCTGCACCGACCGAGTTTCGAGAGTAGCATCGCGGAAGGTCTCCACCTGCGTGACTCCTCCTTCGGTGCCGTCTATCTGCTTGTCTGTGCGGTAGGCTCGCGATGGTCAGATGACCCACGCGTCTTCCTGGAAAATACTACTTCTGAACATTCATGCGGTTGGAAATATTTTGAGCAAGTTCAGATGGTCAGGAAAACTCTCCTTGGCCCTCCTTGTTTGTATGATCTACAGGTGTACTGCGTAAGTCTTGGTTACGATAATGTGGATGTTGTGGCAATATCGTTAATCCCTTGCTCTTTAGCTATCTGTCATATTCTTGCAAGGCTCTTCTGCCCCGCAGGCTTGCTGGACCATAGTTGGGATAGGAGTGCGTCTGGCTCAGGATGTAGGCGCTCATAGACGCAAAGTTTATAACCCAAAACCAACGATGGAGGACGAACTGTGGAAGCGCGCGTTCTGGTACGGTTGTTTTCTTGCTTCATAACAGGTACCAGACCTGGGGCGTGCTTACACTTTACTTTGTTTATCATGCAGGGTTCTCGTTACTCTGGACAGAATAAGTAGTTCTTCGTTGGGCCGACCGTGTGCTATTCAAGATGAAGAGTACGTTTTTTCTGCCAGCTATCTTTCAGTGTTTCTATGCTTACTGGTTTTTCAACTGCAGCATCGATCTCGAGTTGCCTATCGAATGCGACGACGAGTATTGGGAGACATCCGACCCTGAAAAGGCATTTAAACAACCATCAGACAAACCATCAGCCGTCTCATATTTCGTCAACCTGTTGAAGCTCCATCAAATTCTCGCTTTCGCTTTGCGAACAATCGTATGAGATTTTGCCCTTATGTTATAGTAGTTAGCGATGCTCATTTCAAATCCAGTACTCTATCAATAAGTCCAAAGTCCTCCTTGGTTTTGTCGGACAGCAGTGGGAGCAGCATATTGTTGCTGAGCTTGACTCTGCCTTGAACAAATGGATCGATGCAGTCCCAGATCATCGTAAGTTCGTTTACTCAAATTTGAACAATGCCTCAGTTTCGCTCCTTCTCTGTTGCAGTCAGATGGGATCCAAACCGTGAAGACGACCGTTTCTTCATGCAGTCTGCGGGCCTCTACGCTACGTACTATCACCTTCAGATCCTCATTCACCGGCCCTTTATCCCCTCCCCTCGCAAACCCTCTCCGCTATCCTTCCCTTCCCTTGCTATCTGCACGAACGCCGCACGGTCGTGTAGTCATGTGATTGATATACTACGCAAACGATCTGGGGTTGCGAGCCCTTATGTACAGGTGCGTGACTTGTGAAAGAGGGTTTGTGTGTACTGTATGAAATTGATACGTCTTCTTTGGGTGCAAGATGTCCGCTTTTACTGCAGGTATCGTACTCCTTCTCAATATTTGGGGCGGTAAACGGTCTGGTCTTGCCACGGATCCAATTAAGGAGATGTCCGACGTGCATAAGTGTATGCAAGTGTTACGAGTTTGCGAACGACGGTACGAGAAATCTGAGTACCTTTCACCATTATTTTACTTATGTTCTATGTTATAACAGTTGGCATTCGGCTGGTCGTCTGTGGTTTGTCCCGTGCAATATCACTCCTTGGGTTTTATGAGGCTAAGAACATTCACAGGGATATACTCTACGAACTTGCTTCTGTCGGAGACCTCCCTCTCCCACAACCAAGTCCCACCGGCGGCAACAAACGTGAACGCGATTCCGATAGTCCTATATCCGCTGCTCCCTCTAGCTCGAGCTCCGCGGCTGTCGTTCCAGAGGTTCCTCGAAATATTGCAGGCTCGCGCCGTGTATCCCATGATATTCAGCCACCACAACAGCAACAAAAACAGCAGCTGCAGCCAGCACCGACACCGCCCAATCCAGCAGCTGTGTTTAACTTGCCTGTGTATAGTGACGACCTCGGTCGGCTGCCTCTCCATGGTCAAGTGAACTTTGCCAATCCAAGCGGGGCGAACCCTCTCGATGCGTCGGCTGGCATGTGGTTTCCCATGGGCACGCCCTCTGCGCCCACTCAGCCTAGATCGTCCGGGGTATTGGCAAACGCTGGGGTGGGACCATACCGTGATGTGTCAGCGCCGGCGTACACGATGGACGAGCTGTTCTATGATCAGATGGCGAACCAGTATGCTTCCCCATTTTCGTCTGCGCAGGCTGGAGCAACGGGCCAGTTTGGAGGCCCTGGACCATCTATGCAAGCGTTGATGGGCGGTACAAGCGCTGCGACACAGCAGCATGTGGGGATGTTAGGGCATGCAGGTGTGCATGCTGCTAATTCGGTTATGGATGATGATGATGATACGATGGCGATGTGGTCGAATGCGCCTACTGGCTTTGAGTGAGTGGAATTGTGATGTGCGTGATTTGAGCTGATGTTGATTCGGCGTGCCTTAGGTTGGATGACTGGGGAACGTATATCACTAGTGTGTCTGGTTTGGTGCATCACGATGGAGCTGGTCGGCAGAATATAAACGAGCACCGGCGTTGAACCCGAGTCTGGTCATAATTTTTATCTCCTCTCATTCTCATTGTTTCTTCTGATTTTGTTCTTTTTTTCTATTTCCTTGACATGCTCTAATATATATCTAGAATCTTCGTGGTGTACGTTAGGGTGTAATCATAGAGCTAGTAAGCTACATACTATCCTTTGCTCCTGTATATAACTTTGTCATGTCGAACTAGTTGTAGCAAATACATTGGAGATGGACGAATAGGGGGAGTGTATCAGTGTAAGCTATGTGACTACGATCATCTGTTGAATGAGGGTGTTATCAAGCTATTGCATGATCAGAATAAGGAGAAATATTTGGGAATACGTTCTGATATGCCCCCATCGCATGGATGTTGTAGAAACAGAAAGCATAAACGATATATGACATTTCTTAAGATCAAAGAACTACAGCACTCAATAATCCTATCGCATCCTCAGCATTTCCTCGACTCGCTCCTTATACCGCTTCGACTCACTGCCCCACCCCCCGATGCGCCTCATGGTCCCGCCAACATCGACTCCAAGATGGCGAATGAGTTCCTGCTGCTTTTTCTTTGTGGGCCGGTGGTGGCTAAGACACCACCATATAATGCCCTTCGTAGAAAGCATTTCGCGCAGAGACTCTTCGCATCCGGGACTGCAAGGTGGGGTGATGCGAAAAAGACGAGCAACGGTGCGGCGGAGGAGACGGGGGAGGTAGAGGAAGAGGGGAGGATCGAGCCCTGATAACAGGTATCCAGGACAAATATACACACTGTTACATGCTAATAGTGGAGGAGAACGTGTACGTACAGATGATATCCGTTGCATCCTGCATGACCGACTCGAGTTCTGGGTATTGGCCATCGGCGACCCATCCGCGTGAGTTTCGGTCGAGAGCACCCCTGACTCTCAGGCAGAACTCGGCGTCTGAGGTTCTCTCCCAGCCTGGTAGCCAGTAGAGGGTGTCGAGGGGTACGTAGGGGATGTTGAGAGCCTGGGCGAGGAAGAGTCCGAGGGTGGACTAAAGTGGGAAGAAGTGGGTGGCATGTTGTCATTACTGTCAGATTGTGAAGCAGCCAGAGTGACTTGCCTTGCCCGTCCCTACTCGAGAGAAAGAGTGTTTTCAGTCTTATGGATGGGTATAGAAAGGAGCGTCACACACCGACGTTCCCTATTATGTGGATCCTGTACCTTCCTTGCTCGTCACCCAGAAGCGGAGGGACCTCCATCGAATAAACTTTGCCAGGAAAGAGGACCCACGAATGTACTTTGGCTTTCACCATATCTCGACATGCGTTTCGGAACCGATTGGCATGGGATCAAAACTGAGTCAAACCATGCATTGCTTCCATGCTGTCTGCCACGGTAAGCTGCGCTTGTCTGGGGGGTGGTTCCTTTAAGCTTCCCTTTACTGGCAGTTACATGTAATGATATATACAGGGTTGTTACGTTTGTCTTCTTATCTCCGCTATTGGACGTGATAACCCATGTCTGTTGTGGTCCCAGTCGACATTTTGATCCTTGGTGCTGGATGGACGTCCAAATTTCTTATACCACTCTGTGAATCCCGTGGTCTTTCGTTTGCAGCCACATCTCGTGCTGGAGGCAATGGCACCATCAAATTCGAGTTTGGCGACGACGGCGACGACGAAGAGCAATACAATGCTCTTCCCAACGCCCAGACCGTGCTCATAACATTCCCCATCACCGGCAATGGTGCCTCTACGCGTCTCGTCCAATCCTACGCTCATACACATGGCCAATTATCAGAAACACACTTCATCCAGCTTGGGACGACGAGCATATGGGATGTGAGCACGTACCATTTAGAAGTTATCAAGTATAGTACTATTTGTATTCGCTGTGTAGATGTCGGCCATGAAAGACACGACGTCTGCTTGGTTCGACCGTCAGTCACCTGTCAATGATCATCCCCGTGCACGAGCAGAAGCCGAGTTCTTAGCCTTGTCCTCCGGTTCAGTCTCCACAACCGTCCTTAATCTCTCTGGTCTCTGGGGTGGCGAGCGCTCGGTGAAGAATTGGATCGGAAGGGTCCTGAATTCGAAAGAATCTCTCAGAAATAGAGTCAGTACCTATTCTTTCACGCATCTTCAACCACTGGACAATTCGCTCTTACAGGGAAGCCTACACATGGTCCACGGCATAGACGTTGCCCGCGCCATCCTCGCTGTTCATGTACAGTTTGGTCTGGCGAAAGGACAGCGTTGGATTATAAATGATATGCGCGTGCACGATCTCTGGGAGCTAGCAGCAGCTTGGGGAGACCCAAATATTAGTGGTCAGGTTGATGGGGATGCTAGTACTAAGCAGGGCTCTGTTCCACTGGATGATAGTGACCCTCCAGGTCCACAACCACGATGGGTGATGGAGCTTATGATGGAGGAAGGTGTGCGTGGGCTGCCTCGTGAACTTAATCGTATGGGAAGGCTATTAGATTCGAGAGAGTTTTGGACGACGTTTGGGTTATTGCCGAGTAACGCTCGCTTACAATAAATAGGCCGATGCTTTCTTATACCGTTGTACTTTTAATGTTGTAGAGTAGGAGGTCGGAACAACTACAAGCAGAAGTGCTCCATGTAGAATGTTTGAGGGAAAACACTGAAACACATGTTCTACACATTAGTATTGATACAATGTACATTTTCGCGCAAAGAGATAATAGTAATCACGACACTTCTTCCATATCGTCGTCGTCGTCATCATCGTCATCGTCATCTTCCTCCTCTTCTTCTGGAAGAGCCATTGTCACATCCTGTGAACCACCAGCTATCATACCCATGCCGCCCTCCGCCTTTATGCCATCCTTCGTAAACACTTCTGATAACTCCCACATTCCATTGTACTCCCCGCTTCGATTCAGTTGTCCAATCTCCCCAAGGACCTCTTTGAGATAAGCCTCTGGCTGTTGAGTACGCTCTCGAAGAGGCTTGATGCTCCACCGAGGCTGTTCGCGGAATAGCGTGAACAGGAGATCCAGCAGTTGGTTGCGGGGCATGCGCGCCATGCGCTCGAAGGCGCCTTTTGCTGGCTTTGGTTTGGATTTCTGAAGATATGAAAATAGATATATCGTTACTGACACGAAAATGAAGGGATTGTTGCTTACGATGAGATCGGAAAACGCCCCTCCTGCGCCAACTCCCACTCCGCTGCTGAGTCGGTTGATTCCTCCTCTCCCTCCACTCACACCAGCGTCCTCAATCATTCTAATTTGTCTCCGTGGGGTGTTATACTTCCTGCTTCTCTCACGCATTTGTCGTCTATAGGACTCGTTGAATATAGGACGTAAATTACACTCATGTTTAATTCTCCCCGTAAGAATTGTCGTACGCGCGCGGTTATTGACTGGTGGTGTCGAGGTGGGGGCAGAAGATGTAGGCGGAACCGGCTCCTTCGGTCGCTCAGCTACGACAAGCTGGTTGTCGACGTCGTCGTTCACCATGTCGAGTTCATACCGGTCAACGTGGACATCCCCTTCGCCCGGGACGAAAGCTGCATTGCTGGAAAACGGTGGGAGAGCAGGGTCCCGTGGGGTGGTATCTGACGGGTCTGGGGGGAGGAAGAGGACGATACGAGGGGATTTTCCTGTCGGCCCTACGGCGTCTGGATAGACGCGGACAGTAGCTAAGTGTATATTTTCAGCGTCAATGGAAGACCAGCGTTCCATGAGGTGTTTTGGTACCTGTATAATTCTCGTTAGGTATGATGCCCCGGAAGGAATGAAATGGAACGGCGCACCTTGACGAGCCACACACGCCCATTTCCCTTGTCGAGCATAAGTTCCTCGTCGGGATCCGGTAATGTTTCTTCATCTGGCTGGAGACCGTCTGGGTCGAACGGCTTTTTCTCGTCTTCCACAATGTCGTCCATGTTGGTGCGACGGTATTCGACGACTCAGGTTGGAGAGAAAGGTGTGTAGTCTTGTTCTAAGTGGGTGGTCTCGACGCCACAGACATATTGTTAGGATTCAAGGACGCTGCCAAATAACGGAAAGTGCCGAACGTATCAAGCAACACGTGATCCGAATACATACCCGCGTATTGACTTTCAAGTTGACTGGCCTTAAAAATACAAGTTGCACTCGTCGCAGCTTTGCTGCAACTGTCAGGTGCCTGCGGCACCTTCCACACCCGTGGTGCCACAAAAAACCATGCGAGCAAAACTAAGCGACAAAATGTGCTCCCACGTGCTCCGCATGTGACTTTTGGGACCACTGTCCCCTTCATTTTAGATTATTGGACTCAATTGTAAGGACCATTCATTTTCTTATCTTCTCACTCTATGTCTTGGTTCTCAAACACTTTTTCTGTTACACCTATGGCTTTAGGGCTGGAGGTATCCTTTGCTATTCTGCTTCTCATAGCCCTCACGGGCTTTCTCAATCATTGTTACCACTTCATATCACAGATCAGAGACTGGGTAACACTCCCAGCCAGCCAGCACAATGGGTAAAGGACTGGTGGTAGACATCTCACCAACTAGCTCCAAGCCCTATCAGTGTCTGGAGATACTAATAGATGCTTTAGTCAGGATTGTACCTCATCATGAGGATACGGTTCCTGGACATGCGTGACAACACTTATTATTAGTACACTTTTCTCACCTGCTGATTAATCTTCCAAAGTCGTACAATAGTTGTCCTTTTTCTTATTGGTTGATTTTCCCCTCAGACCACTTTCCTTTTATTCCTCTTTCGGTCTGAGGGATAGACAGTTAGCTATATAAAGCCTTACCTATTCATGTATAGTCCCTTAGCTTTTTATTACTTGAATTATCCACTGTGCTCCTCATCAGGAACCTCTGAGTCTACTCCCATATCCTCTACTTGCTATATTCACTAGCATCTGTTGATCTCCAAGACTTACTGTACCTCTTACTCCCTGCAAGTGCAGTGGAGACCGGTATTGTTTTTGTTATAGTTTATCATTGCCTCACATCAATGTGCACCAAGTTCATTTGGAACTATTATCCATGTCTCAGTACAGTTGCTTCTCATTCTCCTTATCATTTCTTGACATATGGCCAACATGTTAGTATGTTCTCTTGTTCAATTGCTATGTTATGATCTGAAACACTCCTCCTGTTTCAGTTTAAAAGCATGTAGGTTGATTTCAGACTACTGGTAGAGCCAAACAATTATATTTTGTAGATGAGCAGCTGAGGCTACTTAAACAATTTCACTGAAGATGTTCTGTAACTAATCCCCATTAACAACTCTTCCATACTCCCCAGCTTCTATCTTTTATCCCAAGTGTGAATTAGACTATACATCAGGAAAACATGGTTTGGCTACAAGTGCTAAAAAGTATGTACTACTTTGTACTTTCTGTTATTATAGCAAATATATTTGTCATATTAGTTCATATCAATTAGTACAATTAGTAGAAAGTCAGTTGCTCTATAGTGTACTATAGCACACTATATGGCTTTAAGTACTAAATAGTACGGTATTATAGCAAACTATGGCATGCTAAATTGCTCTAAATTGCGGATAATACTGTGCTATAGCATACTATATTGTGTGAGGAATCGATTTTTCTTATCGCATTCCCGTCATGTCGTGGTTATCAGACTTGATCCCTGTCACTCCTCTTGCCCTTGGACTGGAGATCACAGCCGGTATCTTATTACTTTTATCCTTTTTCTTCTTATTCTCTATTCACATTCACGTCCTATCGTACTTACAACGAAGGAGACTTGTTGTAGACCCTCAAGAAGATATCCAAATGACATAGCAACGATCCAATGCTATGTCTGGGAATACTTCGGAGGGATATTGATAAGCAAAGAAGGTTGTGAGTCAGCGCCTTCTCATGGGCTTACTGATACAGCCAATTGCACACCCCTTACCAATACCTTTTCTCATATGATTAGTAAATACGATAGATCAGACCACTTTCTCCTTCTTTTCTTATTGGTTAGCTAGCTGGTCAGACCACTTTCTGAATTCTTCCCTTTCTCCGTCTGACCCTCGCCGTTCACTATATAAAGAAGTACATACTCGATGTATTATTCTTTAGTTCAATATTAGTTTGGATTTGCGCCTATACCGATACTCTTCAAAAGCTCATACCCTGATTCACCGCCTTCCAGCAAGGACTTGACCAGGCATTGTATTTTGTTATATAGCTTCGTATTTGTTGCCTGACATATTGGTCTGAATGATAAATAATGTAGTTTTATAGCAAATAAAGCCAACTAAAGCCAACCAAAGCACAGTCAATTGTAGTGACTGTGCTTTAGTTGGCTTGATTTTTTATAGTACACTATATGTGCCATTTATAACAATCCATGACAATCTATAATTCTCTATATCTTTCTATACCTATTCATAATGCCATACAGTTTCACACATTGAAAAAAAGCACACAAACCATTATTTATTCATAGAGCAGGCAGAAACAATATATAATAAAACCCATTATAACAGCAGAGGAAATGACTACAACATTAATCTAGATGCTTTAGCTGCCTCTTCTAAAGTGTTGAAGTCAAGTGAAAGTTGTGCAGTTGACCCTCCTATTATAGGACCTTCCCTATAGAAATTTTTAAAATATGTTTTATAATATGTTGTTATTGAAGACTTACCAAACAAAACTCTCTATCTCATCAGATATGTTATCCATATATGTGGGAGATTGTTTCACGAACTTCTTCAAAAGGTTCATATAATAATCCCATTTATAAATAGTTTAATGGCGCAATGTGTAGCCAGGTGGTGACACAAAAAATTGCCAAAATGCCAAAAGTACTGAATGGAAAGCAAAGGTAGGTGCAATTTGATTGCCTAATAGAGGTGGTGCTGATTAGCCACAAGTACAAAAAACGCAACATTAATTAGTATCAACTTTGGTGCATGACACCACATATCAAGACAAACTCTAATATGCACACTACTATAGCTTCTTTGACCATCAAACACTCCAGCCAAACTTAGTTCGAAAGCTTTCAAATAATATCGGGAAAGGATGATCACTCTTTAAATTAAAAATGCAAAGATACGGCAAACTGATCAATTTGAATCGATTGCCGGCACGAGTAAAGTTCTTTCACCAAATAGAAACAAACACCAGAGACAATTGATTATCTAAGCTGGCAATGTCCGAAGGCGAATAAATATGGAACGCTCTGCTAAAGAGAGCCTTGTACCGCGATGGAACCCGGCCCTCGACGAAGTAGCCGGGTCCCCAAGAATTACAATACCCCTGTTCAAGAGGAAAGTATAGACGATGAAGACGTTGCGCCTCAAAGAAAGCGTCAAAAGGGGGCAGCAAGTCACAAACCGGCTGAGACAAAGTTATCCAAAGCAAAACCAACAGTCGTGAGGAGAGGTAATCGTGGCAAGCTTGAAATGATGCCCACCATGAATCTCGACATTTTGTTCCTTGCAAGTTCCTGGATACTTTATGATATTCTTTGCAAGCTCAAATTTTGAACTGGTACAGATCATGAGCTTCTTGCTTCCCATGGACATTTTGAACCTCGCTCGGACGACCAAGAGCTTCCGACAGCTTCTCATGCACAAGTCATCCGCATCCATCTGGAAGAATGCACGTCAGCAGCTTGAGGGTTTACCAGACTGTCCATCCGATCTTTCAGAGCCTCAGTTTGTAAATCTCGCTTTCGACCCTCATTGCCACGTATGTATGAAATTGTTACGGGCTTACCCCTGGTCAAGTTGATATGTGTAGTCTGATATGCTCTCCTGACAGGAGTGCGGAAAAATAGTACGTACTGTTCTATGGGAGTTGCGTGTTCGGTATTGCCCGTCATGTCGGTCAAAAAAGTAAAATTTGTCGACTCTTTCCCTCCCCGTGTTTGCGCTCACATCAATAACAGCACAAATTCACCCCAAAATATTGAGTCTCAGACGTTAGGGTTGAGTTCTTTAGGGTCGTCTGAAGTCTTACCGTGCTCTAAAGTTTACAGTCACGGTCGATCAAAATTCAGTGAGCACCTATTTTACATACCCATGCTACAGTCTTATTTTAGTCTGAAAGATAGATCTGTGGTTCACAAACGATCGGTTTTTAACGATTGGAATAATAAAATGCCTACATTATTAGTGAATCCCGATGAGGCACTTGCTTATCTCGACCAGCTGCGACGCACCAAAGCCAAAATCGAGAAGGTGCGTTTTATGGTTACAATCCTACCTTTCATTCTCTTCTTCCTGAGACCTGTACTCTCAGCATGCTGTGTTGTGCTATGAGTGGCAAGAGGCGATTAGTTCTTCGCGAAGATGCGAGCGTCGCGATGCAGGAAGAGCAAGAATGGACGCGTTAGTACTTTTGGCTACTTCTTGTATCATCACTCTGAGCACATCATTCATCAGTATCAAAGCCTGGATGAAAGAACATGGCTGGGAGAAAGAGCTAGACTATTTCACTTGGGATCAAATTACCCGCCTCTCGTTGATAAAGGAACAGAAGCTGCTGACAGAACGTAGTAAGTATTTTAATGTTGATATCGGTTTCTTCCTCAAGCTTAAATCATCTCCCCCCTCGTTAGTTTGGAATAAGATCCGCCTTTCACTGATTAATTGGATGAACAAGCTCAGGGACATTCGACTTGAGGAAACGGTATTCAAAGCTCGTCGCGAATGCTTAATTAGCGCGTATTGCGAATATCTCAAGCAACCACCCAATGCCAACGACACATGCGATATTTTACCTCATGTGGGTGACATAGCTACCTTCAAATCGTTTGAAGATCTTATTAAGGCTCCGGTAGATGTCGATGTCAATGCGCAGAGCTTCTCAGATGCATTTGTTCAATTACCAGCATACGTGACGGAGTGGCGAAGGAAGATTGAAGGACAGTTGGTTTCCTGTCTACTCCCCGAAGGCACCTCACCTATGTCCAAAACAGCCATTGATCATCACTCTCCCAAGATTGCGTGTTTAAACCTTGCAAGAGTGGCATTTTGTCGGCCATTTACTGAAAACGATGTCTCAGTAACGTTTTACCCCGATGTGTTATTGAAGAGATGTTTCATAGAGCCATATACGCTTCGTCACATGTCAGATTGGGACAAATGGCAGGATCCCAAAATAATTGAAATTAAGACAATGAATGGCTGCCCTTGGTCACTGGAGGATTCGAAGGGAAGAAATGTAATCGAAGTATCCGACGCAGCTATACCAATTATTCGTGCCAGTGGATTGGACCCTGATATCGCCACCACGTCCGATATGGATGATTTGGATGCGAGATTTCGTTGTGGATCCTGCAGTTCGGCGATGGGGGTGATACCATACACATGGCGCTCAGCAGTAGGTTTTCCCCCATACTTATGGGTCATCCTTTTGATTTTTTTCGAATTGGACTCCAGGTGGCGCACGCGGTTAGCTACCACGATAGGCTCGGAAGGCGTGTGGGAAAGGCATCGTGGACCGTCCTCAATGGCGAAGATCGCAATGAAAACCTACGGAAAACCAAATCGCCCCCTTTTTTCAACAGGTTTGAGTGTGCTCTTTGCAGGACAAGTGTCGATAACCGGGATTGGAGAAATGGTGTGTTGTTGCATCTTCTTCACGAGTGAGTGGTCAATTTTGTATTATTATTGTTAACTCAAGAAATAACATAAAATTGAAAGGCATAAGATCCCGGTGGATAAGGTGCAGGAGGATGTTCATATGAGAGGACCGTTTTGATTATTTCGCTACACTCGTTTGGAGCGCTTTTGCTGAGGGATTTGGTAGCAACATTTCCTGTGACCCATAATTATCTTTCTTAAACATGCTTCGAGTTTAATGTCACTGGATATGCTTGTTACTGTCTGGCTACGAGTATATTGAGTGTGATAGCTCTAGATACTAGCATTAGGTAATGTGCTATATAATGAACAAAATACACTTTTCCCTTTGTTATTGCAGTCTGTCTCAACAGCCTTGCACCTCGTCAGGATCTATAGGTTCTAAATGTGATGGACACCAAACGGCCACTACATTATTCAGAGCCATGGTTGGCTGTTTCAACCTACATGTGCACTTCTAGGCCTGTTCGTATTCAAAGTTGGGTTTCTATTCTATGACAATTGTCTTGACATGTTTATATGTAACATTGTTGGCAGCATTAATGCGCCATACTAGAGCCAGCAGCGACATAGCTCCAATAGATCTTACGGCTCGCCATTCGCCAACTTTTACCCCACCGAATGACGATCATAAAAGTCATCGTAATGGCAAGCCCAACAAAGGCTGCCGAAATGAAAGTATTTTGATAGCCCATGTGCAGCCATGGTGTGATCCCATAGCCCTATGATAAACAGAATGAGCGTAAGACAATCGCACGAAAAGCAATGTAACGCACAATTACGAAAGATAGCGTGTTCTATAAGGAGAATAAACGTTAAACTTGAAATAGAGAAAAGGGTACGAAACTCACTCGAACTATGATCACTGCCATCATGGTCTCACCACTCAAGTCTTTATATGAATCGAGGGCGTATCCTATCGAAAGCGCAGAACCAATACCCGTGGAACAAGAGATCATACCCATACCAATAACCAAGCCAGACCAATGGATATTTCTTGAGGCACCCACTCCCCATAGTATAAGAGAGCTAGGACAAAGAAATAGTGATACGACCATAAGCCATAGACGGTGTTCTGGCTCGCGTACACCACCTGTTCGACGAGCGTGTCGAACAGCAAATTTATCACCAATCCAACCACTATATAACGTGCTATAACCAGAAGACAGCACGTAAAAAAAGATATAAAGCAAGATGCGAGTTGAACGTACCCCAGGAACATACCCACGAGCGGTCCTATATAGGTTAGACCGACTGAGCTCGCACGAAAGTTGTAAGGAGCATCGCTGAGAATGAGCGATGCGGTAGCGTTGAGCACGTTGTACCACACTAAACACGTCCCGTATTGAAAACCAGCCCTGAAATGATTCTCTAAGTTGCATATTCAAGGAGCTTCACGGAACACTTACCAAAAGACAACAGGGAAACGCAGCATGATGAGAGGGCGATAAATCATGACGACCAGCATTTTGTTGGTGGCGTACCGCTGGTTAAATATAGCCAGGCGTTCGACGAAAGTTTTTGGAGTTCCAGAAAGCTCTGTAGGGGTTTCACGTCCACCAGACGATAAATTCCGTTTGTCCTCATCGATCCCCATGCTGCCAGTGCTGCCGTCTAACTCATGTGCCTCGGAAGCTTCGCTACTGTTTCTGACATAATTGGTCTGCAAATATTATTGACTTGGTGTGCAAGCATATCAAGACAACTTACCTCTTCCATGAAAAGAAATAGTACTATTAATGCCATTACATTGATTATGGCGGCCCAGTACATGACCCAGTGCCAACCTTGGCCATCATAGATAAACTATAAAGGATTTGTCAATGAAGCAAAGGATAGGGAGTACAGCGAATTACCCCAGCAATAAGAGGCGCAAAGTAGTTTGACCTTGTGTTAAAGTTGAGAATTCAATCGAGATCACCAATCAAGAATGCTTACCCGAACAGAAATAGGGTGTAAATCCCGATGTAAGTTCCACGTTCGTGAGCGAAGAACTTCATGAAAGCTCATGAATCATTATAGCCAAAACACATGACTGCTTTAGCATGACACTCACGACATCTGCGATGCTAACTTCACATAAACTTTCAACGGGCGTGCAAAGATATCCTTGAATGATTTTGCTCGCAATCCTGGAGAGTTCGAGATAGTGTTAGTGCACGAGAGATAGTTTGCGCAATGCTCACCATTGACTTTCTGTCTTGATATATGGTATCCATAAACACATTGCCTGCACGATGTTGCTTCAATCGACGGATACTATGGGAAGCGCACGCTGCTCACAATGTTCCCGACAACAGAAAGTAAATAGATACCACGTTTACCAAACGTCAGAGCCAGTGGTTGGTTAATCAGAGCGCCCCATCCCAGGACTATACATAACAATAAAGCATTAGAAAGTGGAGTCGACGCGAGGAAAACTGATATATATTTACGAAGGAACGCTAGTAAAGCGTGACAATCAGCACTGACAAGCTAACGATGGCAAGGAATCATAGCACGCACTATACCCTGTCCCAGCATTCAAAGTCGAAAGTGGAATACCAGTATCATCTGTAATCGGCTGCAAGATAGAGTACAGGACGGTGGTACCAATGCCGATAGCACTAGTATCTACGGTAGCTTGAGTACAGTTGAAGATTCGGGGAGGCATGGGACGCACATATCATAACACAAATAACTTGCAATAGTTTTCGTCCTTTAGACCAGTTTAATGGATCGTTGATATCGTTGGAAGGCGCTGGACTTAGGACAATAGTACTATCGCCAGCAGCATGGGTGACTGTCGTCTTGTCCTGTACATCGACCAAATACACAGAACCTGGAATGACTGAGTCGTCAATTATCCTCATCGTTGCGAGTGAAGTGGTAATAGAGGGACGGACTACAAAGACCAAGGGCGTGATAAGTAATATATTCCAACTATAGGCCGAGTCTTTGGCGCTGGTGACAAAAGTTGAGGCGGTTTGTATACAAAACGTCATGGGACCATGATGGGTACCGAATTGCTTCAACAAAAACTCGGAGTCTAAGGCTGGATTACTAAATACTCAGTTCGTCAATGCTTCGAGCGTGGTATAGGACCTACGATACTGGTGACCCGACTACTGCAGCAGTAGTACTACTCTAGTTTACACCTTGATCAAATTCAGAGAGTAAATTGCAAAGTTTGGTCGCTGATGGTGCCGTCACCGATATCATTCGAAGCGAGTGCTTGATGATAAGGATACTTTGAGTTATCTTTTAAATTCATGAGAAAATTCGAAGACCAAGCTTACTGATCCTATTACCAGGCGCAATTTGAACAGAGATAAGAACCATTTAGATAAGGGAATATAGGGACTGGTTCATGACAAAACTAATGCCTCAGTATAACTTATCACTGAGTCACTGAGGTTCTGTTTGTTTGGTCTGAATGGTTGGATTTCCTGATTTAGCGACCCGACGTGATTCAGCTCAAAAGCCCAACAGAGTATTTTTCTCTTCGATGAACTACGGTGAAGGCAACGTGCAAAGTGCAATTTCTTTTAGAAAGCTCGGATACCAGTTCTCATGGGATAACCTCGAAGGATGTTTTCGAACAGGCCTCCAAGGATACCGCCAATCGCCATAGTGCCGCAATAACCTTATCACTCGACTGCTGTCAGACACTTAAACAACTTTCAAAGTCTGAAACCAAAAGCCTAGACGAGCAGGTTCCGAGAGACCGAGTTGTACATGTGCATATATGCCTAAGGGCAGCATTAGGAACGAAGGTCCGAGTCCAGGAACCGTGATTCTCTCAGCCTTTGTGCTGCATCTCGTAGTATTGGGCATAATAGTATCGAATGTACAAGCGTTAGAAATCAACATTGTTCGGAAGAAAGCAGGTCATAGGATTCGAGCAGTTCAACCACTATCAGAATTCCGTATGAGAGGGAGGAAGGTGTCTAGTAGAACAGTGCTTGATGTAGGGACTGCCAGTTGTTGGCGACTGACTTTGGCCCATTGACAGAAATATCACCAATGCTCCCTGGATAACAGTTTAGTGGTGAAGCAAGACGACGCGAACCAGATGACATACCAGGCTTGACATTGATGAGCGCATACAGTTTCCCTGAGAAGTAGGCTTCATCACTCTTGGATGGATTCGGAAGGATCGCATCAACCATCAGGCTCCTCCCCATCCACTGTTTCGAGGTTCAGAATTTATCCTAGGAACATGTAGATTAGATTAGATAAATGATAAGATAATATTTTGAAAGTCAGCTGAACTTTGATTCTGAACCTCTCCACAGCGGCTGGACTTCAACATTTGTAAAGCAAGTCAGCCACAGTGACTAGTGACCGTCAAGTGACGGCTGACTTCCTAACCCACTCCAAAATAAATCCTGTCAACTGTCTCGAATTATCTGTGTTTCAGCATTAATAGCAGTGGCTCGGATGCCTGCTTTAGCCAGTGTTGTAGCATTCTGTTTACCTAGTAAATTTAGTGGTGCAACAATAATTTGTATATCTCTTGGCTGAAGCAGTAGGGGTATCAGAAAACCCAATGTCTTACCTTGACCTGTACCTGCTATACAAGCAATATCCCAGTCTCCTTTTGCTATTGCCTGCCCAACTTTGGCTTGAAATAGATATGGATAAAGGCCTATACACTCCTTTGTTAGATCATGAATTTCTGGCAGCATTTGAATGATGCAATGTCTTGATGGAGAAGCTGACAAATTATGACATTTGTTTATAGTATGAGAAAACATGCATTGGCCAGGGCTTGAACCTGGGACTCTAGCTTTCATGGTCTGGTGCTTTACCAACTAAGCTACCAAGGTGTACTTGGAAAGCATACTGATTGGTTGCATGCCCGGAAGGTCCAGAATCACTGTACACGGGTGCGGATCCCATTGTGTTGTGATAGAAGCCCCAATGGACAACATGTGGGCGGATACTGCTGGATTGGGCAACTTTGATCAAATTTCATCATTTTTATTTTTATTACTTTTTCGAAGTCAGCCATCACTTGATGGTCACTAGTCACCGGGGCTGACTTGCTTTACAAATGTTAAAGTCCAGCCGCTGCGGAGAGGTTCAGAATCAAAGTTCAGCTGACTTTCAAGACTTTCTCATCACATGCTTTCTTGCGATGTCAGGATGATCAATTGTCTCTATTCTCTAGGATACATTCTGAACCTCAAAACAGTGGATAGGGAGGAGCCTGATCAACCATATTGTACAGTGGCCTATTAGTTACGGTTGAAAACCTTAAGCATGCTGGTCATCGGCACATTATTTTTCAACCCCAGCTTTATTAAATATATTTTTGGTTGATAAGATAGCATTAGTAAATCCCCAATGTAGATAAAAAGAACCTATACACACATAAGTGATTTCAAGAGACGTTTGAGAAATCAAGAAAACAAGCATTGATGTGGCATTCAAGCGTTCAAGAAATCAATCATTTATACACATGTGCAGACATATGAAAGGCGGCGGACATACAACAGACATAAAATTAGCGTCATAGAGGGTCCGTCAAGAAACAGAAAACATGAAGTAGCAGGGTGATAAATGAAACAAGAGGTTTGAGGACTGAGAGCAAGAAAGGAAACACGACACGTAGAACATGGAGAGATTACAATATAAATCCACCTATGAGTTCCACTCTCCAACGTTCCAGCCATTATGTGCGCCTGCCGCTACTACTTTAAGGGAGGTAGATCTCTCCTGTCAAAAAAGAATAAGCACAAATGATGAAAGCGACAATAAGACTCACCGGTGCCAGCAATGGACTCAATCCAAAGAATGTACAGTAGGTATTACACTCGTATAGTGTATAGAGGTTGTCTAATGTCGACGTCCAGTTTCCTTCTCCAAAGTTTCCTGCATAATCCCTTGAAAATCATTGATATTTAGCCCACGTAGAACATATGGGGCACTTGTATACTCACAGGGTAGTTATAATTTTAGGGTCAGATAATATATCACCGCAGCCTGAAAATAAATTGAGTGTTACAGTAAATGAATTATAAAGAGAATATCTACCTTAAAAACCAGACAGGAACACCAAGCCTCGCATGAGCTTGAATTGAGCGTATTGAGTGAAGCAGAGGAAGAGAGCAATATTGAGCGAAGCAGAGGAAGAGAGCAATATTGAGCGAAGCAGAGGAAGAGAGCAATATTGAGCGAAGCAGAGGAAGAGAGCAATATTGAGCGAAGCAGAGGAAGAGAGCAATATTGAACTGGGATGGCAACAGTCCATCCCTTGGAGAAGCACTGTTATTGTTAATGTATTTGACGAACTTTCTATTGATCTTTTCTTCAAGGAGGTAAACCGCTGCCTGTGAGTCCTGTACATTCTGAGGAATAGCGAGTGCTGAATGAACAAAACAAAGTTGAGGGATTTTGATCACAGGACTACAACTTTTCTTGACTGCCACCAATTTATCAGTCCAGTCGTACAATAAATCCATCAAGCTCCCCGCCAAGTAAAGGCAATTTGCTTCATCAAGCATCTCAATTAATTCGTCTTTGATTGCTAAATGTTTCTGTTTCTTTGAAGGGGTTAATAGGGACACTGAGGTATTCATGCCCGGTGGATCATGAAAGTAAAGGTGCTTGGCTACTATGTTATGTAACTGGAGAATAGCAGTCAGTTTAGTGGATAGTGGGTTCTGGCTCTGTTTGAGGTGAAGAGTTGCAGGATGGCAGGTCTTGAAGCTGCCTGGAGGTCCAACCATTGCTTTCGAACCTACATCAACTCCTAGTGTGATAATGTCGCAGTGGATTTTGTTGTTGATGTTGAAAGGAGTTTGCTTAGTTAGGAGCTCACAAAAGGAGACATGTGAGATTGGAAATAATATGTATTCGCTGGTATGGCAGTTTACTGAAAGAGTGTCGGCACATGTAATAGAAGAAACAAAAATGACGTACAAAGTGGCTTTGCCAGGTGTTACAATTGACATACCAGCACCTACTTACACTTCACTTTTGTACTTTTACTTTTTATTTTCCAAGTCACATGACTAATCATGTGACCATTGACTTTACTTTACATTTTCGACTTTTCATAGTCACATGACCCATCATGTGACACATCACCTGACCAGTGTCTAGGCTCAACATGTGACTGGTCACATGTTAAACATCGGACTTTGAACTCTATTTACAACTGTACAGTACCTCATGTGTTTTAGTATATATACTGGAGCAATACATGGGGAAGGACTCAGCGAGTCCTCCTGTTGTTTACCAACTGACTTGGTCCTACGTAAGGGGTAACCACTCCCTCTCACTACTCTTCTGCTTGTCTGTTGTTGTGCTCCAGTGCCCCAAGACTGTGTCTTGTTGGTGTTGCCACACCAGGTGTTGCACATCGCCCTATGCCTCCATGGCGTGCCGCAAAACAGAGTGATCAGGCATACTGAAAGAAAGATCCATGTCAGAGCATATTTTTTCCATTGTCAACATTGTCTGGATAAGAGAGGAAGCAAGAGAGGAAGACACAGAAGTGACTTTGGTATTTCCATCTGCAAACAACCTGGATGCAGAAGGTTGTGGAGAGTGCAAGATGTCCTGATAGGGAAAATATTAGTGCATAAGACATATGAGGGGGGAATAGACAGATGACAGATCCTGGATTCAATGCTTCAAGTTGTTGGTAGTTTTCATCCAAGCCGTGGTCTTCTTCTTTTTAGTAGTTGCTGCACGGAAGACCTGCGGGCGGACAGCATGAGCTGCAATGGTTTACTCCAAGGAAATCAAACTTCCCTTTTCCATCGGATCATCAGGGTCTTCCTCAGATTCAGCTATAGAACAGTTGGCAGTAGGACTGATAGTGTCCTTCCATGAAAGTGTGTCTTCAAATTGGTTGTTTGACATTACAAGGAGGATGGACACTTTGAGATTAGGACAGAATTTAGGTACGGGATCTTTTCCCGAGGCGCAGAAAAAGAAGTCATGTAGAATCAAACACTCGGGATTGGAATGCGGTCTCAAGGGTCATACAGGAGGAGCTTGGGTGCCTTGTGCATTTCAAGTGATTCAAGGGGAAGTTTGTAATCATTGGACCTGTGAGGCAACGATAAACTATAACAAAAACAAAACCTGTCTCCTACTGCACTTGCAGGGAGTAAGAGGTTCAATGAGCTTGAGGTTGACAGATGCTAGTAAATATAGCAAGTAGAGGACTGGGGAGTAAACTCAAGGGTTTCGGTTGAGGAGTAAAGCGGGTAAATTCAGTAATAGAAAACTAAAGAGCTATACATGCGATATGTAGGGTTTATATAGCTAACTGTTTGTTCCTTTAGACTGAAAGGAGAATAGATGAAAAGTGGTCTGAGGAATAAATTGTCCAATAAGAAAAAAGGGAACAACTATTGTACAACTTTAACTTGATTAATCAGCGGGTGAGAGAATTGTACTAATAATAAATGTTTGTCACGCGTGTTCAGGAACCGTATCCTCATGATGAGGTATGATCCTGATCAAAGTGTTTATTAGTATATCCAGGCCTTGATGGGGGTTGGAGCTGGTTGGCGAGATGCCTACTACCAGTCCCTACCCATCGTGCTGGCTGGCTGGGAGTGATACCCAGTCTCTGATCTGTCATATAAAGTGGTAGCGGTGGTTAAGAAAGCCTATGAGGGCTATGAGAAGTAAGATAGCAAATGATACTTCTAGCCCTAGAGCCAGAGGTGTAATGGGAAAAGTGTTCGAGAACCAAGACATAGAGAAGATAAGAAAAAGATAAAATGGTCCTTACAGGACCACTCCAACCACAGAAGCTTCAGGTTATTGATGAGGAGAAAACAGAGTTGACCACATGTAATAGTGAGGGGGATACTGATATCCCGTTCAATATTCTGTAAACAATGTCATATCAACGTCAAATATAGCTATAAAATATACTCACCCCCACTAATTCTGTTCCTGATTTCCCCCCCGCCTTGAGATGGTGTAGAGCGACACATACAATGACGTGGCGTTGGGGTGCAATAGTTGCCGCCAGCATTTTGTTGCGATGTTGGCCATGGACAATATGATTCGAGGAATAGCCCATTCCTAATATTGACATAGGCGCGGGGGGAAACATTGCGGCATGTAATGAACCTATATGTTGCCTTGGAGGAACATCTTCTGTGGGACAAAGTTCTGAGTCAGCATATCATGAGTTATCAATGAGCAAAACCTTACCTCCACATTGTGCTGCTGAGGAGGCCTTGACCAAAGCTTGCCTTGAAATGGAACTTGAAGTGGCCCGTAAGTTAGCATCAGGCTGTTTTGGCGTGTGTTGTTGAGTAAAATCTGCAATCAAAAGGTGACCTATGTAAGTGTGTTGATGTGGTAAATAAACTCAGAAACAAGCACTCACCAACATGCATAGGTTCAACCAAATGACCCGCATGTGAGTCGACATGCATGGCTGCGCATTTATTATGGTAATGCTCATTACATTCCAGGAAACAGTGCTGACCAGAGTTATTGACACCCTTTACATAAAAAAAATGGAACAGAGCAGTCAAAATGTGTATTGCACCGATTGCACTGTTTGGTTGGTTGACTTTTGTTGGCTGGGGTGAATTGAGACATGAGAGGCTGGTCAGTTATGTTATTGATTCGGGCAGTGTTGTACTTATACTGATACTCACCTTGTTTCTTCATAAAGAGGCTATCTTGCTATGCTTGTAAGATAACAAATGCTCTGAATATGTCCGAGTCGCTGTCAATGATGAGAACTGTTGTTAGAAAACCACACACAAAACAAACTAACACACAATCCTCCCAGATTCCACGGAACTTGTTTATGGGCTTTGCCTCCTAGAACAGTGGAGTGGTCTGGTTGTTCGTGGGGTGGTGCGTATAAAGATCCTTCAAAGTAAAACCCAGAGGTGTATGAGTGTGGGTTTTGAGGAGGAGGGATAGTTGAATTTATAGAAGGATAGGGGCTTTGTGACGAGTATAGACGAGCACTACCTTGCTAATCGTAGCACAAGGTAGGTTTGAGAACGACAATATGACGAGGTTCCCAGTGATAGCAGGCTCCTGATGCACAAACTGTAGTGCTCAGAAGGACTCTAATCGAAAGGGATGACAATGACTTCAAAAGTGGGAAGTGACGATGACAGCAGTTGACAGTGGTAGAAGTGGGAAGTGTTGTGACCACACTGGATCACAAGTAGCAGAGTAGTGAACTTGAGAGTAGAGAAGAAGTCTGGATTGGAGTTCTTGTTGTTTTTTTACAAGGTAAAATACAGGGGTTTATATAGTAAAAGAAAAGTAGGCTATACACAGTATAGCTGTGCAAAAAGAATGAGAAAGAACATGAAGGAAGGAATGTATGCTGACGAATCCTGCGTAGGTAGTACAGGATAAGATTGTCCAAAAAGGAAAAGAAAGAGATAGAACAATAAATGCTGTGAGTAATGTCACAGGTTTGTACAGCCATAAAGTAAAGTCCAATAGCAAAAAGAGAGCAGGAAAATCATGATGTCATGGGAAGATGCAGTAAAAAAAGGGCAAGGCAAAACACTATCAGTATCAACACAGTCCCTTTATTGTCAGTCAGGCATTCTAAAAAAATATGTGTCCATAAAAATGATTCAAAAATCAAAAATAATCGCACTGTAAATGAATGTTCTGCTGAAGAAAAAGAAACTGGAGCCACCAGTCCACCACCTAGTCCAAATCCGACAGTTCCATGGCCTTACCAATAGACTGGTTGTGTTGGACCACCTGATCAAACGAGGGAGGGAGAGGAGTAGTTCCAATTTGGAACAAGTGAGTCCCAGGCAGCGTGTGATAGGTGTAGCTGTAGCGAAGACGATGGACAAAAGATAAGTGTACCCAAGTGAATGGGACAGCAATGAACATGGGCGATGCAAGGGGATGAACCTTCTCCAGCTCAAAAACTACCCACCCACGCTCCAACCAGGCAAGACGAGCGACTGATGTTTTGATAGTACATGATGGCAGATCGACATCATGAAGATGGACCTGTTGCCCTATTTGGACTGGCCGCCGGGGCTTTGCTGATATCAGCAGTGGCACGTGGTAGTCTACGGATCGGCGATGGAAGCGGATAGGAAGTGGTGACATCAGAAATGGTGGGGGTGCAAATAAGAGGAGGAGGAGGAGGGTGGAGGTGACGAAAAAGTGGATTAGAATGGGGATCCAGAAACGACCGTCAGGTGAGAATAAAAAGGAGAGGAAGGGGCCCATGGTGGGGCTAGGCAAAGGAAGGGGAGTAAGGGAAACGACAAAAGCGAGGGCGCAATGCAATGTGTAGCCAGTGGTGAAGCAAAAATTTGCCAAAATGCCGAAATGCGGAAAGTACCGAATGGAAAAGCAAAGGTGAGTGTGACTGGATTGCCTAATAGAGGTGGTGCTGATCAGCCACAAGTTCAAAACAGGCAATATTAATTACTATTCCACGTGGCACTGTGCCTGTGTGGCGCAAAGGCGAGTCTTTTTGAATATTCGCTTCGTTATTGACACCTGTCCATGATACCAATCAACTTTGGTGCATGACATCGCCAGGCCTTTGCAGTGAGGATTACTGGATGATCTTATACTCTCACACTAATCTGCTAACACGGTCTTCCATCAGCAGAATTCTAGAACATATGCGGCACAACAACTCCAAGTCACATGTGAGCAAAACATGAGGCAGCTTGAGTAATAAGTGCTCATGGAACGCAAGCATCAAATGAATGGCTAAGTAATTGCCAGCGGGGGCTTGTTCACTTATGCATCACTTAACAGATTCACTTCCATGCCCAACATTAAAGGTCAAATTGCTAGTAAAGTACCTCCTCGTGAGTTTTCTCTCTCAGCCTGACATACAATGATTTGGAACTCATATTTTATAGCCCTCAATGACATTATACGTCCTTTGGTAGTGCAGTTTGCTGCCGCCGGGTATTCAAATCCTCAAATAGTGTCTAAGCTAAAGGAACACTATGATACCAACACCTACAACTTTTTGTGAGTAATAACTATACTCTATACTCTGATACAAGTGTCTATTAATTCCTATCTCCAACAGGTTGCCCTTACTGAAGAAAAAGTGTATGTTGTGGGACATCAAGAGTGTTCAATTGAGAACTTCTGGGAAATGTCTAGCCACTTGCTGAGAGCTAACAGGGACAGAACTAGAGTCCAGTATGAGTAACTGTATTATCAGAGAGTACAGAATGTGTACAGTATCTAGAGTCCAGTATAAGTAACTAAAGAATAGGAATACTGGACTCTGCAATACTAGTCCGAAGTTTTGTAAACAAAGGTAAACAAATCAGCCACAAAGGCGAAATCATAGAATGCTCAGTGAATACTGAACAATAGAGCAAAAAGAATAAAGAGGAAAGTGATTTAGAAAGAAGGGAAAATAGATAGCACAACTAGGTGCAGAATCACCAAAACTAACAAAGAGTGCCCGGGGCCAAGCACATACCGTTGAATCTATTGGACTAGCTATTGAGCGTGTGCGTAGTCGGTTTCCTCAGCAAGGATGCCATGACATGAAGGTCACGCTGCGTCATGAAGAAAACATCCTGGTGCCTTGGTAAATATGAACTTTATAATATATGCTAAGCATGCTGACCTCTTTTTACGTTCATAGCCCTCTCATACTACAGTACATGCATGCGAATCATCATCAAGAAGTTGCAGCTTGTAAAAGTTGCCATCTCAAGTGTAGTTACTTCTGGACTGCAGGTGTGAATAACATATGGTGTTTTGATCAGCACAGCAAATGGAGGTGGTTCCAACTTTTCCTTCATGTGGGCCTGGAACCGTTGTCATGCACCAAAGTTGATTGGTAGCATGGACAGGTGTCAATAACGAAGCGAATATTCAAAAAGACTCGCCTTTGCGCCACACAGGCACAGTGCCACGTGGAATAGCAATCCAGTCACGCTCACCTTTGCTTTTCCATCCGGTACTTTCCGCATTTCGGCATTTCGGCAAATTTTCGCGTCGCCACTGGCTACACATTGCATTGCGCCCTCGCTTTTGTCGTTTCCCTTACTCCCCTTCCTTTGCCTAGCCCCACCATGGGCCCCTTCCTCTCCTTTTTATTCTCACCCGACGGTCGTTTCTGGGTCCCCATTTTAGTTCACCTCCTCGTCACCTCCACCCTCCTCCTCCTCATCTTCTTTGCACCCCCACCATTTCTGATGTCACCACTTCCTATCCGCTTCCGTCGCTGATCCGTTGACTACCACGTGCCACTGCTGATATCAGCAAAGCCCCGGCGGCCGGTCCAAATAGGGCAACAGGTCCATCTTCATGATGTCGATCTGCCATCATATACTATCAAAACATCGGTCGCTCGTCTTGCCTGGTTGGAGCGTGGGTGGGTAATTTTTGAGCTGGAGAAGGTTCATCCCCTTGCGTCGCCCATGTTCATTGCTGTCCCATTCACTTGGGTACACTTATCTTTTGTCCATCGTCTTCGCTACAGCTACACCTACCACACGCTGCCTGGGACTCACTTGTTCCAAATTGGAACTACTCCTCTCCCTCCCTCGTTTGATCAGGTGGTCCAACACAACCAGTCCATTGGTAAGGCCATGGAACTGTCAGATTTGGACTAGGTGGTGGACCGGTGGCTCCAGTTTCTTTTTCTTCAGCAGAACATTCATTTACAGTGCGATTATTTTTGATTTTTGAATCATTTTTATGGACACATATTTTTTTAGAATGCCTGACTGACAATAAAGGAACTGTGTTGATACTGATAGTGTTTTGCTTTGCCCTTTTTTTACTGCATCTCCCCATGACATCATGATTTTCCTGCTCTCTTTTTGCTATTGGACTTTACTTTATGGCTGTACAAACCTGTGACATTACTCACAGCATTTATTGTTCTATCCCTTTCTTTTCTTTTTTTGACAATCTTATCCTGTACTACCTACGCAGGATTCGTCAGCGTACATTCCTTCCTTCATATTCTTTCTCATTCTTTTTGCACAGCTATACTATGCATAGCCTACTTCTCTTTTACTATATAAACCCCTGTATTTTACCTTGTAAAAAAAAACAAGAACTCGATTCCAGACTTCTTCTCTAATCTTAAGTCCACTTCTTACTGCTACTTGTGATCCAGTGTGGTCACAACACTTCCCACTTCTACCACTGTTAACTGCTGTCATCGTCACTCGTCACTTTTGAAAGTGATTGTCATCCCCTTCGATTAGAGTCCTTCTGAGCACTACAGTTTGTGCGTCAGGAGCCTGCTATCACTGGGAACCTCGTCACCTCGTCATCCTCGTTGTTCTCAAACCTACCTTGTGCTACGATTAGCAAGGTAGTGCTCGTCTATACTCGCCACAAACCCCCTATCTTTCTATAAATTCAACTATCCCTCCTCCTCAAAACCCACACTCATACACCTCTGGGTTTTACTTTGAAGGATCTTTATACGCACCACCCCACGAACAACCAGACCACTCCACTATTCTAGGAGGCAAAGCCCATAAACAAGTTCCGTGGAATCTGGGAGGATTGTGTGTTAGTTTGTTTTGTGTGTGGTTTTCTAACAGCAGTTCTCATCATCGACACCGTTCTCAGGTAAAGTATTATGGCTCAAAATATGGTGGATGAATTGGAACCCTCAATTGATTTGTGGGTGGTACTGTGATACTGTCACAAGGCTTGGAGGTAAGTCATATTCCTATCATCTATTTTATCTACTAATAGGTACATTAGGATGCCTTTGCTGACTCAAAGTGACCGTGACAGTGAGAACAATGGGATTGCCAATAGGCACACGCTCTTTCGTCACCTGTTCAATCCATCACTGGCCAACATTTTACATCACACTTTCAAAGGATCTCACCGAAACATCAAGCCAGAAATTTTCTGGAATCAGCTTCATAGACGATGGACACTGGGATTCGAGAACCTACTGGACTATGGCCTCAACCAAGGTTTATACAACCCTGACAATGCTTTACAGTGGTGAGTCTTGTCTTTGAACATATTAGGTACCCGGTTTAATCTTATTCATTACAGCCTCGCTGTCATGCACCAAATGTGATTGGTAGCATGGACAGGTATCAATAATGAAGCGAATATTCAAAAAGACTCGCCTTTGCGCCACACAGGCACAGTGCCACATGGAATAGTAATTAATATTGCCTTTTTCAAACTTGTGGCTGATCAGCACCACCTATTAGGCAATCCAGTCACGCTCACCTATGCTTTTCCATTTGGTACTTTTGGCATTTTGGCATTTTGGCAAATTTTTGCTTCACCACTGGCTACATATTGCATTGTGCCCTCGCTTTTGTCATTTCCTTCACTTCTCTTCCTTTGCCTAGCCCCACCATGGGTCCCTTACTCTCTTTTTTATTCTCACCTGACGGTCGCTTCTGGATCCCCATTTTAGTTCACCTCCTCATCACCTCCACCCTCCTCCTCATCTTCTTTGCTCCCCCACCATATCTGATGTCACCACTCTCTATCCGCTTCCATTGCCAATCCGTTGACCACCATGTGCCACTGCTGATATCAGCAAAGCCCCGGCGGCTGGTCCAAGTTGGGCAACAGGTCCATCTTCATAACATCAATCTTCTATCATATACCATCAAAACATTGGTCGCTTGTCTCACCTGGTTGGATCATGGGTGGGTAGATTTTGAGCTGGAGAAGGTTCATCCCCTTGCGTCACCTATGTACATTGCTGTCCCATTCACTTGGGTACATTTATCTTTTTTCCATTGTCTTTGCTACAGCTACACCTACCATACGCTGCCTGGGACTCACTTGTTCCAAATTGGAACTACTCCTCTCCCTCCCTCGTTTGACCAGGTGGTCCAATACAACCAGTCCATTGGTAAGGCCATGGAACTGTCGGATTTGGACTAGGTGGTGGACTGGTGGCTCCAGTTTCTTTTTTTTCAGCAGAACATTCATTTACAGTGCGATTATTTTTGATTTTGAATCATTTTTATGGACACATATTTTTTAGAATGCCTGACTGACAATAAAGGAACTGTGTTGATACTGATATTTTTTTGCCTTGCCCTTTTTTACTGCATCTTCTCATGACATCACAATTTTCTTGCTCTCTTTCTGCTATTGGACTTTATTTTATGGCTGTACAAACCTGTAACATTACTTACACAGCATTCATTATTCTATCTCTTTCTTTTCCTTATTTTGACAATCTTATCCTGTACTACCTACACAGGATTTGTCAGTGTACATTCCTTCCTTCATGTTCTTTCTCATTCTTTTGGCACAGCTATACTGTGCACAGCCTACCTTTCTTTTACTATATAAACCCCTGTATTTTACCTTGTAAAAATAACAAGAACTTGAATCCAGACTTCTTCTCTAAATCTCAAGTTCACTACTCTGCTACTTGTGATCCAGTGAGGTCACGACACTTCCCACTGCTACCACTGTTAACTGCTGTTATCGTCACTCGTCACTTTTTGAAAGTGATTGTCATCCCTTTTGATTAGAGTCCCTCTGAGCACTGCAGTCTGTGCGTCAGGAGCCTGCTATCACTGGGAACCTCGTTATCTTGTCATTCTCAAACCTACCTTGTGCTACGATTAGCAAGGTAGTGCTTGTCTATACTCGCCACAAAGCCCCTATCTTTTATCTTCCAACTATCCCTCCTCCTCAAAACCCACACTCATACATCTCTGGGTTTAACTTTGAAGGATCATCATACATACCACCCCACGAACAACCAGAGCACCCACTGTTCTAGGAGGCAAAGCCCATAAACAAGTTCCATGGAATCTGGGAGGATTATGTGTTAGTTTGTTTTGTGTGTGGTTTTTCTAACAACAGTTCTCATCATCGACACTGTAGGACATATACCCAAGGCATACAGTGTTTACAGCTCCCACAAAGGGACCCAAGTTGGCAAAAGTGCTAATGCAGCCATTGAACAACTTACTTTGATGGACCTGCATAAGCGAATGGGGCACACAGCACCAGCTGCGGCACGGCGCATGGTTGAGAAAGGAATGATCAAAGGAATCAAATTGATCCCCTCAAATAAGAAAACCTCTTGCGAGTCCTGCATCCATGCAAAGACAACCCAAGAGGCGGCGCCTAAGATCAAAACAGGGGAACACGCTACAATGTATGGTGATGAAGTCCAAACTGATCTTTGGGGGCCAGCGCCAGTTGAAACTCTAGGCGGGAAACACTACTATGTTGCTTTCACAGACGATAAAACCAGGGAAACCCACATGTATCTGCTACGTGACAAGAGCGATACATTTGCTCAATTTTGCAACTATGAAGTGTGGGTTAGAACTCACATGAAAGCCGCAACAAAGATATTACATAGTGACTGTGGAGGCAAGTTCCTGAGCAACAAATTTAGCAATTACCTGAAAGAAAGAGGAATAGTTTGCAAACTTACCGTTCACAACACACCAGAACATAATGGTGTGGCCAAACACCTCAATCGCACATTACTCAAGAAAGTCTGCACCATGCTACATAGCAGCGGTTTACCAAAGTTCCTGTGAGGAAAAGCGATTAGACATGCGGTATGGCTAAAAAACTGTACCTCGATAAAGGCTTTGGATAACATGACACCGCATGAAGCAGCCCATGGCACCAAGCCCTACCTCTCCTCGCTGCACAAATGGGGCCGTAGAGTCTTGATCCACGATGCCTCAGGATCAAAGCTTGATGACCGAGCACGAGAAGGACGCTGGATGGGATTTGATAATGAAGCAAAAGGCCATCAAATCTATTGGCCAGGTAAGCGATCAGTGACAATTGAATGCTCGGTGCGCTTCAATATCAAAAATGTACCTACTCCTGTTACGCACGAAGTGCTTAACAAAGTCTGAGGGTTCGTCAAGGTTTGTAAAGAGACTTATCCGAAGACAAGTTCAAGAACGTAGTTCTGAGTGGAGGTTTTCCAATGGGAGTTGGTCTTCTTCTGAATAGAAGTCTGATCTTAGGAGTCTAGCTTTGTAAGCGTAAACTGCGTAGAATCGTATTAGAGAATACTACTGCTGTTACATGGTATTTATAATGGAAAGGAATTGGTGATAGGAGTTAGGTCCTATCTAGGGCAGGTCCGTCTGTTGAGGACTAAGTACTATAATAGGTACTGTGAATGCGAGAGGAACGGAAGTGTACGTGAAGGAAATGAGTCATCGGTCCGATGGTATAACTGATGAGTAAAAAGAAATGAGTAGTCCTTAAATGTCCAATAGAGATCGTAACAACTCCAAGGTAAAGGATCAGTTTCCGGACATGATCAAGGACCCATTTTACCAAGGAGAATCCAGCTAAACCTTGACAACGCTAAAGGGAGAGATGAAGAGGAAAGAGATGACGAAGCCTTGAGGGACCTAGCCCAAAATGTGGCCATGGTCGCACGCATGGCCAATCTCGGTAGCATCAAACCAAGAACCATTGAAGAGGCTCATAGACGCCCAGATTAGAACAGGTGGGAATCAGCTATCAAAGAAGAGCTAGAACAGTTAGATAAGGCCAGAACCTGGACGTACATTGAGAGACCAGAAGACGTCAATGTTGTTGGTAGCCACTGGGTCTTCAAGGTCAAGAAAACCGCGTCTGGAACTGTTGATAAATACAAGGCCAGGTTAGTTGCACAAGGCTTCAGTCAAGTAGAAGGAATTGATTATTTTGATACTTACGCCCCAGTCACAAAAATGGCTTCACTCCGCATCATCTTAGCCATGGCCGCCAGGAACGGATGGGAACTCCACCAGATGGATGTGAAGAGTGCCTATCTAAATGGGGAACTAGAAGAAAACGAGGTAATATACATGTGTCAGCCCCCTGGATACACTGCTCCAGGAAAGGAATCCTACATACTACGCTTAAACAAGACCTTGTATGGGCTAAAGCAAGTTGGCAGGCGCTGGTACAAAACGCTGTGCGATGGCCTAATGAAAATAGGTCTGAAACGATCAGAAACAGACAATGCAGTCTTTTACAGTCGGGAACGTGACGCACTCACCATAATAGCTGTCCATGTCGACGACATGACTCTTGTGACCCCATCCACAGACTTGATGACTAAACTAAAGTCTGATCTCGCTTGCCTTTTTGAAGTTAGCGACTTGGGTGTCCTACATTGGATGTTAGGCATAGAGATCAAGTGCCCGTACCATCAGTATGTCCCAGCGAACGTACATTGATTCCATCATCGCCCGTTTCAACCTAGAAGATGCCAAACCATTAGCTATCCCCATGGTGGCAAATACTTATCTCAGCAAAGAACAGAGTCCCAAAACGCCGGAGGAACATGCTGAAATGCGAGATGTACCATATCGCGAAGCGGTAGGCCCGTTGATGTATGCCGCAATCGGAACTCGTCCGGACATTGCCCATGCGGTCGCCATCACTTCCCATTTTGTTAAAACCCCCGGTAAAGCGCATTGGGAGGCGGTAAAGCATATAATCAGATACCTAAAAGGAACACGTGAACTTTGGTTAACGTACGGACCCGAAAGGACTGACCTTTTAGGCTATAGCAATGCCAATGGAAGCATGAATGAGAATTGCAGAGCGATCTCAGGCTATGCTGTTATGCTAGATAGAGGATCTATATCCTGGTACTCTAAGCAACAGGAAATTGTGGCCTTATCGACCACTGAGGCCAAATACGTTGCGGCGACCCACGCGACCAAGGAAATCCTGTGGACAAAAATGTTAATTGACGAGATATTCAAAAATGACTCACCTGCAACCACACTTTACTGCGACAACCAATCGGCCATAGCCCTATCCAAGGATACCCAGGACAAAGCATATCAATGTTCGACTGCACTTCATACGCCATGTGGTTGAAGAGGGAAAGATCGAATTGATATATTATCCCACGGACAATATGAGCGCTGATACCTTAACAAAAGCTTTACCGTCGTCAAAGGCAAAGCATTTCACACAAGAGCTTGGACTCCGTGTGGCTTGACGGGGAGTGTTGGATTGAGAACGTCGAGTTAAGAGACAAGTGTTGGTATGTTACACTCACTCTATAGATACAATTCTCTCTTTCCTATTCTACCTTCCTTTCCTTCATGAATTGACCGCTTTTCTTTGACATTACATAAGCTAATCTTTCCCATGCTTACTCCAAAATTCGTAGCATTCTACCTTACACAAACGTCAGTCTCTTGATAATAAGACTGAGGTATGTCTGTCTACTCTACAGTTCTCATTATATCATTATAATCACATTAAACCATCAGAACATCTCTTTTATAGGTAGTTTACTATTCAATATAAGTCTCTTGATAATAAGACTAAGACTGAGAACATCTCTTTTATAGTCTTCTCATAGCCTCACAACAAGCCGATATGAAACACCTAGAAAGGAAGGCTTGTAAGTTAAGGTGGCCCGTGCACCACTATATACCATCATAAAAATTTTGGTTCCGTTATCTTACCTACTTATAAGGAGGCCTGGTTGCTACGTATCACCTCAGACTCTACTACGAGAGTTGAGGTGAGATCCTCCCTTTATTTTCCCTTCTAGTACCTAGCTGATTATTAGTATAGCTTCTTATCTTATCATAGACTTAACTCTCAAACGATTTGATTTTTGGTCTTACTCTATCATAGCTGTCTTATTTTTTCATGACCTGGACATCCTTAAACTTGGCTTACCAGCCTTATGGCCTTATTTCGGCTTATACCTTATACCAAGACCTGTAAGTAACTTTGACATTTGCTGATGCTGCTACTATCAGACACTTATTTTTCCTGGCGTCGGTGCTTTCCATACCGCAATCGAGCATCTGACCTCTTGTTATTGCAGTCTGTCTAAACAGCCTCACACTTTGTTAGGATCTATAGGTTCTGGACACCAAACGGCCACTGCATTACTCAGAGCCATGGTTGACTGTTTCGACCTACATGTGCACTTCTAGGCCTGTTCGTACTCAAAGTTAGTTTCTATTCTATGGCAATTGCCTTGATACGTTTATACGTAACATTGTTGGCAGCATTAATGCGCCATACTAGAGCCAGCAGCGACATAGCTCCAATAGATCTTACGGCTCGCCATTCGCCAACTTTTACCCCACCGAATGACGATCATAAAAGTCATCGTAATGGCAAGCCCAACAAAGGCTGCCGAAATGAAAGTGTTTTGATAGCCCATGTGCAGCCATGGTGTGATCCCATAGCCCTATGATAAACAGAATGAGCGTAAGACAATCGCACGAAAAGCAATGTAACGCACAATTACGAAAGATAGCGTGTTCTATAAGGAGAATAAACGTTAAACTTGAAATAGGGAAAAGGGTACGAAACTCACTCGAACTATGATCACTGCCATCATGGTCTCACCACTCAAGTCTTTATATGAATCGAGGGCGTATCCTATCGAAAGCGCAGAACCAATACCCGTGGAACAAGAGATCATACCCATACCAATAACCAAGCCAGACCAATGGATATTTCTTGAGGCACCCACTCCCCATAGTATAAGAGAGCTAGGACAAAGAAATAGTGACACGACCATAAGCCATAGACGGTGTTCTGGCTCGCGTACACCACCTGTTCGACGAGCGTGTCGAACAGCAAATTTATCACCAATCCAACCACTATATAACGTGCTATAACCAGAAGACAGCATGTAAAAAAAGATATAAAGCAAGATGCGAGTTGAACGTACCCCAGGAACATACCCACGAGCGGTCCTATATAGGTTAGACCGACTGAGCTCGCACGAAAGTTGTAAGGAGCATCGCTGAGGATGAGCGATGCGGTAGCGTTGAGCACGTTGTACCACACTAAACACGTCCCGTATTGAAAACCAGCCCTGAAATGATTCTCTAAGTTGCATATTCAAGGAGCTTCACGGAACACTTACCAAAAGACAACAGGGAAACGCAGCATGATGAGAGGGCGATAAATCATGACGACCAGCATTTTGTTGGTGGCGTACCGCTGGTTAAATATAGCCAGGCGTTCGACGAAAGTTTTTGGAGTTCCAGAAAGCTCTGTAGGGGTTTCACGTCCACCAGACGATAAATCTCGTTTGTCCTCATCGACCCCCATGCTACCAGTGCTGCCGTCTAACTCATGTGCCTCGGAAGCTTCGCTACTGTCTCTGACATAATTGGTCTGCAAATATTATTGACTTGGTGTGCAAGCATATCAAGACAACTTACCTCTTCCATGAAAAGATATAATACTATTAATGCCATTGCATTGATTATGGCGGCCCAGTACATGACCCAGTGCCAACCTTGGCCATCATAGATAAACTATAAAGGATTTGTCAATGAAGCAAAGGATGGGGAGTACAGCGAATTACCCCAGCAATAAGAGGTGCAAAGTAGTTTGACCTTGTGTTAAAGTTGAGATTCTGATCGAGGTCACCAATCAAGAACGCTTACCCGAACAGAAATAGGGTGTAAATCCCGATGTAAGTCCCACGTTCATGAGCGAAGAACTTCATGAAAGCTCATGAATCATTATAGCCAAAACAAATGGCTGCTTTAGCATGACACTCACGACATCTGCAATGCTAACTTCACATAAACTTTCAACGGGTGTGCAAAGATATCCTTGAATGATTTTGCTCGCAATCCTGGAGAGTTCGAGATAGTGTTAGTGCACGAGAGATAGTTTGCGCAATGCTCACCATTGACTTTCTGTCTTGATATATGGTATCCATAAACACATTGCCTGCACGATGTTGCTTCAATCGACGGATACTATGGGAAGCGCACGCTACTCACAATGTTCCCGACAACAGAAAGTAAATAGATACCACGTTTACCAAACGTCAGAGCCAGTGGTTGGTTAATCAGAGCGCCCCATCCCAGGACTATACATAACAATAGAGCATTAGAAAGTGGAGTCGACGCGAGGAAAACTGATATATATATTTACAAAGGAACACTAATAAAGCGTGACAATCAGCACTGACAAGTTAACGATGGCAAGGAATCATAGCACACACTATACCCTGTCCCAGCATTCAAAGTCGAAAGTGGAATACCAGTATCATCTGCAATCGGCTGCAAGATAGAGTACAGGACGGTGGTACCGATGCCGATAGCACTGGTATCTACGGTAGCTTGAGTACAGTTGAAGATTCGGGAGGCATGGGACGCACATATCATAACACAAATGACTTGTAGTAGTTTTCGTCCTTTAGACCAGTTTAATGGATCATTGATATCGTTGGAAGGCGTTGGACTTAGAACAATAGTACTATCGCCAGCAGCATGGGTGACTGTCGTCTTGTCCTGTACATCGACCAAATACACAGAACCTGGAATGACTGAGTCGTCAATTACCCTCATCGTTACGAGTGAACTGGTAGTAGAGGGACGAACCACAAAGACCAGGGGCGTGATAAGTAACATATTCCAACTATAGGCCCGAGTCTTTGGCGCCGGTGACAAAAGTTCAGGCGGATTGTATACAGAACTCCAAAGTCGCAGGGTGCAAACGTCATGGGACCATTATGTGTACTGAATTGCTTCAACAAAAATTCGGAGTCTAAGGCTGGATAACTAATAAATACTCAGTTCGTCAATGCTTCGAGCGTGGTATAGGACCACGATACTGGTGACCCAACTACTGCAGCAATAGTACTGCTCGTTTACACCTTGATCAGATTCAGAGAGTAAATTTCAAAGTTTGGTCGCTGATGATGCCGTCACCGATATCATTCGAAGCGAGTGCTTGATGATAAGGATACTTTGAGTTCTTTTTTAAACTCATGAGAAAGTTGCTCACGATATGCTCCCATTGATAACGACGATTTAGATAAGAGAATCTGGGTACTGGTTCATGACAAGGCTAGTGCTTTGGATTCAGTTCGACCATTCTGTCTGTGGCAATTGAAGGTCTGAGCAGGGTTTCCTGATTTAGCAATCTGCAATCATGATCATTGACCGGATGTGACTCAGCTCAAAAACCAATGCGTCTTTTCCTCCTCGACTACGGTGCAGGCAACGTCCAGAGCCTTGCAAACTCTCTTCAAAAGCTCGGATACCAGTTCTCATGGATATCCTCAAAACATGATTTCGAAGAGGCCACGGTGAGTACCATCATTGAATCTCCATAGTGCACTATCCTGATCGTCACTCTCTGCTACTATCAGACGCTTATTTTTCCTGGCGTCGGTGCGTTCCATACCGCAATCGAGCATCTGACCTCTCGTGGTCTGCTCGAACCCCTTCGCGACTATATCAAATCCGGGAAACCATACTTTGGAATATGCATAGGAATGCAGGTCCTCTTCGAATCCTCCACCGAGTCTCCTTCCACTCCCGGACTCGCCATCATACCCTCTCCTATCGCCCGATTCGATGATACCAACAAATCAGTCCCACACATGGGTTGGAATCACGTCGAGCCTCTCGGCTCTGAAGACTCTGAACCTCGCGAGGGAATGTCATCTGACGTCCACTACTACTTCGTGCACTCTTACAGGGCAACTTACGACCCAGAATCACACCCAGAGGCCGCACAGTGGGCACATACCACCACCCAATACGGCCAGGAAACGTTCATGGCATCCGTTCGCAAAGGCAACGTATTCGGTACCCAGTTCCACCCCGAAAAGTCAGGCGCTGCAGGACTCACTATTTTGGACACTTGGCTCAAGCAGTCTCAGCTTGATCGTGTTTATTCTGCACCATCCCCACGTGTCCCTCGGACACCAAAACCAAAAGACGGTTTCGCGAAGCGTATCATCGCTTGCATGGACGTCCGCGCCAACGATGACGGTGACCTCGTCGTAACTAAAGGCGATCAATACGATGTTCGCGAAAAAGTTCATCCATCCCTATCATCCCTCAGTGAAGGCCATCCCGTAAAAACTGCAGGCGCCGTTCGGAACCTTGGAAAACCTGTGGCATTAGCTGCGCGATATTACGCTTCGGGCGCAGACGAGCTCTGTCTGCTGAACATCACATCGTTCCGCCACTCCCCTCTGCAAGATCAGCCAATGCTAGCAGTCGTGCGTGCAGCCGCAGAAACCGTGTTTGTCCCACTCACGATCGGTGGGGGTATCAAAGACACAGTTGATCCTGATGGCACGAAACGGAGTGCAGTAGAAGTAGCAGGGGCTTACTTTCGAGCAGGTGCAGACAAAGTCAGTATTGGCTCTGAAGCCGTTTATGCCGTCGAGCGGTTACGTTCGAATGGTGGGAAGGGAGACGGTACCAGTGCGATCGAAACGATCGCAAAGGTATATGGAAATCAGGCGGTGGTCGTGTCTATCGATCCAAAGCGTGTGTACGTCGATCTGGCAACATATGATGGACCATACAAGAACGAGCTAATCTATGGGAAAGACGACGGTTCGGAGAAGGAGCGCGGAAAAGCATGGTGGTACCAATGCACCGTTTCAGGGGGACGCGAATCACGACCTGTGTCCGCCGCACAGCTCGCGCAGGGTGCGGAGGCCCTGGGAGCCGGAGAGATTCTGTTGAATAGCATTGACCGCGACGGCACTGGGCTTGGATTTGACCATGAATTGGTTGCATTAGTGAAGCGAAGCGTCAAAATACCGCTCGTTGCGAGTAGTGGAGCAGGGACTAAAGGGCATTTTGTAAGCGTGTTTGAAGAGACGGGCGTAGAGGCTGCACTGGCGGCTGGTATCTTTCATAGAGAAGAAGTGAGCATCGAGGAAATCAAGGAAGATTTGCGGAATGCAGGAATCAACAGTAGAATTATATAGGTCGTAGAGAACGTGTATTACTATGTACCTTTAGAATAGACCTTCCAGTTCTACTGTACAAGCAGAGTTACCCAACGAATGCCAGTCATACCACTCATCAGGGTCTTTGAAGACGTGTCAACCCAGAAGGAAGGACCACCATGTGCATGGGGGTGCGCGTTGAAATCGAAAAGTACACGCGTTTCTACATCATGGTTGGAAGAGAAAACTTTGGCTTTGGTGCCACAAAGTTAAGTGGATTCAAGACCTGCGACTCGCAAGTATATGGGCAAGAGCCTGAGAAACACAGCCGCTGCTGCCGGAAGCTCGTCTTGACCAAGTGGATGAAGACCTTGGTCTCACAGGGGGAACTACATAGAACGATACAAAAAAACAATGAGCTGGCTTGATGGTTCGTATGATACAATTTCGTCTGGAATATCATGATAAAAACTGGTTGAAAAGCTCTATTATGCAAATGCAAAGTGCAAAGCAGCTCTCCTCCCTCCTCCTCCTCCTCCTCCTCCTCCCTCCACACAACCTAAACCTCCTCTCGCAACGAAATCCAAATTAATAAAAAGATAGAGAGCATTATATCGATAGCGTGTCCTTCCAGCGTTCAGTAATCGGCTCCCCCTTGAACACCTCATGCAAAACTTCTTTCACATCCTCCACATACACGAACCGGATACCGTCCTTCACGCTCTCAGGGACGTTCTCTTCTATATCTGCACGATTAGCTGCAGGAGCAAGTATGGTCTTGATACCAGCACGGTGTGCAGCAAGGATCTTCTCTTTCAAACCTCCGACGGGGAGCACCTGTCCGACGAGTGAAATTTCACCAGTCATAGCTACATCCAGAATGTTTATTAGTCCATGTTATCCGAAGATTAGAGCAAAAGAACGTACCGATGTCAGGATTGATCTTCGTTTTCGTGAACAGTGACACAAAGGCTGACAGAATCGCAGTTCCCGCACTCGGTCCCTCCTTCCCAATGCTGCCCTCGGGCATATGTACGTGAATATCCCGGTCGGTTAGGAACTGCTCATCTGGGCTTTGAGTAATTCCAAGCTCGTAAGCATGGGCTTTCACCCAGCTCAGACCGATTTGTGCACTCTCCCGGATGACTTCACCCAGTTTTCCAGTTAGTTGTAAACCACCTTTACCCGGCATGGCCTACAAAAGAATGAGAAAATAATGTACATGGTCGTTTGGTATGACGTACCGTAGCTTCGACAGGCATGACAGCGCCGGACCCATTTCCAAGATAACCCAAGCCAGAACTGACTCCGGGTGGAGGGGGAGTAGTGTACATCCTGTCCTTGTGGTACACCGGGGGACCAACGTAGTCCTTCAGGTTCTCTGGGGTGATCCTGACATGTACACTGTCGGGGATTTTCAGAGGTTTGCGTTCCTGAGTGGTCACCACTTTTTCTGCTTCATTGTCGCTGGTGGCTTCGGGAGTAGCAGTGGTATCGGGTTCATTTGGGAGAGGTTCCTGAGACTCGACAGTCTTCGGTTGTGGACCCACGGTCGATGATTCGGCAGGTACACTAGTGGGGGCAGGGGAAGAAGGTTCCGGGAAGACATCCTCTCCAAGGTCAAGGATAAGCTTCAATGCAGCCTTTCTATAGATCTGGTATGACATTCGACTGTTAAACAATTAGAACTACGGCGAGATATTAGACTATACCTTGTCAATGTGCTTTTTCAGGTTACGCACACCACTCTCGCGACAGTAGTACTTGATCAAGACGTCAACCGCCGTTGGGTCGAGAAGTACATCGGCTTCCTTGAGACCAGAGGACTCCTTTGCTTGAGGGCCGAGATATTTATCCGCAATAACAGATTTTTCTTCTGAAACATAGCCGCTGACTTCGAGAACCTCCATACGGTCCAGCAGGGGTGCAGGAATCGTATCAAGATTGTTAGCTAGAGATATACAGTCAGAATTTTTTTTTGAAATCTAATGACAAGGCTGCATACCTGTGCAAACGAAAAGAACGCGGGACAAATCAACAGGGACATCCATACTGGAGTGACAATAGGTTTCAGTTATCGATCATAATTGATCACGGAACTTACTAATGATCTAAGAATCCATTGTTTTGCTCGGGGTCTAGCATTTCTAACAGAGCGCTAGCAGGATCACCATTAATACCACGCCCAATCTTGTCCACTTCGTCGATCAATACCAGAGGATTTTCGGTGCCTACGCGTTTCAAAGCCTGGATGATCTTACCTGGCAGCGCGCTATAATCGAGAATCAATACCAATACGACCAATCCATACGGCGTACGAACCCAACGTAAGTCCGTCTGTGTCCCTTAATTTCAGCTACATCCGTCAAACCACCGACAGAAAACCTGAAGAACTGCCTGTTGAGAGCACGCGCTATTGACTTCCCAATAGACGTCTTCCCAACACCCGGTGGACCCACCAAGCAAATGATCTTGCCTTCTACCGTCCCTCGCAGTTTCCCTACAGCAAGGAACTCCAGGATACGATCCTTGACGTCCTTGAGACCATAATGGTCTTCATCTAATACCGTCTGAGCATGTCCGATTGAGTAGTTTTCTGGTGAATGTTGACCCCATGGTATCTGTAGAATAAGGCGATGATCAGAATCGTGGCGAGTTCAGAGGAATCGAAAGAATCAAAATTACTTACCTGGGTTAGCCATTCCAGGTAATTGCGCGTCACGTTAGCTTCCGAGGCAGCAGGTTCGAGGCCCATCAGCTTGTTGAGCTCCTCATCGAAGACTTTACGAACACTCTCTGGCATCTTGAGAGTAGCAGCTCGTTCCTTGAACTTCTCTATCAGTTTGTCCTTGCCATCTGATTCCATGCCAAGTTCTTTCTTGATGCCTTTTAGTTGTTCCATCAGATAGTACTCGCGCTGGCGTTTTGCAATTTTGGTATCGACGTCCCTCGATAGTTTGCTTTGCAGCTGGGCATTGATGAGTTCCTTCTTGAGTACCAGTAAAGCTTTGCGTAATCGATCGTCCACAACAAGACTCTCTAGCACATCCTGAAGTTCTCCTACTTCACCTGTAGACACTGCGGCAGCGAAATCGGCAAGCTTATCAGGTTCATCAAAGACGTTAGACGCTACTTGATTTATAGAGAAGTTCGTGATTTGATCACGGAACAGTGGATTCAGTTGCGCGATGTCTTTAAATACGGAAACAATTTCCGACATGAAGGCACGGATGTACTGATCATCTTTGTTGTACGGCTGTGTGATAAGATTGTCGACCTGGACTATTGAAATTGCATGCTTGTGAAGGAATGATGTTTGTAAAGGTCCTGGAGAAGAAGTTAGCAGATAGATAAGGACTATTTGAACGTAAATATACATACCAGCTTGAATTCTTGTAGCCTCTGGTTCCGGGGGAGGAGTAGGGGGAGCGACCGTTTGAGCCTTTGCCGCCTCATCTTCATCAGTTACTTTAGCTACTGAAGGACTTTCGCCAGCCTTGATAAGCTCTGTCACTTTGATCCTCCGATGCGGATACAAAACAGCTGTGAGCCCTTCTTCCTTATCGTCGCCTGAGCCACTATTTGCAGCGAAGACACTGGTTATCTGAGCAAAGACACCAACAGGGTGTACCGAGTTTATATCCGTGATAATGTCACTGTCCGTGTTCTCATCTTTGAGAAGGAAAGCACCGAGATATGGTTGGCCACGTTTCATCATTTCCTTGATAGCAGCGACGACAGCAGGATTACGAACGACGACAGCCTTGTAAAAACCGGGAAAGAGTGGACGCCGAGCAATGGGGAGGGCGAGAACCTGGGGATAGATTTCGGGTACGGATTGTTTTGCAATAGAACTTGGTGAAGGTGGCGTTGTTGGAGGTGGTGCTGGTGGTGGATCGGCGCTATCATTGTTATCACCACTAGAAGATGAGGACGGAGGTGTCGAATTTGACGATGCACCTGGAGCATTCTCGTCTTCGGGTCCATCTAACCGGACAGTGTCATTCTTCTTCTCTACATCGCCGTCTTCCTGCGCCTTGGGATCATTTTCTGACGTGTCCGCTTCTGGGTTTTTGTTGTTGGACCAGCGTGGAGAATAAAATAGTGATTGCGAAGGACGGGCAGGGTTAGAGATAGAAGAAGAAAAGGACCGTCTATCGATTATTCTTGACACCAACTGAGAGCCCAGTGGAACCGAGCTCTGTGGTATCCAAGATGAGCTCGTACGCGGCACACGAGCCTGTCTCGCACATATTTGCTTGGAACAAGAGGCGGTAGTCGCCCGAAAGCTGCCAGCAAAGGCCATCAGCGACCAACAACTGACCGTCGGTCTTGGATGTTCTCAGACAAATGAAGCCTCCGTCGCCGTTACGGTCAATGAACCCTCCAAAAAAAAAGAGAACGACGAGTGATGTGTCTTGGTTGCAGTAATGGACAACCGAAAAGTTCAGTTAAGGCGGACAAATTGCTGAAGATGACGCATCTTCCAAAGGAGTCTGTCAGCGGAACATGCCGCGTGTGCCGGTGTTGCGCGTTCGAATCCAGTTCGTTGCAACAAGAGCAATGCACTTTTCTCACCGTCGTTCCCACCTTCGCGGCCCTCCGTTCACTACCATGCGTCCACGGTTCCAAGCATAGAATGTATACGCGATCACAGCACGGGACTATGTATCGCTGAAGGAGCATTATAAGGCATATGGAAATGAGCCTGAGGCTGACACCAAGGTTATCGCAGTCGAATCGAATAATGCTATGACACTTGGAACATGGCCAAATTCTTCGGTATACTGTCTCGGTTTATCGTGTTTTGCATATTTTCCACCACTGTATATACCCTCTCATCGACAGAAGGAGGCCCTTGTTCAACCACCAACGATCATCTCGATGGGGAGACACATAAGCTTATAACAGACTGTACAGACAAGTTCTTCTGCTCTGGTATCGTCAACGGCACCTGCAAACCTAAACAATGTCGCAGAGACGAATTTCCATTTGGGTACGGGCACAAGGAGCCTGTACCACCTTTGTGCCCTCGAGGAACGTTTTGCCCCGATGAAGGCAGCGGTTGTGTTCCTTGGCTCTCTGTTGGAAAACCGTGTCAACTGAATAGGGACGAACAATGCATACCACCCCCTGGCTTCCGTCGAAATGCGAACTATAGCTTAGAAAGCTCAAGTGGCTCCATTTGCCTTAATTCTACTTGTTTGTCAGTGTCACTTCCTCTTTCGATGGTACTGACTGTTGACCAGTTCGGATATACAGGTACGCGAATGGGACGGCAGGCTTGCCTTGTAAGATTGAAAACACGACTTACACTGAATACGATTCCACAATGCTCAAAGTGGTTCTCAACGTCGTCCGAGACAACTGCAAAGATCCTGATTTTTATTGCGATCCGGGCATCTTGATCTGCGAGCATACTGTAGGTATAGGACTGCCATGCAGCTTTGATCGCAACTGTCGTTCGGTACGTCAGGCCTCGAGTGGTATGACTACAACCTGGATATTCTTTTCTATAGCATCACTGTAAAGGAGGTTTTTGTGCTGATCCTCCGGATACGTCACTGAAAGTCGCGCCATGGCAATACGCCGTCACAGCACTTTTAATTGTGGCAGGTGTGTTCTGTCCAGTGACACCTCGTGAATGTTACGCTGACCTTGTTGTAGCAATGATTGCAATATGTGCAATACTCACGCTTCTCCACCAACGGCATCGACTTGAACGTTCAAAGGAAGTTCGAGATTATTATAACGAACAGATCAGGTGAGCGCGTCGTCTAATATCTAGAAGTCAGCTTTCCATTGATCTCAATCGCCTTTAAGCCTACGTCAAGCAATTATTGCACTACATTCTGCGGCTGCTGATGGGCATACAGACGAGAAGGCGTTCAAGAGGTCTGTTGACAGAGTAAGGTAGAACTACGTCAGTCTAGTACTTTCGCCTTTACCGCACTGTTTCTATCAACATGGTGTCGATGTGTATACATGCTTTATAAAAGTAGTATAGATCCAGAATTTTGTTGATAATACGACGTTTCTTGAGTGGAAGCTACTTTGTTATCAGTTTCCCACGGGTGATTAATTTTCAGGTTCGCGTCCTCGGAGCGCGTTTTATCATTGACTCGGACGTACACTCGAACGCGTGCTCAGCTGGGATACTTAGCTCTTATCCATCTCTTCTCCCTTTCTCAACAAAAATGGCTGAAATTCACGATCAGTTCGATACAATCCTTATCCTTGATTTTGGATCACAGGTTTGATTATCTGCTTAAACTTGGATCAACGAATCTTACCTCGCCGTTATCTAGTACAGTCATCTAATCACAAGAAGATGTCGCGAGCTCAATGTATACGCAGAGCTGATGCCCTGTACGACTAAAATCAGTGATCTCCACTTCAAACCTAAAGGTTCTTTCCCATTTGTTTTGAATGTAAAGCGTGGAGCACGCTCATAGTCAGAGAAATACAGGAATCATTCTCTCGGGATCGCCTTATTCGGTCTACGACGATGATGCACCCCATGCTGATCCCGCCATCTACACCCTCGGCGTTCCGATCTTGGGCATCTGCTACGGTCTCCAGGTCTGTCCCCGTCCTCTCTCAACTATTATCTGTATCAACTCACTTCCGTCGTCAAAAGGAAATGGCTTATCATAACAAGGGAAAAATCGCTCAGTGCAATCACAGAGAATATGGGTTCGCCCAGGTGGAGGTGTCCAAGATAGGTGAAGGTAGCAGTTCGTCTGTGGATGCTTTGTTTGAAGGGCTCGGGGATATGCAGGTACGTCTTTGCCTTCTTTTACTTGCAGACTGGTGTATGGGACTCACTTTATACCAAGGTATGGATGTCTCACGGCGACCAACTCTCTGAGATGCCACCGAATTTCCACATCATCGGACGAACGCAGTCAGCTCCATATGCTGCCATCGCACACGACTCTAAACCTTTCTACGGTATCCAATTCCACCCAGAAGTGACTCACTCTCCTCGCGGAAAGGAAGTCATTGGACGATTTGTCCTCAACATCTGCGGCTGCCGAACTAACTGGACAATGGTCAGCCAATCACTTCATTCCATTTCGTTTCTTTTTCTCGAGGCTGAACGCTGATAATTATGGATTGATGTAGGAAGAGTTTATTGGGAAAGAGATTGCGCGTATTAGAGATATTTGTGGGCCAAAAGGTCGGGTGATCGGGGCTGTTAGCGGGGGTGTTGATAGTACTGTGGCCGCAAAGCTGATGCACGAAGCTATCGGGGATAGGTTGTTATTTCAACCCTTGTCCCTGATTATATGGCTCACTGCATCTCAGATTCCACGCTATCATGGTCGATAACGGCGTCTTACGTCTGAATGAAGCCAAACAAGTTAATGAGATGTTGAACAAAGATCTCGGTGTCAACCTCACCGTTGTTGACGCATCAGATTTGTTCCTGTCGCGCCTGGAAGGAGTAGAAGACCCCGAGAAAAAGCGAAAGATCATCGGAAACACGTTTATCAACGTGTTTGAAGAGGAAGCAGCTAAGATTGAGGCCGCTGCTGAGGCGGAAGAGAAGAAGGGCGCTGAGGCAAAGGGCAGAGTTGAGTGGCTGTTGCAAGGGACGTTATACCCTGATGTCATCGAGAGCATCAGCTTCAAGGGTCCGAGTGCGACCATCAAGACGCATCACAATGTGGGAGGTCTTCTCGCTGACATGAAACTCAAGTTGATAGAGCCGTTAAGAGAGCTGTTTAAAGGTGTGTCCCGACTTTTGATGTCATCTACTGTATTCTGTTGTATTCAATAAGCCTTCATGGCGAGCCTAGACGAAGTGCGTGCATTGGGACGGCTCTTGTCTATTCCTGCTCCTCTCGTACAGCGCCATCCGTTCCCAGGGCCTGGACTTGCCATTCGTATCCTTGGACCAGTAACGCGCGAGCAAGTAAAGATATTGCAACAGGCTGATAGCATCTACATTGAGGAAATTCGAAATGCAAACCTGTATAACCAGATCAGTCAAGCGTTTGCTGTACTTTTACCTGTTAAGGCTGTGGGAGTTATGGGGGACAAGAGAACATACGAGCAGGTTTGTGTGTATCGCCAGTTTCTATATACATAGCTGACCTTTTATGTTCAGGTCATTGCCCTTCGTGCAGTGCAGTCAGAGGACTTCATGACGGCCGATTGGTACGTACATACTTAGTAATCGTGTTTTTCTTGCACTCTAATTAAGACCTTGCCATCAGGTATGTATTCCCCCCAGAGGTTTTGCGAAGAATATCTTCCCGTATCACGAATGAAGTCTCTGGAGTGAATCGCGTCACTTACGACATCTCTTCCAAGCCACCTAGTGTAAGTCAACTTGATGTGTATCAGTCAGACTGTTGCTGAAATACTCTGCAGACTGTCGAGTGGCTGTAGAATTCAGGCTTCCTTTGTGATGCAATTTATGAAAAAAGGTTACTCGTGATGGGTGAATGTTGATAGACTGTATCGTAGATCTCGCTGCAAAACATAGGTCTAGGGAGATAAATAAATATAAGGATAGTTCCTGCCATACTTGTGTGCTTTGTTCTCGGATTCATGAGAGGGAGAAGTATGTTTTTCATTTGTTTTCGGTGTTTTGCGGAGGATCGAGGAAATGAAACGGGGATATCTGAGATTTGAGTTCCGATTACATGCACCCACAAAGATCCACAATTGGCTTCCAGTCGAGATGCCAGAATATGAAAGGTTCTTTCACTGGTGAGAGCCACTTCTTTATCTTCCCCAATACTTCTCTTGCTTTCTCTCGACAAAATCCTTATAAATTCCTACTGCAGGCCCATCGTCTCCTGCCAGTACTTCTGCCTCGCAGCCTCCAACGTCCAACGTTCAGAACGGACAAATGCCCCCACCACTTCACGCAGCCATTACGAACAACGAAAAACTCTTTCCTGTATTCGCAAAGAGACTCTCTTCGCACAACCCAGACACCTACATTGCAGCTGCGACCAAGTTTGCACGATGGTTGAGTTCTGAAAGAGCGTATTACGATGTCGCACGTCCCAAGGTATGACTGAATATCATCGTTGCGAGGTTTGAAAGTGTTAAATGACCTATTTGCCTCCCGTCACCGTGATGCCAGATCGTAGAACTACTTGAGGTATTGGCATTACTGTCCTGCGAAACGACTGCCCGGTTGACATGGGGCACCTGCTTTTCAGGTCGCCTACAATAACTACGCCAGATTGATGGAAAACGCGCAGAACCGTGCAAATCCATCTTTGGCTCAAGTTTTTGCAGACCTACTGCGTACCGTCACGCCATATCGCCGCCTCTTCGTCGAACCTCAGCTACAAAGTATCTCTAGCTAGCTCATTCCACGTAACGCTTTGACCAATGAGCGGCTTACAGACAGACTGCATGATGTCTTCCGGCACGTCATGGTCGCTCCTCCCCAATGGACAGCGCCTGCTACAGACTCGCAACCGACGAATCTCCCAATGCCGACGCGGGCATCTACTGTCGAATCTCGGGAAGTAAGCTGTCTCCATCTTATCTCCCATCGTGTCCCTATTAACACGTGAAACGCAGTATGATCCCCCGCCGCCATACCCTGGAACCTTTGCACCCCCACCACAGATACCCGAGCAGGCAGAAAGGCGCGCCCCCGACCCATTCTCGTCCCTCATGGCGCTTGACCTTGACTGGTTCAAGACCAAAGGACAACAACCTCCTGCTACAGCTAGGTCGGACGTACCTGTGAGCGCGCCAGCGCAGCCCACTCCACCAGGTGAAAGTCAGGATATAGCAGCTCCACCACCCGCAGAAACCGCAGAGACCGTCAGTATGGAACAAACTGCCGACCCTAGTGAGACCCTTCCAGCTCCTGAAGTAGTGATGCAATCTCCCATCGCGTCCACTTCGCCCCCACCAACAATAGGTATGTTTCGTGATCATTTACTCCTGTCATTCTTATACATATATGGAATATAGATGGTTCACGTCAAGACGACACATCGCCCGAACTTGAAGATCTTAACCAGTCTTTTATGGATGTCAGCCAAAATGAAGATACAATTGCATTTGAAAACTATGAGCTTTTCATAGGTGAATGACGAATTCAGAATATTTTGCGAAATATTACTTTAACGTGATGCTTCTCCTCACAAATAGAACAAGATACAAAAGACGATATAGTAGAAGGTTTGCCGATTGTGGTCGATGTACCAGCAGAGCCTACTCCTGTTGTTCAAGTCACTCCTGTACCTGACATTGGGGATGGTATGACCATAATGTATGATGGGCAGGGTCCTAATCGTCCAGGAACTGTTTCGATCAAGTTCCAAATCGAAGAATCACTCCTACCTATGATATCCACCTGGGTTAATCAAAGTCGCACAAACGTAGTGTAAGCATTTGTTCTGGCCCCGCTGATTGCACTATACTCAAGGCACCTTAGTGACCGCTCGTCAAGCTTATGCGTTTCTCTGGCCTGCTATCTCCTATCTGATCTCGAAGACGCATACGTTCGGGCAATAGAAAAACCCACAACCACCGAGCAGCTGTTATCGATGACAAAGTCTCTCTGGCCAGATTCGGGTACCTTGTCTCTACGGTTTCATCATAAGGACGTTGATATGCACTTGCCCCTATCTCCACCAATAGTTGTGCGCTTTTGTCTCGTTGTTATCGCAAATTTATCATATTCTAACCAATTTGTATACGATCAATTTGTAGGTCACCCCCGACCAATATTTCGATCTCTCACAGTTCATCAAAGGAGGCCAGAACGAGTTTAAGCTCTTACAGCGATGCGATATGTCCAATTGCGTATACTTTGTTCAGGTACATCACCCAACCCAGCTACAGCTCGGTGTTCTGGCGTCGCGACGTCAGCTAGACGAGTCTTGGAACCAGTTTCTCGCCACAATGAAGCGCCCTTTGGAACACCAAGCTCCATGGAACGAAATAATAAAACCAAGCTCATGATAGGTGGGTTGTGTCTTGCGCTTGCATATTGTATGTTTCACAGCTTCGTCTAGTAATAAATTTAATTGAAAGCTGAAGTCACAGCCTTCTACATACCAGCGATTTCTTCACTTAAAATTATGAGTTCGCGAACCAAATTACATTACCCTGTATAGTTTTGAATCCTGTAGACACAGTTGTACTTGTTGGCACATCATAATCGAATTCGTTATTGGCATAGTTGGGATGATGTTTTCAAGTTTGCCACAGACGCGACAAAGAGAATTGGACGCGTTTGAAACAGACTCCGATTCTCGACCGCCTTGCTGCCTGGCACCCAACGTTCGTTTACTGGTCCTGGCTCGTATAACCGTTACCACCAGGAATGACATCCCCTGCAGCAGCAGACTTCCTGACTAAGGAGCTCTTCATAAAGAATAACGTTGTGCGTATGATTCAGAGTCCCTCAGCGCTGTAGACTGGGCTTAACCCTATACTACTACTCACCCGTTGAAATATCAGGTCACGTTCCGATCTTTGAGCAGAGAACTTGGTATCCATGTTGACCAGGCGAAAAAGTGCGTTTCCATCTTGATAATATCAGTGTCAGAAGAGGTACATCGAACCTGACGTCGAACTTGCGAAACAGCGAACTAGCCACTTTCCACACCGACACGCGCTCATCTCCTTCGCCATCGTTTTCGACCTATCTCGTCTCTGGAGAAGTTTCAAGCTTAGGTGGCCACCAAGATGAACGCGAAGATGGGACCCAGGATGATAGAATGGACGTTGACCCCGACGAGGGTGAACTGAAACCGATTATGGATATAGCTCCGTGCACGAAGATGATACTGGTTGATGAAGATGCGCTTGAAGGTTAGTCACATCATACAGCTAATGCTTACATCCTAACATAACAGTGTGCAGAAACCAAAGCCCAGTTCTCGCGTATTTACTCAATTCACGTCTACAGCTTGTCTCCTTCCCCCATTCACGTATGTCCTAGTCCGTGTTACCTTGCATCACTCATCGTGAAAGGACGTAACTCAGGATGCAGGCCTTGTATGTGGTCCAACTGTCATGGTCAGGCAAGCGGATGCCACGGGGGGTCCCGCTCTGTCTTCCATCGTTGGCAAAATTGTAGGCGCACACGTTAAGGTGAGGTACTTTCACGTCATATTTTGATGTTTTGTCTAAAGTATATAAGATGGGAAATACCTCTAACGATCCTTCAGTGGCATCTACCTCCAACACCAAGCTGGAACCTCCCGAGAAGCCGAAGCTCATACCATCAGAGTCTCAAGAGAAACCAGTTGTTTCCCCCAAAGATAAGGCAAAAGAACAGGAAAAAGTGAAACCTTCCGATGAGCCACCTCGAGCCGCAGACAAACCAAAAGCAACGGGCAAGTTGGATTGGAGTAAGGCCAAATCTAAGGAGAGTAAAAAGCCCGAACCAGCTGTTACTCTCGACTCCATACAGGCTAGTACGTCCAAAAAAGATAAGAATAAGGTTTCGAAGCCGAGGGAAGACGTCACTCTGACTATCCAGGATACAAAGGTATTATCGCACTTAAATGTCATAGACCTCATTTTGATTCGTCTCCAGCGGGGGAAAAAGCGAAAATCTCCAAGTGCTTTGTTGTCAGATTCGGAAGAAGATGTCGAGCCCCCACAAGCATCCAAACCCGCGGCTCAGAATACTTTACGTGTGAAGAAAGGCATGATAATGTCTGACGACGAAGACGAAGATTTAAATATCCCAAAGCCATCAAGAGTGGTAAAGAAAGCTGCCGATTCGGATTCAGAAAGGAGTTTACGAGCGATGATGGATATAGATGATGGTTTGTGCGAATATCATCGAGATCTACTTAAGCTCACTGTCCTCGACGCAGTACATGTCATCAAAGCTTCGAAGTCGGTCGCCAACGAATCGTCTGAAAATGACGAGGATCAAGAAGAAGACGTTGATATTGCAATGGACAGCGAGGAAGAAGTACCAAAGCCTAAGCCAAGAAAGAAAAGCGAGAAGAAGGTGGTTCCTATCGGACGTAACGGACTCAGAAAGAAGAGGGTCACGAAGAGCCGGACGACAACGGACGCAAAAGGCTATATGAGTGCGTTTCTTCGTTGTACTGCCCGTTTATCCAGAACTGACAAGGTTACTATCCAGTAACCGAAGATTATTCTTCTTATGAATCCGTCGACGACGACGAACCAGATTCCGAGCTGCCTGCGAAAGGGAAAGGGAAAAAGAAGACTACAGCGGAAACGAAACCAGAGAAGGATACCAACCCCGCTCGCGAGGCTCCCAAGCCCAAAGCAGATGTTTCTCGCGCCTCGAAAGCGAAGTCATCATCGGCAAAGCGTGGCAGCCTCCTTAACTTCTTTGGTCCTGAGAGAGGCAAGAAATAGGGGTATTTTAACAAAGTGACACCTACTGGTTTAAGTGCCAGTATCGTTTAAGAGAGTATATGAACAACAGTTTGATTCAGGGATAACTCTTGACTCCAATATGATTTCTTCTACACATAGCCTAGTACAATATATCGATCGACTATTGACCGACTATCATCGTTATTGAATTAGGCCAGCGAGGGAGACTAGCACAAAGCTGCTTCTGAGTTGGCCATTAATGTCATGTCAAACATTCGAGATTGGTGCCAACGGTGCTATGGAATCACCCCACGATATCAAAAAGGAAGTTGAGATTTTATAGATATAGTGTAGGATAAATCTAAGAGACGGAGAAATGATGAAAAAGGAATATCTGGTGATCTGAACAATCGACTCTAGCTGACGATGAGACTTGGAGCATCTTCGATAGTATGAATTTGGGACTTCATCTTGCCCAAGACTATCAAAGCCAATTCATACCATGACTTTTGGCATTCCGTTAAGGGCTTTCCACGGAGTTGGCGTGCAAGGATATCGCTTAGATGATTGCGAAGTAATTTCAGGGCAACATTTGATTTTGGGGGAATGTGGAATCTGATCTTGCGATCGACAGAAGCCGAATCAGATATGAGCTATTCAAAGGTTAGTTTGTGAGCAGCGAGACTAGTATTCCCTTGACGTACCCTGAAATCGCATTCTCCGCAAAGTAACAGTAGGGAAATGTCATCCACAGGTCCTGTTTCCCATGCATAGAGTTTCCTTGAATGCCTGGGAAGTTTCATGAATAATGCTGTGGGCTAGAGTCCAAATTGCAAGTGCAACTTACATCAGTGTAAAGTAAGATAAATAATTTACGCCAAAATCCGTTGCTTTTTTCCCGAAGTTGATGGAGGATGGGTGAAAAGCGGAGGGTTGATTGTTTGAGATTGTTTTCATCTGCCCGGTTGAGTCTACCGTTAATATCTTGGGGTACAACCCAGCGGCAAGTGCTGCATTGACAAGAGCGGTGTTATAGGAATTCGAGTCGAGCGACGGAGGCACAGTCACGAAACGCGGCCTGTTCCGGCCGTATCGGGCTCTGATAATTGGTCAGTCTCAACTTTAACTAGAAAAATGAAAAGGATTTTTTACCGACTCAATTCCCGAACAAAAGATTTGTCAACTTCAATAAATGAGGAGTCAACAAGGTATCTGAATTTCTTTAGCATGACATCAAGAACAGTTTGTAAATAATACCTACCCCAGAAATTGTTGACGCAACTCTTCTATTTGTTGTAGGTTCTGGTGGCTGAGAAAGTGAGTCCGGCAAAATTTATGAACAAATCCTGCGTTTGAAGAAGCCCTTCGCCAGCTCGCAAAAGCGTTATGAATAGTAAGGAAGTCCGAATTCTCTAAAAGAATTCGATCAGCCTGATATAATGTTAATGTAAGGCAAGTTACTCACCAGTCCGAAATGTTTTCTTGGCAATATCAGCTTCTTGTTCCATGCCAAATGGAGTTACAAAAGGGGATTTAGAATTTAGAGCAGCGGCAATAGTCAAAGCAGGGTCCAAGCAGCGAAACAATGCAGCAGTTAAGAGAAACTTCCCAAGGTGAACCTCGGTCGGCAACTTGCTAAGCAGCCTGCCCATTGGAGTGATGTCCTCAGATGGGGTCAGCGCTCGAACCTGGTTGATATATGAATATGATGGCCATTAATAAAGTAAAATGAGAACGTACTTCGACAAGCGCAGATATAGCCCTCTGTACATTAACAGATACGGGGGGATCCATGGCTTGAGATAGCACTTCCTCGATGGAACTTCCCAGATTGACCTTCATAATTTTGATACGCAATGCCAGATCAGACAAACTCAAACGCATCATCTCTGGTAAAGGATTTTCGGCCAGCTACCATGAAGCTAACATTAGCGGTGGCGACAGCTTGCCTAATCTGACACTGACCTGCGTATCGTGTCGCGTTTTAGTAAAGAGATGATAGCATAACCCGCTTTGCACCCGCCCAGCACGACCCCTTCTCTGGGCAGCATTACTTTTGGCAACAAAAGTTTCCACTAGACGACTGATTTGTCGTTTCTCATCAAACCTAAAGCAATAAATGAGATCACATGTAAGGTAGATGTAAACACAATGACCTCATTTCTCGATGTTTGCCTGTATCAATTACACATGTTATATCAGGAATTGTGATACCCGTCTCAGCGATATTTGTTGCTGGAGAAAAGGACCAATTAGAAACATGTCAGCAAGGAACCAGAATTTGCACACCTATGACTATCTTCCTAACACCCGGAGGAGGTATCTCAAACACTCTATTTTGACTCTCACTAGAAAGTGTTGAATGTAGATGATAAATCGTAAAACTACTATCGTCCCCAAACAGCCGATGTTCGCTGAGAAGGTCATTCAAGCGACGTATTTCTCCCAAACCCGGCATGAACACGAGCACAGCAGACGAAAAAGGGTGTAATGCATCGTCCTCAAAGCAAAGTCTCTCTAAAAGACGTATGATAAGATCATAAGGTATAAGACGTTCGTCGAATAGGTTCATCGTCGCGATAGTCTGAGAAGAATATCGTTTTTCAAGTTTGAAATTTCCCTGAGTGGTGTCGTTGTCGTCATCATCATCCCCATCAGCAATATCTTTATCTTCTGACCGATTGGTTCCATTTTTATTCCGGTAGAACTTGTCGTACGCTGTTATAGAAGGTTTTTACACCAGTAAATAACGAGCATAGCGTTGAACTCACGTCTTCTTGCATATGGTGAGTTTTCAGTGATTGTCCATTTGGTGTGTTCCACAGCATCTTCAAGGTACCGAACATCTACTGGAAAAGTTCGACCTGGGATCTGGAACGAAGGGCATCCACCAAAGAACTTGGAAATTTTTTCAACATCCATAGTCGCGGACATCAAGATGATTCTATTGTAAGTTATTAGCGCAAAACAACAGGTAACAAATTGGTGTTATCACTTACTTTAAATCAGATTTTTGAGCCAAAAGTGATTTCAAAACAATTAAAAGGAAGTCAGATTCGATGGTACGCTCGTGCACCTAAAGCAAGGTATAACTACGCAATCGTAATGAAGTACGCAAATATCACGAACCTCATCGATGATAAGATGCTGGACAAAATAGCGAGATATTAAGCCTGGACTGCCTGAAGGTAATTTGACTTACGGTGATTTCATCAAAAGCCATGCCTTGACCACCTTGTCCCGATCCACTCTCAAGCATCCGTAAGGCTATGCCATTCGTAACAAATGCTAGTCTTGTGTTTCTGCACGTATTGCTTTCCAGACGGATCGAATAACCTACCAACGAACTCATCGTTCCAACTGCACCTGGAGCATCGCCGAGCTCAAGAGAAACCCTCTGAGCAAGGGATAAAGCAGAAATACGGCGTGGCTCTGTGCAGTAGATTTTGCAGGGTTTTCCTTGTGACAGTTGATCCTCCAAGATGAAAGCTGGTACTTGCGTAGATTTCCCACTAAATAACGTCAACTCAATAAGCCATAAAAAGAGCGAAGCAGTTCAATCCCACCATCCTGTTTCGCCACTTAAAACCAGGACTTGCGAGTACTCCAATGCAGAAGTGATCTCTTCTCTGTACTTTGCGATAGGAAGCTGGTTGCGGTGGGACTGGAAGATATGAGTGTAAGTTGGAATGACGAATAAATAACCATGACCCTACTCACTAGCATTGCCTGGTATGCGGTGCTTCCCTGCCGCGCCTCAAATTCTGCCACAAGCTGGTCAGAGGTTGCATTATACGACGCGTGGTAGTGGCGGGCGGTAGGACCGATAACCAAGTTCCCTGTTTTCTTGGCACTCTTGTCGTTTGACTATATGTAGTCCAAACCAAATCAGCTGGTACATATGTGCTTGAGGCAAAAATGTCCTACCTTTGTATTCGAATCAAACTTCTTCCCCACTATACTCTTCAATCGGGCCCATATACTCCGATTAATTGCATCACTACGATCCTTTCTTGCTTGCTCTAATTCGTCCCAGAGATCCCGGAAGATAGCAGGAAATAGCCTGAAGAAAGTTTGACCACCTGGCGCATTGAGCGTTCCAGCTGCAAAGCCATCCGCCTCAGGGAACGTTAAAGCATGTAGAGCAACTGTTGCTATATACTGCTCTGACTGAGCTGAGTTGTGGCAAGCAATATCCTCCATTGCCCATTCGTCCGCTCTCCCGCCTTCCCAAAGAACCTTGACACTCGACCTTTTGGCTCTACTGGAACCAGAAATGAGTTGGTATGTCACGGCAGCGTATCGATCGATCTTCATCACAGTTTCAGACAGTAGGATTTTTGGAGTCCGTCCAGACCAATTTTTAGGAAGGGCCATATCGCGCACTTTGATCGTGACACCTTTCTCGGTTGTCTCGTTCGACATCTCTTCAAAAAGCTCAAATATACCTCCAACTGCGTCATCGCTATCTTCATCTAATACATCATTAACAACGTCAACATGTGACAATGGAGCCTGTTCGGGTTTGGAGATATCCGCATTATTGTCCTCGCATATGCGTTTGGGTGGTACTTCTTCCAAGTGCTCCTTTGGCTGGGCATCATCGTCAGCTGACACGTAAATGCCAGTCGGTTCACTATTAGGTGTGTCAGGGTTCCATATGATAGGATCCAGCAAGGTTGATCTCGATGAAGGAATGAATGCAGGTGCTTGAGCATTGAGCCCGGTGGAGGCCTTCGGTACAGACGGAGTATTATTTGGGAGTGAAGACTTTGGCATAGCATTAATTTCAACTCCACTGATTGCGCGAGTACTATGACTAGGCCGCAGCGTCCGGAATCCATCAATAACTAATTTACACATTAGCTCAATATAAATGAATATCGCACGTAAAGGACAAAAATTCACTACCTTGTTCACCAAGTTCCTCTTCCGGGCAGTGGGCATAGAGCTGCGACATATGATGTAGGCACAGATGGGGTTTATTTATGAAAAGACACGTACCCAATCATAGGCTTCATCCAGGTCTACCCCATGTATCGAGCGGATGCATTCATCCACTCTGGTCTCTGAGAAACCCAATCTTCTAAGGACACCATATGTAACAGCCAGTCGAGAAACAGCCTTCTCCTCATTCTCATCTAGAAAATCTCTGCCTACTACACAGGGAATTTGAGTATTTACATCACTTCATTCATTTGATCGATATTTCTCCTACCTTCGTTGTCATCGACCTCTGAAGTCAATTCAAGAATCCGATCAACTAGAACTGCATCCAGGTCCAAACTAGGGAGAGTCTTGGAAAATCGTCGGTCTACCCGAATAGCCTGGATGTCATTGAGAAAAAGGTGGGCGATAATCTCAAAAAGTATGGTACCTTGACTGTCCTTATAATCTCCCGTTCCGTCTTCTCCTGATGCTTGTCAACTACGTCCTGCAGCACTTGTTCTTGCAATTTCTGGGCTTCAATGACATCTTTAGGAGTTAGTAAAGATTCATCCTGCCCTGCGCTCGCGCTGACTTGTTCTTGAGTCTGATTCTGGTCCTCTCCAGCAGAGGATATATCTCCCAGATTCACTTCCTGCTCCACTTGCACGACTTTTTTCGGGACTGAAGTAGTGGCAAATCCACGAGCCACTGGCTTCAATTGGGTTCTCTTTTTCTTGGGCATTGCAGCAGTGCCGCCCAAGCAGGAAATATCAGGTGGCCAGATCAGTTAATCACTCCCCACCTACACTGCTCCGAGTCCGCCCAAAGTTTTCGTGAGGTGGATCGAGACAAAATCAAAGCAATACACGAGATATTAGGGACGATAGATAGACTCTAAATCGTGCAATCGCAGAACTGGTGCCTTTGTGAAGGATATGATGTGTCTATAAAAGACGATGGCTGCATGAATGTGCGAGTATGACTCAGGGATGACTCGGAAAGCAGGGGACAAAAGCGTTGTGGCGTCTGAATCGGAGGGTGCTATCGTCCAAATAAATTAAAAATCAAAAAAAAAGTGGTTCAACTGAGGATCGAACTCAGAACCTTCTGTGTGCATATCTCACATGTGAGACAGAAATCATAACCATTAGACCATTGAACCTCTTAAACACTTGATATTCCCATATTCCATTGGTGAACTAAACACTGGACCGACACTGACGGAACTGAACTCGCGATTAGTACTCCATATCCAAAATCCGAATATAAGTATCACCACCAGACTGCACCTCGCATCAACATTCGTCCTGTCCTCACCACTTTCGCACTTTTAACCGTTCCATTTGCCTCAAAATCTGCTCCAACGTCCACGAGTCCACTTGGATGCTTAATTTTCAACAGTCCACCTCCACTATCAGATTCCCTGGAAGAAAGTGTCCATGCCACTGTTCCTTCTATGTTGGCAGCGACGCCAAGACATAAACCCACAGTCATGGGAACTGCTTTATGCAGTACTCCCATTGATAGTGCATGCACAGTTATGTCATAATCAGCATCGGACGAAGGGCTAAGAACGGCGATTTTAGGCTGAGCCTGAGCTGAAGGATCTAGACCCATAAGGCGGGCGCCTTGCTGACGGATAGATTCTAAGACTTCGCCGACATATGGCTTGGAAAAATCGATGGAGCGACCTTCTGAGAGTTCAACGATAGGCCGCAAACCATCAGCGGTTATGAAGACAGTGGGGTTGGTAGCATCGACTAAGGAAGCAGGAATATGGGTAGTTTTTCCTTGTACAGTGATGTCAACTAGGTTTATCGGCTTGCCAGTGGGAAGAAGACTTCCTGTCCGTGCTCCAGCTGGATTTATGAAGTCCAGGGTGATCTGAGATGCTCTACCAGGCACACCAGCCATAGAAACTTGCGGAAGATCGAGAAGGGGCGACATTTTGTCGTCAGAGAGAGACACGGGAAATGTGGTGTCTATGCGCTTATTCGTATTGGTGTTAAACAGTCGAGTGGTGAGGGACCCTGATTTCGTTGGGGTACGGGTACATATTCCTTCGTCTAGTGCGAAAACGCCAATCATACTGGATAGATTTCCACAGTTTCCGGAGTAGTCAATACTGCTATCGCGAATGCCAACTTGAACAAAAGTATACTCGGCATCATATCCTTCAGAAACCTGATCGCTTGTCGGAGAGCCAACGACACAAATCTTAGAAAGACTAGATATTCCACCTCCCATGCCATTCAGCTGGCGACCATGTTCTGGATCTGGAGAGCCCATAATCCCAAGAAATATAGGGTTCCATTGGTTCCTGTCCTTTGGTAGGTGGTCGCGATTGATGAATATGCCTTTGGACGTCCCTCCTCGTAGAAAAGTAGCTGGAAGAGGATTAAGAGTTTTGGCTAGTGTTGACCTCAACATGTGAATGATGATATCTATGATGAGAGAGATCCAGGTGCGCACAAGCGGTTATCCCGAACCTACGATTCAATTGTTCGAGTAATCAAAGGACATTTGTAACCGTGGTATCGCCAGGCTCGAGGAGGTAATACATTCTCACGGCGATGTACGCTGCCTTGAGCGGGGTGGCATCGTTGTGAGCCGCCGATAGTCCACCGAAACTTCTCTGCAACTACACCACTTCACGCTATACTGCACCCTTTAGCATTTGTGCAATCTCTGTAATTTACAATGGGTATGTATTTGCTAGAAATGTATCAGCACAAGCTCACATATGCTGTTCATTCCAGGTATTCCAAAGGTGTGTGTTCAGCGTGTTGGTTAAGCACAAACAATACTGACAAGTCGACGTGCAGTTTTTCCGTTATATCTCGTGAGTGGTCACTCTTAAAATCATTGTTTCAACTAATATTCCATTAGGGAACGCTACCCTCTCACTTCTCAGTTGATACAAGAAAACAAGATCCCTGAGTTTGGTAATTAATTACACCACCATGCGCGTCGTGTTTCTTTACTAAGCCGTGCTGTTAGACAATCTTTACCTCGACTTTAATGGCATCATCCACAATTGTAAGTCCTATACTTGTCAATGTACGAGTAGGTAGTCACTGATGAATACAGGTTCGCATCCCAATGATGAGGATGCTCACTTTAGGTTGTCAGAAGAGCAAATATTCACATCTATTTTTGCTTACGTGGATCTCCTCTTTGGAAAAATCAAACCAAAGAAACTATTCTTCATGGCAGTTGATGGCGTGGCTCCCAGAGCGAAAATGAATCAGCAACGGAGTCGGCGTTTCCGTACGGCAAAGGAGGCAAAGGAGGTAAGGGAGAAAGCAGAGAACAATGGAGAGCAATTACCTCCCGAGAAAGCCTTTGATAGCAACTGCATCACACCAGGTATGTAACTTTAAAGCTCGACCCTTAGCCCTGTTCACCACCCAACACATAGGCACGCCATTTATGGCTAAGCTTACCGAACAGCTACAATATTTCATAAACAAGAAGATCACTGAGGATTCGAATTGGCGAGATGTACAAGTAGTTCTATCAGGGCACGATGTCCCTGGAGAGGGTGAACACAAGATCATGGAGTATATACGGCTATCCAGGGCTCAACCAGATCACAATCCTAACGTTCGCCATTGTTTGTATGGCCTCGACGCCGATCTTATAATGCTGGGGCTTCTGAGCCATGACCCTCACTTCTGCTTATTACGTGAGGAGGTCAAATTTGGGCCTTCCTCGAGAAAGAAGGGTAATACTAGGTCAGTAATTTTTCCGATTTCAATGCAATAATCCAATACCAACACAAGACATACAGTTTGGAGTCTCTCAACTTCTACCTCCTCCATCTTTCACTTATGCGCGAATATCTCAACCTCGAATTTCGGGACATAGAACCCGTGTTGCCCTTCAAATATAGCTTGGAGCGCGTAATAGATGATTTTATACTACTGGCAGTTTTCGTCGGCAACGACTTCCTACCTAACCTTCCAGATTTACATATTCACGAGAACGGTCTCGAGCGACTGTTCGATGTTTACAAGAAGATCTTACCATCATTGGGCAAGTTTTCAAAATTTCTGGATATCAGGTCATGAACGCTAATGTCGCGCTAGATGGATATTTGAATGAAAATGGTACCATCAATCCCAAGAGATTACAACTTGTCCTCGACGAGATGGCCATTTGGGAACGCGAAGTGTTTGAGAAGGAGTATGCCGACTTGAACTGGTATAAGGGAAAGCAAAGCAAACGCGTACAGGAGATGGAGACCGCAAAGAAGCGAGCCAAATTAGGTGACTTCGTTTGTGCAGTCATTGTTATCTTGCTCATGCATATATCATGGCAACAGTCTTAACCGAACCCCAGCGAGAAATATTTGATAAGGTTAAGAGCTTTGTTTTGGCCAACAGGCAGGGACCATCCGAGTCCCGTCCACCCAACCTAACGATGCCAAATACGTTCCCGGCTCGTGAACGCAAATTTATCGGCACGTTGTCCGAAGACTTGCATCTCTCCGTCACTTGGGACGATTATGATGAGGAGGACCAGAATCTTGTGACTTTCAGTCTTCCAGGGTCTCTGGAAGAACAGCTTCCTGAATCTGAACATCTGAACGACGATTCACAGAATGGTGGGAATGATGATGTGGAGGAAGTTGAAGATGAGGAAAGCAGAGCAGCTGTTGACCGGGTTTTACAAAAATATGAGAAAGCTGATGTTATGAATGACGATGAAGGTGGCGGATTCGACGCCAGACACGAGAGATCCATCATCGATAAGATGGACGAATGGAAGAGGAATTACTACAGGGTGCGCCTTGTCTTTTATTTTGCGCCATATGGATGCTAAAGGACATAATTAGGGCAAGCTCGAACTATCATTCGATGATCCGGAAGATATGAGAAAACTTGTATTCCGATATGTGGAAGGCCTGCAGTGGGTTATGCATTATTACTATAGCGGTGTTGCGTCTTGGGGATGGTTTTATAACTATCATTATGCTCCTCGGATTTCAGGCAGGTCTTATATTTATTCTTTTTGGTTATCGTAGTAATCATTGAGTCGATGCTATGCAGATCTTCACGGAGTGGACGAAATGTCGTTCGAATTTGAATTGGGGTCTCCATTCCACCCATTTGAACAACTCATGGGTGTATTACCAGCAGCAAGCAAAGATTTGATCCCGCCTGCGTATCAGGTAGGTTGTCAGTCAGTTTCTTCTGTGTATTTCACTGATTCTATGGACGATCAGGACTTGATGTATGACCCTAATTCTTCCATCCTAGATTTCTACCCTGCTGAGTTCGAGTTGGACTTGAATGGCAAGAAGCAGGACTGGGAAGCCATTGTGAAGATCCCTTTCATCGATGAAAAGAGGCTTCTTAAAGCTATGGCTTGTTAGTAGCTTACTTGACAATCCGTCTACAAACTAATATCTTTGATTTGAATTTCAGCCAGGGAGCATCGCTTGACAAATGAAGAACGTGCGCGCAACGCGTTTGGGACTAGCACAAGATTTAGTTATAATCCTGGGGAAACGACAGTGTACCCATCTTCTTTCCCGGGCTTTTTCCCTCCAATATACCGGTGTTCTTGTTCTATGGAGCCTTTCGATCTTCCAACCCTAGATGGACTTCACCTCGTACCTGGCCTCTGCGATGGCGTCTTTCTTGGCGTCGAAGCCCTGGCGGGCTTCCCCTCTCTGCAAACCCTCCCACACAGTGCACAGATAGGCTTGCATGGTGTCAATGTACATGGTACAGAGAGCAGAAACAAGTCGATGATAGTGCATATCCAAAATCCCCACGAAAACAGGAAAACGGAAGACGTCGCAAGGGAAATGGTTGGAAAGCGAACTTTTGTGGGATGGCCGTTCTTGCAGGAGGGCTTCGTCGTCGCCGTGTCGGACTCGTTATTCAAGTATGAACAGATGATTGTCGTACCAGGATCTGCACCAAAGATAATATCTAATCCTCACGCGCAATATGCTTTGAGCCATTGGAAGGCAAAAGCTGAAAGGATTGAACACATGTATTCGAAGAAATGTGGCGTTATCACAGGAGATATCGACGTGCTTGTGCATGTGCGGCCACTTAAAGGTATTTCAGGTTTCATGAGATTATTCTGGTTACTCAATTATGATACAGGTTTAAAACGTCTGGAAACTGGGGCTTTCGTGAAGGATTATGAAGACGCAGAGAAGGAACTTGAACAAGCGGCTCAGATGGTGCTCTCGGAAGTCGCCTCTGAAGACCCTCGGTTTTTGGAGAGGGATCCTCCCCCTCTTTCGGAAGAATTCCCTGAAGGGAGTAAAATATTCTTCTTAGGAGAACATGCTTATGGAGTCGCTGCAAAAGTCTCTGCGACAGACGAAAATACTCTTTCTATCATCCTAGCGGTGAATCCATCTCCTGCCTTTTTATATATACTCTGGCTGACTAGTCGAACAGTTCTACCCCTCAGACAAAGCAGAAAAGGACAAATACAGAGCAATCGTTGAGAATCGTGCATCTCTCCAATATTTCCCGTCTTACAAGGCAGCCGAGATGCTACGGATATCCGGTCGTGCTCTAGCAAAAATTACTTCTAGCTTCATGGTACTTACTGCAGACAGTCAGAAGTCAAATCTAGGCTTGAGCCTCAAGTTCGAAGCCAAAAGCTTGAAGGTTATCGACTACTCGCGTAAGGACGGACGTTTCTGGGAGTACAGCGAAAAGACTGTTGATCTTATTCGTGATTACAAGGTGATTTGTCAGGTCGCGAGATCTTTTGTTTACATACTCTGAACCCGTCTTGATAGAACAACTTCCCTGAAGTTTTTCGAGCCCTGGACCGTAATGGCGATGGTAAGTTTGCATTTTCCCTAGAAATGCTGCTCTAATCATCGCCTTCACTATCTTTGTAGAAATGGCGAGAGCATCAGATCTTTTTAAGGGCGATAATCCCGATGCTAGAGTCAAGGAAGTGAAATCGTGGCTCAAATCCAAAGGCGTTAGGGACTTCGAACCGGTGTCTCTGTTCTCTGATCAGCTCACTAAGGTCAGTATCACACTAGAGCATTGTGAGATATAGTAATTAACAAAATGGATACTACAGGCGGCTGTGGGGGAGATTGAAAAGATCGCAGATAGCGTAAACCCCAATACAACTGCTGCTTTCAAGAAAGCTATCGTTAAGAACATCCCGCGACATGCAGTTTTAAAACCATCGCATGCCATATACCGACTACAGAACCAGCACTTTGAGCTTGGCGACAGGGTGACTATGGTTCAAGATTCTGGTGGTGTTCCACTTGCTATCAAAGGAGTAGTTATTGGTTTGAACTCCACATCAATGGATGTAGTTTGGGATGTTCCATTCATGTCAGGTGTGACATTAGGGGATCGGTAAGTGGACCACGGTTGCGGATACATCTCGTTAATCGGCGCCTGACCATCTCGCCTATTAGTTGCTCACAGTACCGGGGCTCGACGGTCAGCTTCAACTCGTGCTTAAACTTGACCACTCCTCAGTTCGTAGCTCCAACGAATCCCAAGTCTAAGCCACTACCACCGCCAAATCACCCCTTCAAACCTCGCTTTGGCCCGCATCCAGCTATCCAACCTCCCCCAGGCCAAGCCGCTGCTGCTGGTTTCCGCCCAGCGCCCTCTAGGTTTGTGTTTACGACTACGATGATAAACAACTTTTTCGCTCATGCAATTTGTAGTCAAAGTCCAAACAACGCTGTGCACATTATGTCAAATCCCAATCGAGGCCGGGGTGCTTACACCAATGGTCGCGGCAGTGCGATGGCTAACGGTCGTCGTGTTCCATCAGACACTCCTACAAGTGACAACCCGTCGACACCTGCACAATCCAATGACACACGCGCTCCTTCTGTCACGAGAGGCAGAGGTGCCCCAAGAGGTGGTAGTCCCTATACCCCACCTCCGAGAGGCGGGTTTTTGGGATCTCGCGGACGGGGACAAGGGGTAGGCTTCGAGCGTGGTCGTGGGTTTCCCTCGAGGCCTTTCCGCGGGAGGGGCAGAGGGGCCCCAGTAGCACCGGTGTCGTCATCGTGATATATGTACAGCTCACTGTAATTTTTTCCATATCCAGCTTGTTACCTGACCTCCTGAAAGGTCCTAGTATAATTGTTTTCGCCTGGATTTTGGCTGTCCATATGATATGTTGATCATTGGTACAACTTGACCGTATTTCACATGGCGCTATGGTCTGAATACTAATCCTACGGATCATGATAAGCATACAATCAATTTGTTCTCCCCGAGTTGGCAGAGCCGACTAATCATTATGTCGGAAAAATCCAATTCACCTGATCAGGACTGCTGGAGCATGCTGCGAGTACGGTGTCGCCTGACGACCTTATGAGGGAGCTGGAGTATCAGGTAAGGTATGAGCGGGCCCTATAAAATCATAGTGCAAATGAAAAGCCTATCATCATGTCTTATGAGACCTTACAAGGGGAACAGAGGACGTGATAAGATGTGATCAAGCTCTATAAAATCGCAGCGAAAAATGAAAAGGCGTCATCACACCTTGTTTAAGAACTAAGAAGTCCTCGAAGGCTATTCAGGGCTCTGTGAGGCCAAATCAATGGTCCATAATTCGAACGACGTTAGGTTGGATCAATTTTAGTGCCAGAGATACAAGATTCATTAGTACAGTTAGATAATACAGTAGGAATCACTTTGAAAAGCGTAGAAACATGTCGCCGTCTACGGTATCGTTGAGATAAAAGCGACCCTCCCTCATTCCAAACGCTGTAATCATATGTGCCCCACGAATAAAATATTTCACCAGTGCGAACCTGCTTTCCCTTGCCTCCTCATAAAGACGAGCACCAGCCCATTTTGTCCTTGGTTTTGTAGTGGAGGGCTTGAAGTAATTGACGAGGACGACATCATATGTTTTGGACTTGATATAACACCTGTAAATCCCTATAAGTCGAGCCGGTGTGGGTTTAACAGTGTCCGTGTTGATGAGTATGCAATCGTGGCGGGGCACTCCATTGAATCGAGGGTTACACCTGAGGATATCTCGCCCTTCGGTCCAGTCTTCTTGCGACTGGTACCGAAGATAGACGCAATGATATTGTCGGATCTATTGTATGGCGTACTAAGATCAATGAGACCAAAAAACAACATAAATATATATACCTTAATGGGTTCAACACCGAGGCTAGCATCCGGAACATCAATCGAAAAAAACCGTCGCAGAGACTTATCAAATGCTGAATGCATGGTCTCCATTGCAATAGAGTCACTCAGGCTTGTTGGCGATCCAAGTGTCCAGTGGTCGTCTGTACTCTCTATTATGTGCTCTCTTGTGTCCTCCGTCTCGGCCTGCTCTGTTGTATCCTCTGTCTCAGCTTCTCGTGCGTTCCCTACCTGCTCTTGTTCTTGTTGTGCTTTGTCATACTCGTCAACGACCATACGTAGATACGCAATGGATTCTTGATTCTCGTCTATTCGGGCCATCTGTAGAATAGTTGTGTGATTTTCAGATTTTGATAGAAAGACAGGAGTATACCTGTGGATCCGTGTTCTTGCAATTAGTCTGTTTGTAAGCTTGACGAACCTCCTGGTGAATTCCTTCACCGACTCTTGTTTCATAGTTGTCAGTAGCACCCTTTTGTTGGATATCCTCAATAACATGATTGACGAAATGTTGTTTGAAGAAATCGAATGATTTTCCGTAGTCTCTTGAGACGTCCTAGTAAATTGTTAGTGCCAGCAATTCATTGATTCTACAAATGTAGAATAGTTACCTCACAAGTGTTCTTATAGGATAATATTATGCTATTTATCTGTTGCAGCCGCTCGTCAGTCAAACAGGACAATCCAATCATTGTCCGATATTGAGCATAGGCCCGAATGCAGTGGACAAGTGAACAGTCTTCGGGCAGAAGCTGAACGACACAAGGTAGTATACACTAAAATAGCAAAGTAAGTACTTTGAAAATACTGCGTTGAGAAATGTCTACCTTTAGAATATCAAAAAATACTTGACCATCTGCGTAATCAACTGTTGTGACATTACCAAAGTGTTTAAGGTTGCGCCAGCGAGAAACGTTTCGCATGCTGGTGTCGAGTTTTTAGCTATGATTCAATGATAATCATGAAGACTCACTTCCTTGCTAGCTGCCCTTTGACTCCATCTTCGGCTAGAACACTAAGCAACAGGGGCCACAAGTGTTTCCCCCACTTTCCTAAGTCGTCCGAGTGAAGTTTGTCGTAGGAAACTGATAGATACGGGTCCGAGTAGTGTAAAGACCAGAAGAAATTCTGTAAATATAGAAAATACATTATTTATAGGATTATCAGCGATGAATACAGGGTATGCACTTACCTGCGTAGCATGAAGCCCCCGGCTCTGTAAGATTCGTTCAGCTTCGCTTTTGTTTGGCGCTCGAGTAGAATCAAGATAAGCCTTCTGCATAGTCTTGGTAATGCGGGGCTCAAATGTTCCATTGATGTTATGTAGCTCGTTGTGATGAACCAAACATTTGGGGCAGGGGTAATTGGCAAGTGCAGCCCGCGTTGCTGTAACCGCACAGCTCTCTTCTCCGTCAAGAGACTTGATTGGTATTCCAGGGTGAATAATCCTATTATGTGAGTCGCCACATTTCATTGCCTCCCCATGGCGTGCTGGTCGTTGTAAGGTCTTGAAAACAATGCCAAGAACTTGATGGTATACGTCTCTCTTGAAATGCGCCCACTCAAGGGTCTCGGCTGAATTGCGGTCTGTTGGGTCGGCCGGGTCTTCAGGCTATGGTAAAGTAGTAAGAACTCTCTAGGGGATAGAGAGAGAAGCACACCACCGGCATGTAACCAATCAGTACCCCCCCTCCATTACCAGAAGCATTCCGTACTTCACGAGGTAGGAATGCTGGCCGAATAATCATTGGGTGCTTTCGCACTCGTTTTGTTACATTCCCCTTGTCGAGCCAGAGGGAGACCGGGAGAAAGCAGTGTGGGATGTCGTCTTTGGGAAGCTGATCCTGGAAGAACGTAAGTGAAGTACTGTATAATACATAGAAACGCACCTGTATATCCCACCATCTATTACCAGTGCTAAAGTCATCGTATATTTGAGTCTTGAGAGTGACCCGGCCATTGCGCCTACAAAAGAATTTCTTACACGGATACCAGAATATCATGGATGATAAGCTGGCATCCATGATCCAGTCACAATATACTTCCCAGGGATCGCGATACACGAAACTGAAATGAAATGTCTCACCCAAATAAACGGCTGAGACATTCCCCTCTCGAAACTGTAATGAAAACATTAGACCAGACTTGAGTTTGAAGTTTTGGCTCACCTGAGGACATAGTTTCCGTGCTTTTTTCAATGAATGTTCTAGATCGACGTGGCTTTGCAGTGTGATTGCCGTTTCACGTGCCCATCCACCGTGTATACCACGTAACTGTGTGTTGATGATGTCCTTGCTAAATAATCCTTTTACAGCGGTTTCTGCATACTCAAAGTCTGCACGAGTTCGGAACGGAGCCCATGGTTTGCTGTTGATGCCACGGACATTGAAAGTACTGTAGGTTGTTGGTGTGTCTAGTGAGATAATGGTTGGTTCCTTGATGCCGCTGTGAGGGTGTGGTATGACTTGAATAAAGCTTGAGGGACGTTCATTGTGCACCTCAGAGTCTAAGTCCAGCGAAGATTCCTGGTGCGATGGTTCTGCTTCGTCAATTTGTGCCTGATCTTCTCCATAAGCAGTTTTGTTGAATGTAAAGTCGGGACTGGACTATGGGAAACAGTGTAGTATTAGTATAAGAAATGGGAAGGCACTCAGTACCGTAGCAACCACATGCATAAACAAACATGGAGATATTATTTGCTTACATTTGAGTCTAGTTTGCGCCGTTTTTGAGGCACAGGTAAGTCATCCTGTGGGCGCGATTTATTGACTTGAAAGGATGGAGCTGTTGCAAGCTCATTAAGATGACGTTTGCAGGCTTCCACATGTTTATCAAATCGACGAGAGCTTCGAAAACTGTTGCAGTATTGGCACCAAGGGCCCTGGCAAAGCTTCTTTGTCCTAGTAGATGAACGCATGTTGATGGATTTGAGTGAGCTTGAGCTGATTCTACTAATTGCAGTTGATAATGGAGAACAACCATATCTTTGACGGCATTCTACGTCATGTTAGATTGTCGGACTTGAAAACTACCTACGCACCATCAACAGTTTTCCTAACTGCGAATAACTCAAACCCTCAATATTGTCCTTCTTTTTAAATTCACAGCCTACAATGGAAAAAAACCGTAAAAGAGAACGACGAAGGGTGCCTACAAACAGAGGGAGTGATCAGAGCAGAGACCATGTCCAAGAGACGGACTTACATCATGGAGCACAGCCAATGCAAGACTGGGGCAGGGATGATTCGACTTTGAGCGATACTCGAGGACAGAATGCTCAAGTCAGTGAAGACCATGCCATGAGATATGAAGCAGACACACCTGAATTACATGGTGATCTGAGTGTCAATCAGACAATGTCCCCACGAATGCTTTATAAGGTACGCTGATGTTAATCTGGGAAGATTAGCAAAATATACTGACTCACCTAATGTCAGGTTGCTCGAGAAGCTCAGATAGCGGTCAATTTGGCCAGAGAGGAAACAAGGATTTTGCGGCGAAAATACAACGATTTGCTGAACGAGACTGAAGACCCTGAAATCTCGAGTCAGCAAGGTCCCCCCAAAAAGCAAGAGCTTATGGACGTCGGCAGTGAGCTACAAAGAAAAATCAAACATACCAAGCAGCTGGGGCAAAAGTTCCTTGTGACATCCATGCTATGGATACATGACCCAGTAAATACATTCAAGACAACTCGTGACGATCAATATAGTCCACTGGGCCGGTTTGAAAACATTGAGCAAAAGATACAAGGTCAGATTAGTGAGATATACGCAAACACACCTCGTGAACTTGTTGGGATGATTGGGCAGGATTGGTTTGTATCTGCTGTGAGTAGAGTCTTTTCATTCCTACCACGCCTCCTTGAACTGAGCGTATGAAAATGAGTTCCGCGACGGGATGCAGGCCCAGCGGTCAAATGGTGCAAGCCGTCTTCGTGCATGCGGCAACACTATCTTTGATTGTTCAGCGGCCGATTTGAAGACATCTGAGGCGAGGTGAAATAAATTTCTCAATAAAATTGGGTGGAGGATGAACAGCAAAGGACACTCAGCTTTCAGCCTATGGAACATTGAGGTCCTCCATGCTGATTATTCTGGGAAGTTCGACGTGAATAAAGTCTTCCTTAACCCGCTCTTGAAAGTGGTAAGTGTCTTCCTGTCAAAATCAGATTTATTGTAGCTGAGAAACTCCAAGGTCCTATCCTGTGTCATTCGAGGACCCGGCTCAATTGTGGCGATGAAAAAGGGGATGCCTTATGAGGGCGCGCGAAGTACCGAAACTCTGGACGTTAAATGGGGCCTCCAGCACACCACACCAGGCATGGTTGCATGCGCCGCTATTTTGGTAAGTAAAATGCCTAACCCAACACTAATTATTACTGAATTTCCCTTAGGCACGATGGGTGCTCTCCCCTGATAGTATCCTGAAAGAGAGGGGAGCTCAGTTCGGCATTAATTGGCATGAAGATTTCGACAATTACCTTGAATATCTCGAAATTGGGCTGGGAAAAAGGAAAGGGAGTGTACTCACTATCTTCCGCGAGTGGGACAGAATACTTTTCCCACATACCACAAGTGGCCTCAGAGGTCCACTGAACGACGAAGACAGGGAGGAGGCAATGAAAGAAGCGATGGATGCATTGAATCAAGACGTTGAAGAGCTGCCGCCTAGTGATCAAGAACATGATGATGATGGTGGCGTGATAAGGGAGGGGAACGATCTAGGTCCAGGCGAATCAGATAACGGCCTTGAATCAGAAGGGGAAGCCTGAGACCAAGAACCAAAGTATGATTGGTAAGTGATGTCAATGGTAATTCTCTGTCGGGTCTATGTTGCTCACCAATTTGTCTAGGGAGAGCTCAGTCGTGGGGTGAATGATACTGAACCCGTCAGAAGAGCCATTAGTCCACAGTTAACTTAGCCTGGAAGCTCGCTCCCCCCCGTCCTCCTGTAATTATGCAATATCTATGTGAATCATTTCTGTGTGCACATGATCAGGCTGACGACAATAAGAATGATAAGAATAGACCAGTGCCCAGAACGAAGTAATTGACTTTTGAGCAGCCTATGCTTATCACAACAAGAAGCTTAACTTTCATCAATCTGAATCTGGACTCTGGTCATGCGGCACAAGCATGTATGGATCAAATGGGTAAGTGACGACAACTATTCTCTGTCGGATCTACGTTGCTCAGCAATTCGTCTAGGAGAGCTCAATCATGGGGAAGATGATACTGAACCCGTCAGAAGAGTCCTGAGGCATTGTAATTCAGACCAACTCCCGGGTCCCTATTGTCATTGACAATGTAATTAGACAATATCAGTATATTATTTAAATTATTTCTGTCCACATGCTCAGCTCCGATGGGAATGATAAGAATAGACAACTGTAACCCAGACCCAATCTAACTTAGCAACAGAGTTTTTGATCTTTCAATACATGTTGTCGTCGAATGTTGATTCAGAGTGATATAATTCACACTAAATCCCAGGTTCAAATAAAACTCGGTAGGATTTCTGATAGTATTCATACATTGACAGACAAGGACAGTATACATTCTCTACTTATTCAGGCACTCACGGAAAATATTTTCCAGGGCCGAAGTCTGACCATCGATTGCACAAGTTACTCCTTTCAAAGCCTCGCTGATGTCTTGTGCCCGGTTCTCAATTCTATCCAACCTTTCACTGATGCCGGGGCTTCCAGTGCCCTGGCGCATCTTCTGTGTTGTTTTGCTAGGTGTTATCTCCAATTGAGAGATAACAAAACGGCGGGCCTTGCGAGGTGTGATGGGAACAGGGACAACTTCGTTAGACGGTAAGTCCACTTGAGCTGATGCGTCTTGTTTGGTAGGCTAATTAAATTACAAATAATTAGCAAAATCAAGGAGATATTTACAGCCAGTACATACCTCAACATTTTCGTCCCCTATCTCTCCGACTTGACGTTTTTTCACGATCCTTGGTTGCAACCCTTTTGAATGATGAAGGGTAAACTAGTATTAACAGTGTTCATAAGTCAGTCAGTGCTATGTGCGATCCAAAAATGAGGCACACTCACAATGATCTCTTCATCACTGGGATTGGGAAACGGCTTATCCGGTGATGACTTTTTGGTGAGTCCTGAACTCGGAACAAGCCAAGGATATTGACTGCCGTGGTCTTCAATAGGATGTGATTGCAGGTCATACTCGGACTCTGGGCTCTGACTTTTACTGTCAGGATCTTTCCAAGATTTTCTGACACTTTCATCCTCGGGCTGGTATGAACTGTGTTGACCCCCAACTTCTGCTCTATCGCTGACTAGAACATCTGGCTCAGGCTCTTTTTTGATGCTAATCCCCCCACCCTGACTTGCTTCATCCTCCAACTCAGCATGTGCCTTGCTATTACCAAGGATGACCGAGGCAGCGTTGTTTCGTGAAGAAGAACGAGAGCTATAGTAATTGCGGTGGTAAGTCCGACTTGGAGGGTTTTTCTGAGAGCCCTGATTGCCGCCGCCTGGGGCTGGCACAGGGCTTTCTGTGTCAGGAATCGATTTTTCTTATCGCATTCCCGTCATGTCGTGGTTAGCAGATTCGATCCCCATCACTCCTCTTGCTCTTGGACTAGAGATTACAGCCGGTGTCTTATTACTTTTATCATTTTTCTTCTTATTCTCTCTTCACACTCACGTTATATCGTACCTACAACGAGGTAGACTCGTTGTCGACCCTCAAGAAGATATCCAGATGACATAGCCACGATCCAGTGCTATGTCTGGGAATACTTCGGAGGAATATTGATAAGCGAAGAAGGTAGTGAATCAGTGCCTTCTCATGGGCTTACTGATACAGCCAATTGCATATCCCTTACCAATACGTCTTCTCATACGATTAGTAAACACGATAGATCGGACCACTTCCTCCCTTTTTTCTTATTGGTTAGTTAGCTGGTCAGACCACTTTCTCAGTAGTTCCCTTTCTCGGTCTGACCATCGCCGTTCACTATATAGAGAAGTATATACTCGATGTATTGTTCTCTAGTTCAATATTAGTTTGGATTTGCGCTCTTACCGATACTCTTCATTCTCATACTCTGATTCACCGCCTTCAAGGAAGGACTTGACCAGACATTGAGCTTTGTTATATAGCTTCGTATTTGTTGCCTGACAAAATATTGAACTCACCTACCTCGAATCCTTTTCCAGAGCCCCTCTTTGGAAAACTGTTTCCTTACACCCTGAAAAAGACTGTCGTTGCCACTGCACCGGTCTAAACCTTCATCATCACCTTCTCCACCTCTCTACCATCCCTATCCCTCTCCTCACTATCGTCATCGACCTCTCACTATCCACCCCATTACACCTATTGTCGTTCAGTCTTCTCAAACTGGACGCCTTCTCTACCATCACCGCTCTCGTCCAATTCTTTGCGTTCTTTGCCATCATCAGATACCTACAAACCGGACTCGTCAGCGACGTCGTATACCTCCATCGTGTCTACCTCCCAACAGCTCTCAGAAGAGTGGGTATCAGAAGCGGACCGCAGACACCAGAGAGATTTCCTCGCAGCTCTCAACAAACCGCTCCCGGTCCTCCCCGTCCCTACCGAAGCCCGTACTCCAGACGTGGAAGGAACGGTCGAACAGATCACTGAGTTGTATCAAGACTCCTCTGCTTCGTCTTCACCAATTGATCCGATCGAGGATATCATCCTCGACATAAACGACGCACTCGCTCTCACCCAATCCATCTTTTACCATTCCGCCATCTGTAGGAGAAATTCTCGCAGTCTCGAGGAGATACTCCAACATCTCCGACAGAGCACGGAGAGAACTTTTAATCTTCATATCCCTGCGGCACGAACAAATTCCGTTGATAGACTACTTCGAGAGCCTAGTATGCCCGAGTTACGAGAACACTCAGAGGGTTAAGCTTTTGAAAGGAATAGCCAACGTACAAGAACGAAACCTGCAACTTATTTTGCAGAGCCACATCCCAGATCTCCTCGATCTTTATCGAATCCGCCCTCTCGTTTTTCCAGACATACCCAGCCGCCTCCTCCCTTACGACTTCGAACACACCTTGCTTTGCGGCATTGTGTTAAGAAAGAGGCCTAACGAGGAACCTACCTACGATATCCCGTCCTCATTTTTTACATCTGACTATTACGACACCTACTCCGCCTCTCCTGTCAGTTACCAACCCATCCAGTACTTCTGCATCGGCAATCATCTGGACCACCTCTCTATTGTCCAATATCTGACACGACTTCGCCGAACTCTCTACCTCCCTGAAGTCCAAGATCTTGACGCATTCGGACCGCGGTTTGGTCTTCAACACAGCACTTCTATTATAATCGTCACGCCCTCTACTAAAGATCACATTCGACGAGTTGTTGCTGCGTTAGCACGATTTGATCAACTCATCGCGACTGCTCAGAGGAAATCCCGTGACGGAGAAGACTACACGACCGAAATCGACAACATTCGACACGTTTCAGAATACGTCGACGAATATTACTGGATCCTAGAAATCCTCACTCCATTTGTTGTTAACCAACAATCTGATCACCCCGAACGTTTCATTGTTACAGTACTCCAAAGCGATTTCTGGGCCGTTATCAACCATAGCTCACGAACTCGTATCTATTCGCAGTACTCTTACACCTACCAAGGTCGGAGAGGAGAAGCACCGCTCATCCCGTCGGTTGAACAACTTTTTGCACCTTGTGCAGAAAGGATAGAACGAGAAACAGGGAGTTCATTAACAGATATACTCGGGGGAGAATCTAGCAGCGAAACCGAGTCGGAAAGTGAAGAGTCTACTCAAAACGTAGAATACTGGAGACCCCGAGAAGCAGAAGGAGGAGACTTCCCTAGTAACTTTACGTTTGACCCAGACTTTGAGTAAATAAAAAGGACTCGTTATCTAGAAAAACTTGTTATCTAAAAAACCCGTTATCTAACCCGTTGAAAATCTGGAGCCCTATCAAGAACCCCGTCCTCTGGTCACTCCCGACACACCTCCCCCACAATCTCTAGGAGCTGCTGCGGAAGCTCTAGAACCCGACAATCTGTATCAGTCAGCAGGACCGGAAAACTTTCCTCCCCCACCTCCGACTCCAGAACCCGAAAACCAACCCGACGATTGGTTCGATCAGGAATCTTTAGACCTTGAACCTGATCTAGCGGCAGCAATGGCCGACGAAACAAATCAAGGAAGCAAAGCTGTCCTTGCCACTCCTCCATTCGAATTCATCGGTAAAAAGGAAACATACGTTGACTGGAAGAACGCTTTAGCAAACTACTTTTTCGCCTATCCCAGAAGTTTCCAAACCAACTCCTCCAAAATGGTCTTTGCACTATCCCGAATCTCGTCCGATAAAGCCAATGACGCCTGTCATACATGGAAGGCGAACTTCAACAACAAAACCGCAGTGCTAGGAGACTTATTTGCACCGCGAAATTGGGGAACTATCTCAGAATTCATCAAGGAATTAGATAACGAATTCCTGGACCCCCATCTCAAGTTGAAAGCAGAGATTGCCCTTCACGATTACGAACAACGAGAAATGACGGTAGACGCATATTTCGGAGGACTCGAATCCAAACTTATGGAAGCGGGATTACCACCAGACGCAGATGAAAGTTATCCGTTCATTCACAGTATCCTTCGCCGCAACCTCTCCCAATTCCTTCGTGATCATATCTCGCAACAGGAAAACCTACCCACCACGTACTTAGAGTGGAAGGCAGCGGCAAGGAAATGGGAACAGCGAAATGAAGAGCTTAATCTGGAAAGGAGGAGAGATAAACCACCTCAACAAAGGCTGCCAACTCAGTACCAACAATATCAACCGCGCTATCAGCAGAACCAAGGCTACCCTCCACCACAGCATCAACAGACAGTACCGCGAACAGAGACGCGAAGACCACGGTATATCCAACAGCGACCGTATTATACTCCATCTCATAAACCACCGCCCCAGAATGCAGTCCATCCAAACACAGCAGGAACGTTTGGAGGATCAGGTGTACCTATGGAGATTGGGAGTTCCAACACGCAGAGACAACATCGGCCCAACCCGAATGTTACTTGTTACAATTGTGGCGAACGAGGCCACATTGCTAGAAATTGCCCACATGGAAAGATGGCAATACGATATATGGAAACGGAGGAAACCAAAGACACTCCCACTACATCGTCATTAAAAGAAATCGAAGCACCCCCGAAGGATTTTCAGAAAGGTCAGGAGTAAGCACGGACTCTCTGACCCGAAATGTTGTATTTAACCCTCGTACATTACCAACGACTGCAATGAAATGAGTTGATCAACATCTACGTGCTGTAACCGAAACCTACGCGAAGCCACATTCACCGGAATGGTTGGCCAGACGAATCAAAGACCAGAAACCAGAAAGAGCAAGAGCTCTGTTACGAAACTGGGCCCATAAAGATCACTACGAGCATATCACCCTGCAGGCGATACAGATGCTAAGGAACCACGACGAAGAGAACATTATAGAACGCATCCATGCTTACACCTCGCCGCACCACCCTATGTCAAAACGAAGCCTCCATATCATTTCTCAAGTCACTACCATAGACGATAGACAGACATTCACCGTCCCAACCCTTATCGACTCTGGTTGCACCAACTCGGTTATCGATCGAAGCCTGGTTGACAAGTATACCCTCAATACTACGCCTCTGCCCGTCCCTCTTGACGCTGCAGGAGCCGATGGTCGATCCCAGAAAGTAACACACTATGTCACTCTTCACATCAATGTGAAAGGGAAAGAACATTTGATAGATGTCATCGTAGCATCTCTACTTTCACCACGCATACTGCTTGGATACGACTGGTTGATACTGACGAATCCAACAATTGATTGGCGGACCAACAAGATTACCTTCCCTGCTGATGATCCGGAGTATCATCCTGAAGAAGGGGATAAAGTTCTAGCCGTCGATCTCGAAACACGAATTATGGAGATAACACAGCTAGAATTGAACGCATTTGCCACTAAAAGTCAACAAATCGCCGAATCCTCCGAAAAGGCAAAGTCAAAGCTTACTTTCCGAGATGTCGTTCCTCCAATCTACCATGAATTCGAACCCGTCTTCACCAAAGAATCATTTGACAAACTTCCCCCGAAACGTCCTTGGGACCATGCAATTGAGTTAATACCCGAGGCTAATGGTCTTGACTGCAAAATGTACCCTCTTAGCCGAGACGAACAACACCATCTAGACGAATTCCTTAACGAAAATCTAACAAGTGGACGGATTCGAGTATCCAAATCACCTTACGCATCACCATTCTTCTTTATCAAAAAGAAAGATGGCTCACTACGCCCTGTCCAAGATTATTGCAAGCTGAATGAGCTTACCATAAAGAATCGCTACACCCTCCCCCTCATATCCGAACTCATCGATAAACTCAAAGGTGCCAATTACTTCACGAAACTAGACGTATGATGGGGATACAACAATGTCCGAATCCAAGAAGGAGACGAACACAAGGCCGCTTTCAGGACCAATCGCGGCCTGTTCGAACCCCTCGTCATGTTTTTCGGACTTACCAACTCGCCAGCAACCTTCCAGACCATGATGGACCACCTCCTAAGAGAACTGATCACGGAAGGAAAAGTTATTGTATATTTAGACGATATTATGATCTTCACGGAAACACTCGAAGAACATCGTCAAATAGTCACCAAAGTCCTCCGTATCCTGCAACAAAATCAGTTGT